TTGAATAAGACTTGTAAGGGTAAGCCATTCGAAAACGAACTTTTCTTTCCACTGTATCACTTATAGCTTTGTTATCCGTGCTATCCGCCATTTAACTATTGTTGCGGCTTCGAATTACCTTCTGATTTCAAACACCGTTGAAATTTATATTATAACTGTTATCGAGGTGATTGGTTAACGAAACAAAGCGACCTCAACGTATTCTGGAAAACGTTTCTCCCAGAGCTCGTTGTTTTGGGTTGGTTACCAGATGGTAGTGAAGTCTCGTAGTGACTGATGACTACCGGTTTGGGAATCGAAAATGAGAGGCCCATGTGTATGGAGGAAAAATCAACATTGATATGTTTTACTTCTGAAAACAAAACACAGATACTACAAATGAGATGCCCTGTCCGGAGGTGCAATCCTGCAATCATCAGCATACACGTGCACGAAGGTGAGATCTCTAGATACGTCATCAATGACTCTCCGGAGAGTTCGTGCAGTACGTCCTAAACCGGAAGGTTTGAGCGAAAATTCGTGATGATGGTGTTTATATGAATGTCGTTAACAGCCGTAGGAATTTAGTAACAGTCCTTAACAGTGTCGAATTTCGAAAAAAAACAGTCGCATCTTTCTAGTCAGTTGTCAATTCGCGAATGTGAGACAATGGATATTGATCATGAGTGACCTATGCATTCAGTCACCGATAGTTACTTTTTGAACGCTTCCGAAAATACAAGTGGTCATGAATCGAGATGTAGTGTGTAAGATTGCTTGTTGCACATATTAGTTTCCGTCGCGTTTTGTAAAGTAAGAGATAATTGTTCAGTATTGTTGGAAATATGGATCAATTGTATGGCTAATACTGACTTAGCATAAACTACAACTAAATAACAATTTTCAACAAACAGATAATTTAGTGCTTCCATCTATTAAGCTCCGTTAACACGTATCGACGGGTAGATTATGATGTTGTAACAGGTCTATACGGATGATCGGCGTAAAAGTCTCTGCTAAAACGTAAATCAGAGTGACACCATCATCACTGACTGAATTATCCATACAAGGAAAGACTCATAGGTTTATTTATACAGAGCTGACAAAACTACCTCAAACCACAATCAGCTCGATCTAAAGCATGTTGATACTTCTACGTACGGTGACAAACAGTTAATTCCCTCGATAGGGAGATAAGCGAGCTTGCGGGGAAATCACAATACAAAAAACTAACGAGAACTTGGGCACTCGAAACATGAATCATTTCAAACTTGGCGGGAAGTATATAGTGGTAGGCAGAGTAATGATGCTCAGTAAATGAGTAATGGAGCTACGAATGTAGACTCCAGCAATTGGAGTTATTTTCAATGCGCTGCTGGAGAAAACGTGGTGAGGTGATTGTGGTATATTACAATGAGTATATCAAGTCACTTACTAGATCATCACCAACGCAATCCTTTAGCAGGCCTCGAAAATATGTTAATTAGTGAAGGAAAATCCCAATACACTCCTTTTCTTTCTCATTAGAAGTTGGCCACATTTAGAGTGCTTTCACAGCCGAAGCAATTACAGCCTTCGTAACGGACAGCGTAAAAAGGGGACTTGACTGGCGCGTACCCAATCGTGAGTGACCATCCTGCCTCTTGAACTAGATTTAGCTAGTGGATGTGTAGCGGTAAATACATCCTCGAAATAAATATATCTGTAAGCCTCTAACTTTGATGCTGACCTCATTAATTTTTCTGGACTCAACCTAGCTAAATGCGACTGATCACATAACCTCACCAAATCATGGGTATGTACGCCGTGCTACTTATTTCTTGCAACTGTTAGCCAGCCTAGATATGCGCTTCTCAGCATATTGACATTCTTCCGAAAAAGCTTCGAACTCATTCACCCCTGCCCTCTGATCTTACTAGGTTGGTATCTTCCGATTATAAAGGTGTTAGGAACAAGAGCGTTGTTAAACCTTGAATATGTGTGGCATGTCTCGATGACTAGTAACTTACTATCTGTTATCATTAACACATATTATTAGCTTGTTTCTATCCCGCCTATGATTATTATTATTTCTTTTTCCTTTTTGTTCCTACGCTTCGATCTTCTCACACCACTTGCTTACCAATTAATAAATATGTTTATTTAGTTCGTGAGACAGTCGCCAACTCTAAGCTTTTGAATTTTCACTTTATTATTTATTTGCTGTGCAACCAATCAACCTTCTATCTGTTCAGGTGACAGCCATCGGTATCCAGAAACTCTACTGTGCAGAGACAAACCCACTCATTTATATTGCAAAATTCACAAACACACAAATAACTAACAAACTGGTTAGGATAATTGAAATTAAGTGGCTGAACTTCCACTCATTGGACATTGCACAGGATTCTGAACAATAATGAAATACCAATAATACAGTGCGATGAAATCAGTCAGTTCATAAGAATATTGGGAATATTGAAAATTGAAGGTCAACTTAATCCCTCTACGCTTGAATCTCGTCGAACCTTAGTTTTGGTTGTTAGCTTAACTTTGTTTTACGCTTACGCCATTGTAAATTTTTAGTAACTGCATCCATTTTAACACATTAGGGTATCCATGTGTTTCTGGGTTATGACTGAAGCTTTTTGTAATGTACATCTTGCTTGTCATTTAATATGTAGTGATATTACATCTCTACACTGTAATATCTGATTGCAATAGAATCCTAGTTAAAGATTGAGTTTATGGCCACAATTTAAGGTTTGACATGGGTTATATATATATATATATATATATATATATAAGAAACTTTTCTCTCATCCCAATCAACCAACAAACGGGAACTGTCTACTTTTTGCCTAAATATACGCGCGAATCGTCTACTTTTCGCCTTAACATACTTTTGCATAATCCCAAAGGTCTCCCATGTTAGCCTTTATTCTCACAACACACCACACTGAAACTGCAATCCGCGTAAAAATGGCTTATGTTTAAATAAATTAATTGGAAAGAAAAAGCGTATTATTACACAGCATTATTGTCATAAGGCAGAAGCTTGAGCGTCAATTGTCATGCATTTTCATTGTAATTGCCAATTCATTGTTATTTGAGATCTTCAAAAGAAGAAACAGGTGATTATTAATATGGCATGTGTACTTAATTGCAAGTTCACTGAAAATCAAACAAACTTTCCCAACACTTGAATAAAGTTTTCCATGAAAGTAAGCTCATTTTAAAAAATGTATATTGAGAAATATGTTGAACATAAAAATATTCCGCGGATTACTTCTGTTAGCCACTCCTTATATAAGGAGTTATAACTGTGATGTTTCAAAACTGAAATATAGTTTCGTTAGCTGTGTTAAAAAACATGCCCCTTGTGATTCTTTCCATTTATTATCACGAATCACTCATGTTTGTTCGGAGATTTCTCAGCCTTGATTTAGAAGTAATCCAAGTTTGATTTGCGAAGTGGACTATCATGAACATTTAAGTGTTAATCAAACTAAAGTTTGCCAACATTTCGTCTCATATTTGTGAACAGTTAATCAAATGCTTTCCTATCTATCGACTTGACGTTCCGACATCGTGAAAAAAAAACTCGACTAACAGTTAGTGTTAAGAATTGATCTACAACTACAAAGGTAGCTCTTAGTCAACTCTGAGAATAAGTTTAGTCAACGACATTCGAGAGTGAGTTCCATAAAATCCTCCACCATTGCTAAAATCTTTGAATCACATGTTTCTTTACATATCACGAGGGTGTGTTTATAGTTCCAGTATACATGATGCTCCCTAAACAAAACGCAGCATTTATTTCAGAATCGTCTCCGCGTTGTTATACGTCCTACAAGCACTCACAAGCGAGTTAATCGATGGTTCAATGGTTAAGACGCTGAATGTTTAGTCGCTAAACTCAGAGTTCGAACCCTGCTCCATCTACTCCAGTTTAAGTAACCCGACAATACTATTAGCCCTCACACTCATGCCCAAATACCCAGTAAATGAGCTAATCAGATGTTTTTTAATGACTAACGGGTCAGTTTGTTGTATTAGCATTCTACTTTATGTAACTAATTATTGGTAATTTAAGTAAATACTCAGTCAGTCATACAAAACGTGGGACCTGACATATGTGTAGAAGGGCTCATGTTGACGTGCTCCATTAGCATATCAATGCGAAACTCAGATCAAATCTTAATATGGTAAGAGTAGTAACTGTGTTATTGGTAGTAAAAAATATTAGGTATCGAAGATCCTAATCGAGAAAGTATAAATTAGTGAGATAAAAACTAAAGAAAGGTATTACGAATTTAGAGACTCGGATGCTAAGCGATGACTAAATGAACTTGAAAACAAACTGTCCTGTCTAAAAAAAACTCACGGCTGAATTATATACAGACTCTAGAAGGTACTGAAAATGTTTCGGCGTAAATAATAGTCGCTGAAAGTTCCGTAAAAATAAAGGGGTTCAGAGTTATCATTACGTTGACTGAATTTTATTCGTATTGTAAAAATTTGTCTGGCAAGTAATCACAATATCTAGACTACATAGAGGGCGCATATATGTCTAGTGCCCCCTTGTACCAATATTTATGTGTTTAAATAAATAAGACTACATACCTAGTGCACTACCGACATCATAATAAAAGTAGGTCATGCATCCTGATGTTGTCACTCCAAATCTTGCGACTGAAAACTAATTCTACCACTTCCTGTCTAATGATTTAATTGGACGCGTGATCAGCTCTACAGTACCCGCTCAATAATACAATGCAGCGCTGTTCTTCCATCAGTTTTTGTTGTGTCCTATGAACTAACTCCTATCACGAAATTACTGCTTAAAGTTCACACCAGATTTTAAGTTAAAACATGGTACTATGAAATGTCTTTTGAAATGTAAAATTTATTTTGAATATTAGGATATTTCTCCCACACTGACTTTTGTCATGGCATTTGTAATTTGATTTGTGTTTTATTCCAAACGATAAATCAACGTGGCCACGTTCCACATTTTTAAAGTTAACGTTTTTGTTTTAGACGGCTTTACTTGACTAAGTGCATTCACTACAGAGGAAAGCTTTAGCGATGGATAACTACCAGTCATTGTTACCAATTTTTGCAGCAGTTCTTGCGGTATGGAGTATTTTACTTGGAATGTCTTTTCATCAAATCGATGAAGGTTAATGCTCTAATAAAAATTTATAAATACAGGTCATGTTGGTGTCTATTACCGTGGTGGTGCTCTACTATCTCAGACCAACGGACCCGGTTATCATCTGATGATTCCCATCATAACAACATACAAACCTGTTCAGGTATGAATGACAGTTTTTCGGAATATTTCGTTTGGTAGATTACTTTACAAACTGATGAAGTAAAGGATGTTCCTTGTGGTACAAGGTAATTTAGTCAAAATTAATCATCTTGATTTGTCTTATATAGCTAAAAGCTAAACTGTGTTATCAAAGTGTTAATCGATTTAATCGATTTAATCATTGAGCACTGATGTCCAAGATTCTCGCTATCCTAATACTATTTCGAATCTCAGCTAACTAGTAACATCTGTGGGCGCTGTTCTGTAAATAGCGTTAACCAACGTATTAACGGTTTAAGAACTGTCTATTTTTAATGCTCAGAATACTTCAGGAACTATCGCATCTCCTCTCAAATGTGCTGTGACTAATTCTTATAATCGTAACAGCCACGTTGACTTGGTGGTCATGCTTGTTTATTGTCGTGGTATAATTAATATTTTATGTTCTTAAATAGTGAAAAACGCCTATAGAGGACTAAGGTGCATCTTAGCTGTGTTTTTATTTAGATCTTATTCCTCGCTGTCCTTGGTGTCATGGTGTGACCTTGGAAATTTCATGTTTTATGTGACCTGGTATCCTGTAGTACCAGACATTTTTGGTTGTAATTAGTACCAAATTCGGTTACGTTAGGAAAACAGCTTAAGATGGAGTTGAGGTCTGGCGGTCAAACTTCACAAATTTGAGGTCATAGCTACGAACTTTGCTCTATATACGTATATATATGCATTATCATTCGACGTGATATAAAAAATAAGACTCAAATCTGAAAAAAGAAATCTAAATTTTCTTAGTATTCCGTTTTTCTCTTGAAGTCTGACCATGATGGTAAATTCAGTTAAAAAGCTATGGAAGCTAAAACAAAAAATCTAGAATTCAATGTCATACTCTTGGTTGGTTAATGAATTAATTCATTTATTTGAACACAAATATTTATACAAATGGGCACCGAATACATGTACACCACACAAGTTAATTGATTTTTGTGTGGGCTGTGATACTGCTCGTGTACCCAGACCGAAGCAGGCGGTTTTCTTAGGGGGCCACACCCGGAGCCTTCGACTTAAAGGTTTGATCCACAAAGCAGTGGAGCATCGTAAGTAGATGCATTCCCATGGTAACCGGTGACCAATAATTGGTTCATACGCCATTTGTGCCCTCAAGGTAGTGGGGCCCATGTGCACTATTGGTTTGAAATCAGGGTTTTCCAACTCATCTGGGTGAAATCTCCGTGTCCACCAACCCGGTTAAAGCGCCGGACATTCGCTTTTCGTCCTCTCAATTTCGTAAACAACAGTAGTGCCGCGAGAAGTCAGTGAGTAGGACTCCCCTGACAGTGGCCGTATACGCGTGGCCATGTGAGAGCATTTTGGGAGGGACTGCTGACTCTCCCTATCCTCGGCCGTACCAGGGCATTTAGTTGATTAAAATAAAATAATGTTAATATCTTTCCTTAAGTTACTGACAATCTGTGATCCGGTTTGCATACTATAGAGTTTTCATTTTAGTTAATCGGCGTAACGGTTACCAATGTTTCTAAACATTAGATTTTGAAGTTTGAAATCAATTACGATGGCATGTATTTGTTTACCGTGCAGCGTTTTTTCTATTCGATACTGCTTTCCTCCGACCATTATCCTCTCTTTAATATATTGGTGTTCCGTTCCTAGAATGCAACCTGAATGACATAATTATTGTACCATACTCTAAGCTATTTGCTTGGGAGTCTCATCAGCCCTTATGGTCTGGTGTGTGACGAAATCTCAGCACGGATACAGAAGGCTCGACTAGCTTTTGCCAGCTTGCTTCATTTATGGCGTTGGCGAGATATCCGTCTATCAACTAAAGGACATGTTTACTGCGCAGCAGTTCGTTCCGTCCTAATTTATGGCAGTGAAACATGGCCGGTAAGAGTAGAGGATATTCGCAGGTTACTAGTATTTCATCATAGGTGTCTTCGAAACATTGCTTGTGTATCCTGGGACCACCGGGTAATACAGTTGTTAGGAAACGGGTACTAGGTAAGGATGGCAAATCAATTAATGGAGTAGTGAAACTTTATCAGTTGAGATAGCTGGGACATGTGTTACGTATGTCCAACCACCGACTGCCTCGACGTGCGATGTTTCGTGGTGTAGGAGTAAGTTAGAAGAAATCTAGGGGCGGCCAGACCAAAACATTGCACAAATCCAGGCAGTTACTGACAAGTAGACTGAGCCATGTTTGTAGGTGTAGATCACCTGGTTGGGTTCTACGAGACGACAACAACCGATCGTTAGAGATATGTTGTAAAATCGTTTGCAATGGCGCAGGTGCATCCACTCTTTGTGTTCTCCAAAATTCTAATCTTCCGAATTCTTCATGTCCTTTTTTTCGCTTTCCAAATTTATTTCACTGTATTATACTCGTTGAATAACATCTTCAAATCCTAGTGTTTCCGATTAGTGCCTATACTTTTACTACCTCTACCGCTATGGGATTTGAATCGACAATCTTTTCTGTGTGCTATTGCTGTATGGCAACTCGGACTGATATATGTACGTACGAAGTCCCACGTTATTACTGACTGGTATATATATATATATATATATATATATATATATATATATATATATATATATATATATATATATATATATATATATATATATATATATATATATATTGGAACGCATTTCATGTTGTAAAATGAGCGGTAGGATACTATATTGCAAATAACGCCTCCCGATCGTTTTGCTTATCAATTATTAATAATTGTAAGTAATAGGAATAATATGTTAAGATCCGGAGTTACTATAAATAGTATTGTCTTTCGGTGAAATATAATTATTACCAATGAAGCAACCGCTCGTCTTCAGATTTTACGGTTTGGAAGACTGAATCATTTCTGTTTTTATGCCACATAAAATATTCCTGATGAAAACTACTTGTGAAAGGTTTTCTGGTGAAAACCACCTAATCATTCTGTTTTACTATTTCTAAACACTATTGGAAAGTCTTTCGCTACGTCTTATTTTACAAGGTTTGTAAATACTTTTTTATTGATCTCATAAATGGTACTGTTTACATATTGTTTGCATATATACGTTCATCTGATCATTCCTTAGAAAAATATATCATTCTGTTCGTTGTACATTTCCAGTTTTATGTTTAAAATTCATTATGTAACCAGAAAACTAGTCTGTTTTGAAATACCAGTACTTGTGTACACTTTGAAGCTGTTGTAAGCTTTCATTCTCGAGTTGATTTAATTAGTTGTTACAAGTCTAGGTTTTTCTTTCTAAAATGATGACCGAATTAAAGCATAATCATGGTTATTATCTAATGACCGATTGAAGTATGTTATTTTTATTATATAATGAGTTATTTTCAATCTAAAGAACACTAGGCGTAATGTTTTTATGTGTAGTAGTTAACTCCAAAGTTCCAGTTAATTAAGATAATATATTCTCACATAAGTAGAAGGTACAATTTTAAATAAATATAATACATAATTTTCAGGTGCTCTGAAGATTCTCTTGTAATTGCCCAGTATTTATTCATACTACATTACATCAGTTTTAATTAACAAACAAGCGATTTCAGATGTCTACCTAACTCCGATGCGATACATGGGTTGTTAAACATACTGACGATAGTCCATTTATATTTTTACTCATTTTTACTGTACTATTAAATTAATTAGTGTATCTTCATTGTCTGTCTTTGTTTCCTATTTTCCCTAATATCACCAGTGGTGGTGTTGTCATTTATTTTGATCGTGTTGAAGTAGTCAATTATTTGGCGGCTGAAAGTGGTAAGTTCAGTGGTTTTACTTTTTTAGTTAGTCTGTTTTGTTCAATAAATTGAGAATCTAAGGCACATCTTTTGACTCTTTAAACAGATGCACAGCACGCACAAGGGTTTCAAGTATTTTTAGCAGTGTTGGACTCTGATCCAATTTAGTTAGTTTTACTATACTGCCTAAATCGACTAAGAAAATTAACGTTTTAAATCTATTGAAATGTAGTAACAATCCAGTTTAGTTGTTTGCTAACCATCAATCATAAGGAGCTCTCTGTATTCTATTGCTAACTACTATTCAACTTTGCTTAATATGCTCTAGATAGCTGCACTGTCAAGACAATTTTCATATATACCATGATCAATTGCAGTCCTTACCATTAACGAGAAGATTCAAACAACCTTCACAAATGAGTTATTTTTAAAATTGCTCTCTTATTATGTTAAGAGTGTTGACCAGTTATTATTTTAAGTAATACATGTTAAAACAGAACTCATGCACTAATCGCTAAACTGATATGATTGACTGCCTTAGTCATCATATGAAATTTCGACAAACATTGTTTTAGAATGTTTTCGTAAAGATATTTAGTTAGTGGAAAAACTATCTGATTATGTAATCCATTTTTGTATGTTTCTTCTGTTGTACATTCACTTTCTAGTTCATGATATTGTCAAGAATTATACAGCTGATTATGATAAAACACTAATATACAATAAAATTCATCATGAACTAAACCAATTTTGTAGTATACATACTCTACAAGAAGTGTACATTGAATTATTTGGTAAGTTTTTTATTTCTGTAATTTTCGAGACATTTTCCGTTTGAGTCTTCTTTCGTTAGTAATACAGTCTGTAAGACTTCAAATTATACAGCTTTTGTATTATTTTCGGTAATAAGTGATAGTTCTGAAATATAAGAAATTCTCCGCTAACTTTTTCTAATTCATATTTCCCCATTGACCTCTTGTGTTATCTATTTGTCTATTATCGCTTTTAGTTTGCTATTTTTGTTGTCTCGAGGTTGTTTCTGCCATATAAACAGAGTTGTTGTACTACAAGTTTGACTTTTGTTTGGAATAGTAAAGCACTAATGTGGGATTTTTAGGGACAACAGGTATCAGTTCTATATGTGGTTTCACAGTAGCTCTAATAGATATATTTGTTGACAACTGGTGAGCGAACTAGTAGGCATAACCAAAATAGAGCCTAGCACATATGCTCTTTGGTCCAAGTTGGCATACCTGATTAGTGAAACAAGATTGAAATAGCGAGAGAGATCGGAATAATGTAGAATCAATGCTAAAAAGAATGGTTAAACCTTTAGAGCACATTTTTAAGAGACAGAGTAAAAAGATACGTATAAAGTTACTGGGATTCAATATCGAAAGGAATATAAAGAGTGAGTGCATCTGTGCCATCGCAAGCAATTTTGAGCCATGTTGCTCGAAGTCTTCAACCACTGATTTCAGTTGTCACACGGGCTCGAACTACATACCAACATGCCTCAGATAAACAGTCACTCACTTTTTAATTTGACCGCCCTTAGCTTTCTTCCAACCTACTTCTTCACTTTCAACCATCATTCCCTGAATCACCACTGGTTTACAATGATAGTTTATCAACTCATCTAGCTAAGCCCTTTTTATAACCACTAACGTGATTTAGGCGGCATGTACTTGCCCCAGCTTTTTCACTTTTGTTTAAAAACACGAACTCAATGGTGTATTTTATATTCATAGACTGTTATTTTATAGTTTTTCGTTTGCTTTTCATACTTCTAAAAAGTGTGTGACAAAGAAACTACATGGTTTTATTTTAATAGATCAAATAGATGAATTTTTAAAGCGAACATTGCAAGCAGATCTAATTTTAATGGCTCCTGGTTTATATATTCAAGCGGTACGAGTTACGAAGCCTAAAATTCCTGAAGCCATTAGACGCAATTATGAAGCTATGGAAGCTGAAAAAACAAAACTGCTAATTGCTGAACAACATCAAAAGTTAATTGAACGAGAAGCTGAAACTGAGCGTCGTCGTGCAATAATTGGTAAGTTTATTATTTTTTTCATATTGTTCAACTCCCACATACACATGCGTTTCGATAATGTAATGAGAAGACAAAGTTTATCATATTTATGTGATATATTTGCGCAATACATTTCGAACAATCTGATCACACATATACTTGCTAAGACACTTTAATATGAAAATTAAAAGGTCAAATAGACAGGTTAAAGTTAAGCTGTAACAAAGAAAATAATAATAAAGTACACAAACACAGTGTGATAACCACTCTGGATAATAAGTCAGTATTACCAGGGTAGGTTAAGGGCAACGACAAATTGTTTTTGAACGCATAAAAAGGGTCGCAGTCTCGAAATTTATCAAAGGGACTAATTGTTTTAGATTTCTGAAAAGAAGACTCCCTACACATGGGTTTATCAATTTAAAAAAGCTGATTTGTCTCTTATTTAGTGGTTTCATATCATTTTCTACTTGAATTTATTTCATTTGTATCATACAGGTCTCCCTAGCTTAGAACTCAGATCTACTGTGACAATGGTTTTGATTCGTTTTATTTTTATACATTCACTGTTATTCAGTGTAAATCATGTTGTCACCATTATTTTATAACAAGTGATAAACTACTCATGTTTTCAAATTGCTGTGACTCAAAGTCTGTAGACTATTAAATTTTATTTTTAGTTAGTTAATATTATGACATCATATGGCACACTTTCGGAGTTAGATATTTATGGTCAACCTGTAGAATCCATACAGATATTCTTATTTAACGACCGAGCTGCACAAAAATATTCTAAAGCTAAATGTCGAAATTTTCTGGGATTGTGTTAGTTTAATAGCTGATCAAATAAACATTGACAATTTTCAAACTTTAAATTCCAGTGTTCACGCATCACTTACCCAATGAAAAGCATAATCCTTTCTATAAATAAAAAAAATCAAGCAGTACATGACTATTTAGATCAATAGTATCTATAATTAAAGATACAGATTTATCTTCTACATTTCCGAAAACAGATTAACCATTTAATTTTAACAAATTTTTATAAAGTAACCCACAGAATTAAACCAAACTAAGAGAAACACTTACGAATTGAAAAGTAAACTGAAATGTATTAGTATGATTATAACAAAATAGAATAAATGATTTACCGTAACAGAATAATACAACTTGTAACGATAAAATTGAGAAAATAGTTAAATATAACTGTAAGTACTCTTTATTAATAAGTCAAACTGTGAGTAAAATATGACATGAACTCTATTTTGCATCCGGTTAATATCAGCCAGTGAAATCTTTCATTCAAAAATGTCTTCCTTGAACTTTAAAAACTTAAATGAATCATCAGTCTGCTTTAGTCTTTTTGATAAATTGAATCGTTATTCCACATTATCAAAGTTTTCACAGCAAATAAATTGTTTCTAACCAGTTCATTTTCAAAGCATAACAATCATATCTTCATATACCGCCGTATTAATTTATAAACAAATTCTATGTTGATTACCCAGAATGTTAAAATGGGTATTTCTGACGAAAAATAAATAAAACACAAGATTTTTTAAGCATAGAAAATAAATGCAATTCTTCGGGTAAGTAAATTAAATGTGCGACGCGTTCAATGCAAGTCCTCACTGGGGAGGTCCCGGTCGCTGCTGAAGGTAGTCCTTTACCGGGGAAAAATAACTCCCCAGTATCCTGTAATTTTCAGTGTTTTTTCTAACTGAAGTCGGTTTGTGATAATAACTACAAGTTGACCGTTCTCCTCAAACCCTTTATTCTAATAATAATAAAATATAGGCAGTACATAAGTTTTTTTTTAAATGTATGAACAAAAGCAATCAAAACAGAGGCATGGTAAAGACAAAATTTTAACAAACTACATTTGTACACATTTATTTACTTCTAGAAATTTCTATTTTCAACACAAAGCTAACAAACAAAGTATATATCTTGACTGGGAAGTAAATACGTCCAAACTTGTAAGATTATCTCGTGTTTTCCTTGATCTTTTCGTGAATCCGTTTTAGAAATCTTTTTTCACTTCATCATATTTCGTAGGTGTTGTAATAACCTTAATATGACAGGGATTAGTGATGTTTAGGTCTTTCAAGTCATCTCAAACATAATTGTGACCAATTATTAAACAATATTGTATATGATGTTGAGTTATTTACTTATAGGTATATGTCAATCGACCGCTGTAAGTTATTATCATTTTGATTGAGATCATGAACCGACCAATATTAGACCACCATTGAAAACACGTGAGTACTAGACGGCCATTTTGTCCCAGTATGAGTACTCCTCAGCAATGTGCATCCACGACTTCTCGCGCGCAAACGCTTAACCTCTAGACAACTGATTCAGCATCCAACAGTCTTGATGTCTAACTTCAACCAATACGCGGTATTGCGCGACCATCCATTGTTTACGGTGAGTAATTGTCTCACACCTGACACGGTTGAACTTCACTGGTCGTGGCCATATGATCTCATTTAAAAATAAACAATCACCACAATCCTATCTGTTCAATTATTGATATGGCTCTTGTTATGCTTAGATAATAGTCAGTTTTTATAATTTGTGTTTATTTCATAACATAACTTAATTCTTGAATAACAAATAAACTTTACTAGTCTTGTATGGTTAATGGTGTCAAATCAGTTACTTCTGGACACATGTGACTTCAAATTAATTTTATAGTTAGTGTTTGTACAGTTTAAAATAACAGTACCAATATAATAAAAAACTTTGATAGTTAGTTATTGCTTAACAATGACTAACATTTCTGATTGATTGTACTTTAGCATTTTTATAATTCCTAATTTTCAGTTTCTTTTAGCCTGTCATAATCATTTTTCACTTTATTCCAAAGTTTTTGAACACTATCGATTCATAACATACTTTAGGAAATGAATTAATACTTAATAGATAAGTCTATTAAATTTGGTGTTGACAATCTTGAATGTTTCACATACTCTACAATATTACATTCATTATTAGATTTTTATAAACTTAAGTTACTTGTAGCTGATGCAAGTTGTTGTTGTATTCTTTATATACCTAAAATGAAGTTTTACTTTTATAATAAATTAGAGGCTGAAAAGCTAGCTGAGGTTTCTGCAATAGAATGGCGAGCTAAATTAGTTGCTCAAGAGCATGAACGAAAAATCAGTGAAGTTGCAGATGCCACACAACTTGCCCGATCTAAAGCGCTTACAGACGCAGAATATTATCGTGCCATGAAAGAGGCTGAAGCGAGCCATTTAAAGTTAACCCCAGCGTATTTGGAATTAGCTAAATACCAAGCTTTGGCACAAAACTCTAAAGTTTACTTTACCGGTGATCAAGGAAACCTTATTATGGATCTTTTGAACCAAATGTCTTCAAGTTTGTCTAAATCAAATGTGTCAACCAAAGACCAGGTCACATCTTCATTTGTGTAGCATTTCATTTTTTAGTAATTATACTACCTAAAATTTTTATATTTCATTCGAAGTTGTCTATTTATGTACATTTTGTAATATTGTACAATAAACCAGAAACTTTTTACTTGTCAGTTCTTTGTTTTTTTATACACACCAACTACAGATGTGATGCTTCATTTTCTAAGCCACTGATCTGTCATAACTTATGCCCTTGCACATGATGTGTTCATTTTTTTGGTGGTATTGAAACGTATTAGTATGTTTGCGATATTAGTAAGCGAAACTTTTTTATTTATTAGCTTAACTAGATTCTACAGGCATGCAGATCTGCTAGATAGAAGCAGCATTTCGTGTTACAAAGAAAGCTCAATAAAATATTGTAGCGCTATGGCTGATCAAAGTGGAGCGTCCTTTTAAGGTGACATTCACTGCGATTACCTTGTTGATTAAGACTAGTTTTGGAACATGCGACTTAAGGTTTACCTTGGATATCTGTATATTATATTGGGATATGTAAGTGCATGGTTTAGCACACAACCACGACATTTCTACTTTAGGTAGCTTAGCCACAGGTCGAGGAATATTCATGTCTCTTCTAATGACATAACTGTTGTCAAAGTGTTTCCTAATTTCTGCTCAATGGTTTCTTTCTCGAGATGTGCCTGTATAGTCGCCAAAGGTGTTAAAGCAGGTTTAGAGAGTTATATGTAGTGGAGTTTTCCAGCCGATTAATCACTAGACCCAGAGAAATACTGGCTTTAATCCTCTTAGAGACCCTGGATTCTGTGTACACCGTCCTGTCGTTTTACGTGTTTACATCAGTTTGTCACAAGAATAATCCCTTAATGGTTACTCACCTAAAGCTGGGTTCTTTCTCGTGCTGGCTCGTTACTTTAGTCCATTTTGCATATCAGTACTTTATTGTAAACACTTAAAGATCTTTTCGAGTTTCCTCAGTATTATTGACAGATTACATTGGCACATAAATGATGTGAGGGAACCATTTGGAATTTCTTTAAAAGTGCGACTATACGCAAGCTCCAATAATGCTAACATAATGTTCGCCATAGTTAAATATGTTCTGTAGTGTATGAGAGGATATTTAGTTCACTTCAGCGAAAAAAATGAAGGAAGAAAAGGTTGGGTACGTAAATAACTTGCGAAGCAATTAGAGTAAGAAGTAATATATGTATTACGAAAAGAAGTGAAGGGATAAGATTTGGTGGCAGGATAGGGGTTTATGCGGGAAGCGCTATGAAGGTATAAGTTGTTGCAATGAGTAGTCTCCAGGTGTCAGTTTGTGTGTGGTGTAGATAAAATGAACCTGTAAAAGTGGGGAAACTACCGTTCAGTTTGATGTCGAGTGGGTAGTGTTGGCATCAGATAAGGTCAAAGTAAGTGCTGGATAATTCTTGGGCTGACGATATACGGACAGTGACAACACCATATGATTTAGGTTCAAAAAACTCAAGCCGGAACAACCGGGAGATCGGATTCCAACGTTATTCAAATAGGACAGGGGTATTATTCCTCCTACCCAGACAACCCAAAAAGGGGAAATAAAGGGGTAAATGCCTTGGTAGCGAAAGGGGAAAACGCGCCAGAATGTCGCCTGTCCGGGGGGAAATAATGCGGATTTTCCCCTTTTTGTCGACAAGTTACCGACTTATCGCCTAAATATCCGCCGAATTGTCGCATTTTCGCCTAAATTTCCGCTGAATTGTCTACTTTTCGCCTAAATTTCCTACTTATGCGCTTAACTTTCTACTTTTCGCCTAAATACACACATTACCTCCTATTTTCCATCCATCGACAGAACCCCAAACGTCTCCTATGTTCGCCTTTATTTTCAACAACAGACGAAAATATATCTGCAATGCAGTGGAAAAGCGGTAAATTTTTTAAAAATTTTATTTAAAAGGAAAAGCGTATTATTGTACAACACTAGAGCAGAAGCTTAAGCATCGATAGTTTTGCATATCCAATGCAATTTCTAATTCATTGTTATTGGAAATTATCTGAAAAAAAGAAGGAACAGGTTTTTTTTATTTATAAGGAATGTGCATTTAATCAAAAGTTCAATGACACTCAAACACACATTCTTAACACTTCGACAGTTTCCCACGTAAGTAAAAGAGTAAGCTGTTTGAAAGAATGTTTATTGAAATCGAGGTAGAACATCATAACAATTGCACGGACTATTGAGAATTGAGGTAGTCGTCCTGTGAATTCTGAATAAACAAAAAAAAGTCATAACCATATCTCAATGACATGCTTTGGCACAGCCAAATACATGAAGCTGAACTTACGGTTATGTTCGTTAGTATTGTTGACTGTAACTATAGAGCCGTAGGGAGGTTATCACTTCAAATTAGTACATACCTGGTCTTGTTTTCTTCTATTACGCTTCATCATCTTGTCTCGGATATCGTGAAAGTAACCTTGTGTCGCGATGTCATAGAGCTTACCAAGGTCTTTTTCGTTGACAGAGGATGACAGAAAGCGATGAGTTAAGGCACCTGAACTTTAAGTAATAGATATAGGTTACTTCGTATGCAGCTGTAAAACGTGCATTTCTGAAGTGCTCGTTTGGAAGAGGTGCCAAGTAAGGTGAATTTACTGGCAACCTCAGGTGTCAACAGATACGACAGAACAAACCGCATCGACGTTTTTGGATCGTCACTTGATAACCTAGTGACCATTGCCATCTGTAATAGTAACAAATTATTAAATTCATGTTAATGACTTACAAATCTGTCCCTGGTTTCTTTCTGCGACAAACCAGTATCCAGCATCTGTAGTTCCTCTTCAGATGACAAAGGGAAATGCTGACTCGACAGTCCGCAATCGAATTGATGCGGTCCTTCGCGCTCATTAGACTTTGAAAGCAATTGCTTTACATTAATGCTCAAATCAGAAATGGCTGTTGACATATTCTGCAACCTTTGACTGAAGTCATTCATAGTTGACGAAATGTTTTGCACCATTGCATGCAAGCTATCTAACCTTAAAAAGTTCACTTGATAATGCAGGTGACTTACTGGTCTGCTGAAGCACCATGGACACGCTTTGATGCAGACGGGGATGTCTGTAATTGCGTCGAACTAATTTTTGAACATGTAAATAGTCATGAAACTTACTTAGTAATAGGCGAAACTAATTTGTCAAACAACCTGAATTTGGGATATTGAATATGACTATTGCCAGCCTGCATTTCAGCAACATCCATGTCGACTGAATTGTAAAGATATTCTTGTTTACGCTTCATGGCAGCTCTAGGAAATGTTAGTAAGATTATTGTACAGACCTCTTGGGCTTCTCAGTGTTATGTGGCAGACTGTTTTCATCCGTTGAAGTGTTTTCAAGGTAGTTAACCCCACTGCCGATAAACTTTGGTTGAACACTTGGACATGTCTTTAGGACACTTCTGATGCTTTTCGGTATGTCAGGGGTAAGAAATCGTAGACCATACAGAACCCGATCAGCATCTCTTATGCTCAGAGATGTATTTGACATTAGATACATCATAAAGTCGTTTATCATTTCTTTGCGATTCACGAACTTTTGAGAGCACAGGTTCACTTCAGGAGATCCTATAAGATATATATTCACGTATGAATTTAATATACATACCACAATTATCTGAAAGTCCTTGATTGATGTTGCTAGTCGATGGTGTAATAGTTGAAGTACTGTCATTACAACTGATTTCTCTCTTTACTTCTATCAATTTAATAAACAACATTGTTGAACTCAGTTACCTTTTAGGGTGCTTTCATTAGCAAACTCACTGAACGAAAGAAAGTCATATTTTTTCATGAAAGCAGCTCTCATTTTATTCCACCTTCTGTTATAAGTGGATCTATGACAGCCAAGGGAACGTGACAAGTTTACAGTGGCCCTACGTCTACGAACATTCTCACTGACTTCAACAGAACTCTTAGTATTGGCCTAACAATGTAATTAGTTACAATGAACATGAAAATCAGAGAGCACGTCACTCACCTGCATCACAAAAGTTTTTTGTGATGGCTCCCAAACAAACGAAGTCAGTCTATATGCGTATGAACCGAATGCCTGGTTCCGTATTTTGTACCTTGTTTTTATGACAATAGTTTTGTTTTTTTATTAAGCGGTGCCTTAATTTGTCGAAGTTTATGAAAAATTAAGCTCCAGAAGCGGTTCATTCGAATACTGTACGTTACATAGAATTGTCGACAAATTTCCCCCGAATACACGACGTAAGGGGGAAAAAGCGACATTTCCCCTTTATTTACGCTGTCGTCCGCTTTATTTCCCCTTTCTTCGCCTTTATTTCCCCCTTCTTCACCTTTATTTCCCCTTTTTGTGTTGCTTGGGTAGAGTTAAATTTGCTGTTTTGATCGTAAACTACACATCAGAACTACTATTCAAACTTTAATTGACTTCATTTCAGTTAAATTGATGTTGTACTTGTGTGTATTGACTTTGCTTTTGTGTATCCATTGCATCAAAGCATACTTAGTCGAATTTAACTAGACTTATGAGGTTAAGGTTTGAGATTTTGTTTTTAAATACCCATTTTTGTGTTACCACTTTTAGTTAATTTCTAAGATGGTCAGCTCTGCTTACAAATATGGACAGCCATATTCCTTATTCCCTGTGGAATAAGGAATGGAATGTGTACACGCTTAAATCCAACTTTCTATAAAACGCGCCCAAAACTTAATTCTCATTGGTTCTGTATGTTTTGTTGTCCGAGCAAAACATTACTCATCCAAGAGAAATTTAGCCTTTTTGCGTTGGCTAACAAAAAAATTGACTGGGACTGTACTAGTAACATGGGTAGTGATTAGGAGGAATGCGTCAGTGTCGTAAGTGCTGTTACGGCACGTGCCAGCCACACGGCTGTGCAACACGTAATATGGCTTTCTGTCTGAAAACAATCACCGAGCGATACACCATTAGGTAATGGTGACCAAGTTGCAGAAGCAGCGACTGATGACCCAGAAAATCATTATCATCCGACTAGTTGTAATGTGCATGCTGCGACCGATGGGATATGGATGATGCGGAAACATAGAAGAGAAAGAAAGCTAGCCACGGATAGCTCCCATTTATTCGAAAGTTCCTTGGTGAACTTTTAGTGCCTGTTGGCAACCCTTGTTTTATTGATAGAAGAAACCCGACTAGTGGTGAATAAGTCTTTATTTAGATCGTCTCGCAGTCACACTGGGACATGGGATTACCTGCACAAACACACAAAGCTTTTCAACATCCAATATAATGCCTATACAAAAAAAAGAAGTGAATGGATAATTGAGCTCTACTGTTTTGACATATACTTAGTTGTTTGAGGTAAACTCTAAACTAATCAATCTGAGCTGTTATATAAGTTTACCATAGAATCGACTACAGTAGGATCGTCGGTTTGATTAATTTATCAACCAAGTAAACATACCTTCTGTTTCCGCAGCCCAAGGGAGTATTACCAAGTTGCTCAGCATTTCCCTTCCAGTGGATGGCGACTAAACGAGTCAGCGATCGATGATAATCCATGAATGTCTCTTCATTTACTAGCTTGTTACCTCATTTTGTAGCATTTAATGTCCTCCACAACAATCGCTGATGGTTTGCTATGTGCCCTCTGCATGGTGATCAGAGCTTTTTAGAGTGAAGGGGTTAGGAAAATGTAGTAGGAATGTCCGAGGAAGTGCTGCGTTTCGTCCTACTTGGGACTAGTCAGCTGGATATACCTCCACTGCGATTGATCAGCCTCACGATGACATATACGTATCCTGTGCGGATTGCATGGGTACAACGTTAGATCACAAGCTTTTGAAACAAAGATGGACAGTGGCCTGCAGTGGGATTCAGGACGCGCACTTGGTTCACATTATGCATTGCAAACTCCTCTTCCAAAGTTTCAAAGTAAGACCCCAAATGGGAAACGTTCCACCTCATCAAACAGTCTTGAGTCATTCGCTCAACTCCCACGACTCTATTACAATAAAAATTAACACTGTGGTGCCAAGATCTAACATGCAGAATCTGACATCACGGTCGAAAGCCATGAACACGACTTTTATAGAAGTTAAACAGGTTCTCAGCCCAATTATTTGGAATTTAGAGCAGTCGAAAGCTAATGACCATGCTAAGAGGCATGCACACGACATAAAGTTAGTGGAATCAGGTATGTACTGTTTGAAGAAATTTCAGGAGTACATATCACCAAGTAAGACTGGATAATTGGATTTGAGGCGAGAACCAACCTCAATGCACCATTTAGGTCTCCTACTTTTCCTTTTCCACGTCAATGAATTCCCTCTGTTGCTTAAGCAGTTGACATTATTGTTCGCACATGATTTTAATTTCTGGAGAACACTAGGAATTGAGGTTGATCATTTTGATCTTCACGCTGGCTTATACGCATCAGTCGAATGTTCTCGAGGTTAGAGGTTGGACGTTAACTCTAGGAAGTGTGCCCATGCACATTGGACACGGCAACAGTTACGATTACACTACTGATAATAAATCTCTTCCATAAGTTCAGGAACATTAGGACTTAGGAATAATAATAAGTCACGACATGAAAACAACTACGCATTACAACGCAGCTGCTGCCAAAGATTACCGTGAGTTATTGTCACTTCGTCGAGCATTCAAATGCTTTGAACAAATGTTTCGAAAAATATATCTCATCTATGTAGGACCACACCTAGAGTAATAAATTCAGGCAGCTAACCTATGTCTGATACAAATTACTAACTCACCTGAGCGTGTGCAGTGTGTGTGGGAACAAAATCAGCGAAAGGTCTTTCTAAACTTCCTTAGAATGGACGCTTAAAGCACCTAAATCTTTCCACTTTGTTTTATCGTAGGACGCGGAGTGATCTTATTTCGTATATCTAATTGCGATTTAGATGTTAATGTGTCTTATCGTTTTGCTCCCTCCTGCAGTGATAATCTTCGAGTTCACAGCAAGAAGGTTCAAAAACCGCGATGGGGTTCGGTTTTTCTAATGGAGTGGTCGATAAATGAAACTCCCTACACGAATAAGTGGTACTAGCCCCATAAACGAACATTTTCAAGGAGAAAATGGATTTTTTTTACTGGAAGGCAAACTGTCAGAATTCACACAGGTACACCAACCTACGATCCTTATTACTGAAGACTCAAGACTTAAGAAGCACATGCATGCGTGGGTTGATCAACACAAAAATCACTGTTTAGGAAACTCCAGTTGATTGTGTTGTGGATGATATTATTGGATAATAATATAATTAATTCCTCTACCATCTCAAACAGGTGGAACTTTGAGGTTTTTGGGGTTGAAAAGTGCTGTCAATGCAAATTATCTAGAAATCCATAGCTAATCCGAAAAACGTGGACCGAATCGTAGGCAGGTTGTGTAGATGAACTAGAAGACTCTAAGGATGCCATAATTATTTGGAGTATGACAACGTCCTAACCATTAACACCCTTCATAATTGAAATGTACGAACCCAATCAAGTAAACCACCACCCTAGTGTCGAACATATCTCAAAGTGAAATACATTAGAGGTTGGTCAACTCGTTCCAACCTGGATTTGGTCTACGACGGGTAAACGATTTGTTTAGACTAAAAAGGTAGCAGGGAACACCACATTCATTAACTGAGCTTAAATATATAGCACTACAATACGCAGTCCTCGTGATGAACGTAGTACGAGTAAATCTCACTGATCCACTAACATCCGAACTCCGAAAGTTCTACACATAAATTTTCGGAACAAAAGTAAAGTGCTGGCTTAGATTTAAAGTAAATAAAAGAATGTGTTTGAAGCTTATCGGTCTTAAAGACACACTATGTACACTTGAACTCATCATGGAACGAACAGATTACTTCATTGGCATCATCTTATAAATGTCTCAACACGCGTAAACTAAACGGCTTTATTAAGACTCAAGTATTCGAAAACTACTTTAGCAATGTATATACCATAGAAATGTCCTTCCTGTCATTTCATAGAAATCTATTTTACACACACCGGATAGCTTGACCATGACTTTTGTCTGCTAAATAAGCTTGACATATGCAAATCCACGGGACCCGACTAACTGAACCCCAAGTTACTAAAGGAATTAACTAACTTCATTGTTAACTCTTTGAGTGTATGCTTTACTCTATCCGTAACCCAGAGTCGTTTACGAAAAAACGAAAGAACGCCATAGTAAGTCGTGTCTTCAAAACAGGTCCGAAACATAAGACTGAAAATTACTGACCCGTTAGTCTTACACATGTAGTTGTTGAAATTTTAGAAAACATTATTTGGAAGGAGTTGTTTGGGTATATCAATGAAAACCGGACCCTTTCGGAAAAGCACCATGGTTTTAGAATGGGTTATTCCTGTCTCACTAATTTATTAGTGGCTTGTGCGCTCTTAACAACTGGAAGTTACATGTAGACATAGCCAACATTGACTTCAACAAAGCTTTTAACGAAGTACCACAAAACTGCTTTTATATAAGTTGAGAATTATCAGAAATGGAGGCAACCAATTGATGTGGATAAAAGACATCCTAGTAGGGCGTCAACTAATATTATTGGTGAACTCCAAGTTATCTAGTTGGGAAACTGTTGTTAGCGGAGTGCCTCAAGATACAGTTTTGCGGCTAGTGTTATTCCTCTTGTATGTAAATGACTTTCTTTGTCTACTACCAACATCGGTCTTGCTATATGCTGACGACGTTAAAATATGCAGAGCGATATGTAGTAAGGGGGATAGCTTAGATCTCCAAACTGAAGTGGAGAACTCTTCCAAAAGACCATCACTGCCAAAACCGACACAGGCCATCAAGCCTCCTGTACTTTTCAAACCGAAACTGAACCGGATCTCGGACTCGAGTTACTAAGATATTGAATGTTCAACAAACATATCACCATGACCACGTAACACGAGTGATCAAAAAGTCGTATCGGTATAAAGATTTAGAAACGTCATCAGACATCGAGACACAAGGATTTATAATTGGATGAAATTTCAGTTTATAACAAAAATACTGTGTACTTGGATATTGTATCCAAAATTACCTTGAAGTACGGCAACACTCAACAAAAATTGAGCGGATTTTCGAAAATCCGGTTTTTTGTTTACATTCTACATAGAGATGCTTGGTTAGTTCCATAAGTCACGTTGTTATTGAAATATTCGTAACTGAAAGTTAATCATACCAACTTGGTTGAGTCGTTACAAATTTTGGTATCAGACACCAAAAAAAAACGAACAATATGTCCCTCGTCTTCAAGGGTAATATATTTTCTTGGAGGGTAATCTAGTATTTCTGTGAGATCATCATAATTAACGGTGCTATAGTTTATTATTTTTTCGAATTTTGTTTTTTAGGAAATTTTTCTGGTCTATATATACGAATCAAATATTTATTTTTTTTCTAAATATTTACAGCCACACTCATGCATTGCTGAACCATGAATTACTAAAAAGCATATTATGATAGTATGTTACTAATGGATGTAATTTAGGCATACGAAAAATGGCCTAAATCCCTGGATTTCGGGGAAATTCTAGGGAACTTTGGGAAAATATTGATGAAAACCCGAAATCTTCTCAAACGTCGTTTAGCAGGTTTCTCCAAAATACATTAAATTTGTGACTAAGACCCCTGAGTAATGAAAAATGTTTGAGATTTGTCTCACTTTTCAGAAATTACTTAAAATGTCCATCTGCAACCCGATCAAAATTTCTCCAAAACTGATAAGATTTTCCCCGAAATCGAGAGAATTGGTTAACGATCAAAGAAAGTGTTGAATATTCTTGAACAATTTTTTTGCACTCAAACAATCTGGGAAGTGTACGTACAGCTTTAATAATTTCGAAGATAGATTAAGTAATTTGTAAAAAGATATTACATCCAGAATGTTTATATATATATAACTTTTATGTAAAACATGGGCTTTCTGATTATGTACTAGCCACCACACCGGAAAAGATATATATATGTAAACTAAATTGTGTGTTCCTTAAAATACTTTTAATCAGTGCAGTTGGAGACGGAATTATACTTTCGGACAGCGACACTTCTCTATCTGACTTCAGCACTTCCAAACGCATAAGATTGCAATTTGCATATCATACAATTTTGATGTTATTCATTTCTCAATAAGCTATTCAGCTAATGCATGAGAAATGGTATCAAGCAAACAAATAAAAATTTTAAAGTTTTAGATATATCAGGTTTTTGTGACTTTGAATATGTTTCATGTGATATTCATAAAATTCCATAAAGGAGATTTACAAAAATCGAAAACAGGATAATATACAAACGTGCTTCACACCGTAGATAGTATTATCAAACATTATATGGTGATTTAATTAGTTAGTTGTTTAAAGTAAAGCATATCATAGATTGGAACTGTTCATATTCCCAATGTGGAATATGATATTTATGGAACAGCTTTAATCAGTTCCGAATTTTATTTCTGCTTTACAGTGCCTTATCAAAACCATTTTGCATTGAAACATTTCTTTTCACGTTTACTGACTCTTTGTAATTATTTGATCATTAATCAAGTGAAATGAAATTGAACAAGTCCTATTGTATTATTTCTCATAAAATTGTGTGATAATTGACTGTTAGAAGTAAAAATGAATTGGTGCACATTTTACACAATACTTTTAGAGACAGACAATATAAATTTACCCAAGTCTTAACTGAAAAAATCAGGTCTCTTACGTAGTTTCCTTATGTATCTGAACTTAAGTCATTAGAAAAATTTGTTTAACACCATTCTTTACATTAAGTTATGTTAAATATACTTTTTTTCGGACAGAATCACATAAACAAGTTTTTATATCCTCTCCAGTGTGAGAAATAACTGCGGTAATGGATTTCGTCAAAGTATGGATTAACAGTTAGGTATTTTAACATAAAAAACTACTGATTGATGTAGCAACTAGCATAATCAACCCTGAATTACTGAATAAACTAACGGGATTGCTAAAAATTATAACTTTATGGAGATCAAAACCAACCGGCATTAATTAGATGTTTCTTAGCCCCGCCAACCTTTCTATTAACGTGTGTACGATGTCATTAAGCCTAGATTTTATGCCTATGAGTTCTCAATTCTTTAAACGATCTAAAACTGAAGTATTGTCTTCTAGCCTTTACAGTCCGTTCATTTTCTGAGAGTCCATATTGATTTCAAATCTCTATTTGACAAGAGTAAAATGTTGTAGATATTAATAACAGTCTAATGTAACCGTCAAAAATGTTATATAAAACCAGATTTAGGATTTCTAGATACAGTTATCACTCGACTGAAAAACTCTTTCAAATAATAATATTAATGACAACATTTCTAGGCAAAAAATATTCCTGTTTTCTAGGACGATCAAATCGAAATTCAGACCACCCCAGTCAACGTAATCTTGTCCAAGTTTATACAAATTTACCTCCAGGAATCGATTCAAAAGTGACAGCTTATCTCATCTTAATTGTCCGCCTCTTTCGCCCAAACTCGTCATACACTGGATCGAAGCGTGTGGAATCGGGAAGTAATTCTTTGAATGACATTTATGTACAAGTTCGATGGTGGGGTGAACCGGTTGCAAAGAAATGCGCTATATTTTACCCCCGACTAGCGCATAAAGTTGGACATAAACAGGCAACATGCACCAAAGCTCGCTACAGAATCACCGTACCATTAGATCGATTTAGTGCTTATCTTAAAGGTATAATTTTGTTAATTACAATAACTGAATTATTATTTCAAGTCCGAACAATTAACTTCAGTTGTATGTTGCATGGTTATTACTATCTGATATATTTCGATTTTCTAGTGTGTAGACGTTTATTCTAAAAATTATTTTGACTACTTACTGGGCTTAATAACAGGAAAATTGTCATAGCCTGGTACTTCTTTGCAGTGTACATTCACGGCTCACATCAGATCAAACTCAGTGTTTTTATATCTCCTATCAATTATAAAAAAATTATATCACTGTGATGGAATGTAACAGTTTACATAGTTAATTGTGTTCTATTCAAAATGTAGTGTTATCTTTATCTAAAGACATAAGTGAACAACTGTCTAACCGCTAAATTGACTGACTTTGAATGTCACAATGTTTACTTTAATTTTGGTAGACTTAACTTGAGGCTTGTCAGTAATAAGCATATGATTATTTGCTGACTACTTTTTTGATTCGTTACGTTATTGACACTATTTAAATAATTTCACTTAATTAACTCGGATAATTTATTATGGTCATGAAGAAATAGCGACACGCATTCACAAATTCTATGAATAACATTGATTAACATGAGATTGATTTCAAATTTCAAAAGATGAGTTACAACGTTGAACAATATATTTATCTGTTGTTTGTGTATCATATCTAATACATGGGTTGGATGCCGGCTTAGTGGTCTAAAGGTTAAGCGTTCGCTCTAGACTGATGGGCCTTGGGTTCGAATCTCAGGGGGCGGGATCGTGTATACGCACAGCTGAGGAGTCTCATACTAGGATGAAACGGCCATCCAGTGCTTCCAGGTTTCTCATGATGGTTTAGCTTCGATTGACTCATGAATTCAATTATTAAATTACTACAACTTCCATAAAATCCCTCTCTGAGAATGGGGTTATTTTTAGTTAACAGTTTTTAAACAAGCAGATTAGCAAGTAAAACATTACTTTGTCTTAATATCCTGTAATCAGTTAATTTGCGGATATCTTATATTGAGATATTTATATGCGTGTATGTATTTATTTCGAGATATGCGGGAACTGCGTCTGGACGTTATTGATATTCGTCATCAACGTATTATTGGACGTGGACGACTAGATAGAGTTGATCGTTTGACTGCAACTACGCCAATTGATACGTAAGAAGAGTTATAGTTTTTATAGTACAAATTAAATACCTTTAATTTTAAATTTTGTGCGTACAAACACTAATTGCTTACCTCTTAAATAATGAGACTGTAAGTTTTCGGTTATATATATATTCAAAAGTTTGACTTATCTTTTTCTAAGCCGTAAGAACTCCATATTATCAGAATCTATTAGGATATGTGCATGCTGAGTGGATTGCCTTCATACTGCTATTAAATCGTAAGTTTATTAGTAAACTTGGATTGTGGCTAGCAGTGAGATCCAGCAGGCGAGTCCAGCAAACGAGTTTAGAATTGGTCGAAGTGCTTGTGCTGGATTTTATGCCTAGTCATTAATTCAATTTCGCTGAAACTTATATTTTTAGGTTGAAACTAGTCACTGATATGGCGTTCTAGAAGTGAAACTTACATAGTGTTACAGTGTACTATTTCAAGCCCGCGTAAGTTACCAAACTTTCTAAACAGACAGATTTATCTATTTTTTCGAGTCACATTTTAATCTTGTCAATTGAGCGTATGTGTGTGTATTGCTTACCTTATTCTTAACATGTCATTAGCTTATTTTTGTCCGGCTGTAAATACCGAGTCACGCTTGGCCAAATTAGGTTGACAAGCCTGCCTTCTTCTCACTTCGCTTTCCTACTTCTCATTCTTAATTTCTCTGTGAGTAAACAAGTTCCTGAATTAAATTCACCTAAATAAACCCTCAGTTGGCTTATTATTACCGCCGTCGCACAAAAGGGGTTAGCCTAGGTGTAACATACTGAGTTAAATTGAAGATCTATATTCATGGCATATTCATTCTTTCCTTCAAATCTCTTTTATGGCTTAGCCTTCAGTAACGAAATAACAGCTTCTAGAGTCGTATTGAACTAGCAGGATGTCTGGCGCAGAATGAATCTCAACAACAGAAGTGGATGAAGGTCTCTCAATATCCCAAAAAATTATTTTATCTAACATTTTTCTAAATTTGTCAGTATTAAGGAAGATTTCAGTTTGAATTGACCATTGAATTTTGGTGTTATTTTCTTTGCACAACTTTAAAGCATTTTACCCGTTATTAATGAAGTTGGCGAAAAATTGGGCGATTTAAATATATCTATAATGATCGAACCAGTTTTAAGTAAGCTTTATTTAATAATGTTATAATTGTGATAGTCGTGTTTCATAATTTAAAGATAAATTCATCCAGTAATGTTGTAGTTAATCCACAAAGTACAGGATTATGTACTAGGTTAAACAATTATATTCTATGTAACTAAGAAGACAAATGATGTCAGACATTTAATATGATATTTCTTCAGTAAATAATTCGTTACAAGGTCATTTGATTTACATCCTTACGATAAACTTAAAGTAGTATCTTTCCAATTAATTCAAAAATTAGTTTGATTTTCTACAGAACGAAGCTAAGTGTATTTTGCTGATGACTGTTAAGTCTTCATATCATGTTAGTTATTAAGAGTCGTGCTAAAATGAGGGCATCACTCTATGAGAGGATCTTTACTGGAGTACTATTTTTTGAAGTTATAATTAAGTGAACGAAAACTCAGTTGGAGAAAGCTAATTTTCTTGTTTAATGCAAAATCACACAATGGCTAAGTAAAATATGCAAGTCATGCATTATATACATCATCTGCACATCTTTACGTTGTCCTTCATATACTCGATTATTCCTCTGATTCTGTTGTTATTTTGATTACTTCATGATATCCTTTCTGTTTCATTCATTTCAATCTTCTTCTGTCGGGCATTCTATTTCTAATATTTGTTAAATGCTACTTATATCTCTCAGCATATATAGGATTCACCACAATAACACAAAGTGAATCTGATTTTGCTACATCAAATTATCATTCATCATGGCTATCAACAGTTATACAAAATTTGTTCACGTTTTCTACGTTCCATTGGTTTTAACTGATGCAATAAGTATTTTTTAAATTCTAAATCTACTTTGTGCCCTACTTTTAATACCTTGTTCATAGTACCGTTGTTTGAGTGACATATTTTTAATAATAATCCATAGTTTTCCCATATCACTCTCATTCATACATTTTATTTAAAATATAAGTAATATGTTGAGCAATGATTGACAAACATGACCTATAAGCCACTAATCAATAATTAGCCAGGCTTTCAATGGTGGTCTAGCTTCAACTGACTCATGAGTTCAATCTGTGAAAATTTCTAAAAATCTCCACAAAACACATTCTGATAATAACAATCACCTGCTCACTAGTGACTGACTTCAGGAGACACTTCTGGAGTTCTAGTGAGAAGTCGTTACCAGTGGAGTTCAACCAGGTCTGTTGTGAGATAGGAACTCACTGAAGACAATGGTGTACGGTAGCGCAACTTCGTGGATTGGTTGAAGTTAGACATTAACACCGTTGGATGCCGGCTCAGTGGTCTAATGGTTGAGTGCTCGCGCGCGAAGCCAGTAGGTCCTGGGTTCGAGCCCCGGGCGGTGCGGGGTCGTGAATGCGCACTGCTGAGGAGTCCCATACTAGGGCGAAACGGCCGTCCAGTGCTTCCAGGTTTTCAATGGTGGTCTAGCTTCAACTGACTCATGAGTTCAATCTGTCAATATAATAAGGTTATCTACTTTATTTGTCCTTTTTTTTCGTTATACAACAGATTTGTTTTTGTTTATATATTTACTCATTGAATCTAATACGTTTTTTATATTTCCATTAAAAGATTCAAATTCTAAGCCCATGGTAACACGATTTAATTGGAGAAAAATAGATCATGATAAATTATTTGAAAATAATAATACTACTATTGACAATAATCATGATAATGTTGATGATAAACAACAACCAATAGAAAAGGATGAAAATTCAATGAATTCATTTAAACAAGAACATGAAATTTCACTTAATAATAGTGATCATAATGTTATAAATGAACAGGTAAAATGAATTCGTTTTCATTTAATCATAAAATTAAATAAATCTGTGAATATTTTACATGTGGTTACAAATGATTTAAAATGGAAATATTATTTGTAGTGACTACAGCGCAGCAGTTCATTCCATCCTACTTTATGGCAATGGAATGTAGCCGGTAAGAGTAGAGGATATTCGTAGTTTACTAGTATTTAACCATAGGTGTCTTCGAAACATTGCTCGTATATCCTGGGACCACCAAGTAAGTAATACAGTTGTAAGAAAACGGGTACTAGGTAAGGATGGCAAATCAATTAGTGAAGTGGTGAAACTTTATCAGTTGAGATAGCTGTGAAATGTGTTATGTATGTCCAACCACCGACTGCCTCGACGTGCGATGTTTCGTGGTGTAGGAGTAGGTTGGAAGAAATCTAGGGGTGGCCAGACCAAAACATTGCACAAATCCATGAAGTTACTGACAAGTGGACTTAGCCTTGTTGATAGGTGTAGACTACCTGGTTGGAATCCGCGAGACAATAGCAACCGATGGTTAGAGACGTGTTGCAAAATCGTTTGCAATGGCGCAGGTGCATCCACTCTTTGTGTTCTCCAAAATTCTAATGTTTCGAATCCTTCATGTCCCCTATTTTTTCTCATTCCAAATTTATTTCACTGTATTATACTCGTTGAATAACATCTTGAAATCCTAATGTTTCCGTTTATTGCTTATACTTTTACTATCTCAACCGCTATGGGATTCGAATCGACAATGGTATCTGTGTGCTAATGCGGTATGGCAACTTGAACTGGTGTACATACGTACAAAGTCCCACGTTGCAACTGACTAACTGACTATAGAGACTACAATTTGTACGCTTTAGACTATTTCAAAAGTTATTTTAGATGCTATTTGAGTCAAGAACATTATTAATCTGGCTTTTGTATAGACTGCCTTATAATGATTATATTAGTTAATCATTCTGAAACCTCTTGAAATGACAAATATAGTTTATTTATGTCCAAGTGTTATGGAAGTAAGCTATGAGAGAACATTCTGTATCTATGATCTGTCGAGTCCACAGTAATAGTTATTTCTATGGCATAGAAAACTGAATGGTTTTTAGTTAAAGATTTTCGGATGACATGTCTCAGAATGGGTCACAGTAGCACAAATGCATTAATTGTCCATCTTGTTCTAAGTCTTGAGTTCCAAAAAAATCCTTCATAAATAATGCCTTTATAAACTATGTTCTTCAATGTTTTTCCTCTTTCTCATTATCATTAAGATTAGACTTGTTTCGACTCATTAACTATTCATTTTGTTAATTTCATATCATTGTGTTAATTTTTCATAGCGACTTAAATTAACATACATTTATGCCAGGCTCTGTAGTAATTATGACTGACTAAATGATTGATTACGATTTTTACTCGCTGTCTAGTACAAATACTCCGTTAGTATCAACAAATTTGGATTCTTGAGTAAATACCATGCACATAATACAGAGCTTATATGACACTAATTTATAATTAATAATTTCAATTAAGTCAGGGAGACTTCAGTAACGTCTTTTATTATTAGTTGATTGGTTTTTTTGACATCATAGTTACTGCTATAGACATATAGTCGTTGAATTGCAATTTCAACTTCTTAAGATATCCAGCTTTTCCTTAATTCTTGTCCTCTTTCTTCAATCGGGTTTGGGATTACAATTATTAAAGTGGTGTGATGCCTAATTATCGAGCGCTTTAGAACGTGTAAATTCAACTCATATTAAGCAACATCTTTCAGTTGCTCACAATTTGGAATAATTGTAAACTATCTCAAAATAAAACGATACCTGTTAACTATTTAATCCGTGAAAATAAAAATATCAACTAAAAATAGATTCATGGATGACCATTCTGAAATTTTATTCGTTCCTTATCTGTTGATCACCATCATTTGGATTTCTTAACCTTTTTTCTTGTTACACAGATTGATTCTATTCAATTTCAACAAAGTAATGATGTTGTTAATGAACATCCGGTTGATTTAGACATTGGATCTCTTGATCAAGATAATTATCATTCATCTCATACTGTGAATTTACTTGATAATTCAAATAATTATAGATCATGTACAACTATTCAAGGTCATGGCAAGGAATTAGTCAATAACGACAATGATAGTTTTTCAATTCATCAAGAAAATAACAATGATGCTAATTTTTCAAAAAGAGAAGAGCTGTTATCTTTTGCATTAGAGAAAAGTAAACATTTACGTGAAGCATTAAGTTGTTCATCAATTTTCAACCAACATGATTATAATGAGAACGAAACTGATGATAAGAATAATATGAATGGGTTGAGAGAATCTCGATCTTATACCAGTGATGGACGTTTCTCAGACGGTTTAACACCAAATAAGTTAGTCAAACATTGATTTTTTGTTATTCGATTCGTATGTGTTTGTTCATTCTATATTTTCGTTTGTGACAATTGAAGAATGTTTAGTCTGTGAATTGTTACATAGATTCCTGTATGGTGCAATTCAAATAGAGTCACCTTAAAAATCAGATATCAGAAAACAGTATAACTATGTATTATTTTGTAGACGCCACAAACAGAAATCAACAGTGATGAAACATTTAAAATATTGAATGATTAAATTATCAACTTTATCAACTCATCAAACTATTTCATATTAATTATTAAACGTTTTTTCGTCTACCATAGATTACATCATCATTCAAGTCCTGATCTTCGGAGTATCATGTTTGAAGATTGTACACATAATCATGATAATCGCATTCATTTAGCATCACAATTGAAAACCAAATCAAATAATCTTAATTTAATAAAATATATTCTTGACAATGAATCATTCGATGATCCAGTTCAAGTCACTACACACAATCATCATAATCATCATCGTCAGCATCACGCTAATTGCAAAAAATGTGTGCATTTAGAAAATTTAATGTTCACCAATGGTAATAATTGTGATCTAGTTGTGGATCAGGGAATCGGTGTCACTCAAAACTATCCGTTGTCAAAGAATAACATGAATGTTCAATTTGGAAATTCAGAATATGTAAAAGAAGATGATGAATTAATTGAAAATTTATTATATAACAAAGAAGTAAGTTATCAATAAATGATATTCAATATTTCATATTTTTAATTAAATGACATACATGAGCAGGATAAATTAAATCAATTAAGTTGTAAGGTTTATTTCAAAAACTAAATAGGACTGAATGACTGTTGACTGAGAGAAGAAAAATTACTTAAGTAGTGAGGATTTTGTGAACAATGGAAATAAAGATATGGGTTACTATAAGTTGTATTCATCTCATTTGGAGTATCACTGAAAATCAGTAGACATTGAACAGTTATTCAATCTTAGTACGAGAATCTTCAGCAGTATACCCACGACCATGTCAAGAATCGAATTCAGGACCTTCAGGGGAATGTTTCTTGCTTTAGTTTGACTTGAAATTAGTTTTTGTCTGAATCATTTTAGCAAAATTATTTGGCAATAATAAGGTAACTAAAGCAGTAATATATGAACTGAAATAAGTTAATACTTGATTTTAAAAAAGGATTCGATATAGTAATCTCACTTGAACGTTGACAATAATCACAGATAAGACAATTCCATAAGGACAATTAGAGCAGTAGTAGAAGTATTAATAATACAAATATTATTTTCGTGCTTGAAAAACTGTCAGTTCAAACAAACAAACAAACAACAGCGCAATTCACAGGATCAGAACAGTCATTGACATGTATGTTAAATATCACAAATAATAATTACTGTAAAGTACATTCTGGGTGTATGCTAATTTATGGTCATGATCAGGTTAATACTAGATGAATGCAATAAAATAAAAGTATTTTAAAAATCGTGATATACAAATCATTTATTGTAATGATATTCAAAATATGAATTATATGATTCTGGTAAACTTCACAGAGTTGATTGGATTTTAGACAACAGAACTGTAATGGTTATCATTCTTCTAAGTAAAGAGTTGTCTTTGGTAATTAGTACATCAGAAACATAATTTCGTTGGGCAAGTGGCATAAATACCTTATCATAAGCATTTTGGAATGGCATATGATTTTTTGTAGGACGCAGAAGTTGAGAACTAATATTTTTTTAGTAGGAAGACTAAAAAATAATTGTTTGTGAGGAGAGATATTAATTAGTGTAGCATAAAAAGATTCCAGTCTTTTTACATGATCTATAACTAACTACAATTAAAGAAAAGGAAACGAAAATATAGAGCACAGAACAATAATAAAAATTACTATGATAGATCTTTTGTCTTATATGTGCTTGATTGGTTTTGAACGTCCTGATTTAGACCTATTTATGCTCAGTCTGGTATGGGACTATTTTGTGAATTTGTTACAATGTACTGTATCGAAGTTTAATATATTTACATGTATCCAAGATTATTGTTCTATGAATGTGTATTTTTTATTTTGCTCACTTGCGATGGGACTAGGGAAGCTAGTTGATCATTGAGGACATTAGAAACATATTCATTAGAAAAGATTACTAGCAACCTCTTCAAATGTAAAATTCCAGTTATTCATAAATCTCTCTACCTCTTGAAAGCATTTTCTTGAGCACTGACCTATTCAAGTATTCATTTAAATTGTATATCTTCATAATTGGAATATATATTTCACAAATTCATAAATAATTATAACATAATTTAATGTACGGTCGATGTTGTACTGTGATATTTTAGTCTAGATCTTTAGTTAAGTATCGATGAAAATTTTACCTATAGGAAGCTATTGTTTGTGAAGTCACCAGGTAATAGTGAGTAATAATAGTTGTTGCATTTCTTAGATTAGCCGAAATCGAATAGTGCAGACTACGGGGTTTTGGTTCAATATTTTTAAGTATTCCATGTGCTAGAAATACGAAACAATAGTTATTGTATCTTTAATATACAGGCATTATCAGGTTTTATTTTATTTTAGACTAAAATCTGAACCAAGTAAATCAGTGAATAACGCATTGAATTAGAGGGTTTCGAGTCTTGGTATAAAGATCTATACTAGAACGAAGGTACTATTCATCTAACTAGTCCCAAATAGGATCTAATGCATTTATTGTTCTTCATTAATGCCCACTATCTAACTTTGATTAAGACCTGTGATTAAATTGGAATATCAAGGTAATCCTTTCACGATAAAGACTGATCAACCACAGTCCTTAACATCAACAACGGGAATGTATAAATACTTACAAATACAATCAAACCTTGTTTCACGTACATTATTCCACTCATATTAATATAAGAAAAAATTTGTTATTATTATTTTTAAGTTTGTTTCTTTGTTTCTTTGTTTTAATCCCTTTTAGAATTCTATCGACGAAAATGAATTGTTGAATTCAAATAATTTATTCAAGCAATGTAATAACGTACAATCATTAAAACAGGATACTTTGAATGGAAAAACTATGAACCAACATTGTCCGAATAGTCAGTAGTGTTTTTACTCATCTAATATGCTTTATTTTATGGATATTAAAATGTATTCATTTTTCTTTAACTTTGATATACTTTATGTTATCTATATTGTGGAAATTTTGTAGTTTAGTTCACTGAACATTGAATGTATAAATTACGTCAACATACGAAGGTGATTTACTATTCAGACTTATTCAGTCACTAGTTCTCTGTCTATTTGTCAATGCCTATATGAGATGACTTGGGCAAGTATGTAATTATAAAATTCTCGAAGTCTCTATACTTTTACTGTTGTTTGCTAATGATGTCAACTGTAGTCAATTAAAAATCATTTTCTTCACAATATTATTCGCCAGTTTACCATCATACATTGGAGTAGTATTACGGTACTTACATACAGTTATATGCAACGTAGAATCTGGTACATATATGTATTGGTTCAAGCTGCCACACCATATCAGCACAGCAAGTTGAAATAATGAAGATGAATACCAAAGCAGAGGTAGTATCAGTGTCAGTAAAAAAATGAACGGACAAAACACTTGTGGAATAACTGGAAAGCTCACTTCTACACGGGGTACACGTTGATGTCCGAAACGACAATGAAGTATCTGAAAGTAAACTTTCTAACTCAAATGACAGAATACTACTAAGCGTTTTCATAATTATCACATTAGCTTTGATATAAATTTATTTTGTCTTGCCTTATTCTTTTGTATTTACATATATAGATTTATCTAAATCTGGTTGTACTCTGAAAGGAGCCAATTTACACCTTAAATGTTTAAGTTTATGTAGAAAATATGCCGAAAATAAAATTTCCAATGTTGTTAACTCTTCTAAATCTACATTGTATGAAACATCAAGAAATCCAACAAAACTGTCATTACAAAAATCTCATCCAATGTCATTATCACCAGTATTGCCATTTAATAAAGTTAAATCGAATGACATCAAGTAAGTGATTTATGAGAATTTGAATAATATACAGTTTTTACTAATTAATAAATGTAATAGTAATATCTTCTCGATAGTATTCGAAATAATTACTGTTATATATGAATTTTGTGTCAAGTTATTATGAACTCCTTAATAAGTTTATATGTTAAAAGCCTGTTAGCAGAAAGTCGTAAGGGTTGATTTCTCTTACCTGACAATTATCATAATGTGATATTTCAGTGATCTAATAGAACTGACGTTCGCGAAAATATTCGACTCAGTTTCATCTTATTTCTAAATCACAAGAGTTATTACTAAGCTATTAGATTCATAACTAGTTTTCTGTGGGACGGATATACAATACTGCTGACTTTAACACCGGGTGATGTGTGTTTGAACCTTTGAAGATTATTGATTCTTTCAGGATTGAAGATAAATTTTTCAAATGAGCACCCAGTAGTGAATAATCTTCCTTACGATTTTTCCGTATGTACAACATCAAATTAAAGTGCTCTGAAGTATCAAACTGCATAGTTTAATTATCGAAATGGAAAAGTGTTCGGCATATAAGTAAAAATTTAGGATCTTGAAACAGTTTCAAGATCTTTTACATCTATAAATTAATGTCCATTTGTTTTTAGTCTCGTGAGTTCATTAGACATAAGATCATGTAAAGCCAGAGAATTAAGTATAAATGTACAAATATAAGTAGATAGTTAGTTTAAGGGGTCTTTGAAGATTTCTGAATTTTACGTTTTAAATCACAGAATGACTGTTGAACATCCACTGAAAATCACAAAGCAGGGAACAGCTTTTTATTTTCAATATAAGAAGTGAGCATCTGTAACGCCACCGGTGATGGAACCAAGGATCTCCAGGTCTCGTGGCAACCACTGAGTTGGTACCTATTGGTTTACCTTTCTGAAGAGTCTCACGCAAATACGAAACAGCTCTCCAGTGCATTTTGGTTTCTAATAGTTGTCTAACTGAGATGGTGTGAACTGTAAATTAAGACTTAAATTAAAATTAACAATCTAGAGAGATAAATAACGAATTATTCAAGTAAATGTTACATTTTTAATTAGTTAATTGACATAGTCAATGTAATTTAAATAGATAAAGGCATAGTTTGTATATTCCAGTCTAAGCATAGGTTAAACCTTGCAATTTATATGCTGAGTTCTGATTAACATTGATCACGCAAGCATCTCTCATCGACTATCACTTCAAAATATTATTCACAAGTAATAGTATAATGTTTTTCGACTTTTATCTAAACTTATACGTACCAATGCTTTTCCACGAACCCGAATTGAAAAGTCGAAATCACGACCATCGGTTTAGCATGCAAATGCTTGACCTCCAAACCACCGAGCCGAAATCCTATGATGTGAAATTTTGATTTCAATTCATGTAAGACGGACGCGTAACATGAAGAATTGATTGGAATTATCTCTATACACCATTGACTCCTGACTCAGTGGTCTATAGGCTTTGTTTGCATGCAAGACCAAAGTCCTTGGGTTCGATTACGAGTTGCGGGGTCATATGTGCACACTACTGAGGAGTCCCATACTTCCATGTTTCCAGTGGTTATCAAACCTAGAGTGATTCGTGAGCTCAATTAAATTCAACAGTCTTCCCAATCATATACTGATATCCATAGCGGTTAACAGTTTTATTTCGATTAGAAAGACTTTAAAATCGTTGTGCTTTTAGGATGTTTTCATGGTCACGCATTGCCATAGGGTTAGTTAGTCATTTGCTAATTGTGAATACTCACTAATATTTGAAAACTTAGCGAAGTTTGTGACGTTTTGTTGGAAGCCCTTGAGAATTTCTTGGGATTGTCTTCAGAAGTTGGAAAGAAATGTTTTTCCAATCAGCTTTCAGTAGAAAATTAACAGAGAGTTGTAGAAAAGCGACTCATAATATTTTCCGTTCTGACTGGATGATTTCTAATTCTGCGAGTAAACTTGTCATATTTTCAGAAGCTCTTAGAGTATTAAGTTTGCCCATAACCTACTCATAACTATCCTTTTTTATGTACCCAAACTAATCTTGGGAGCCACCCCTCTTTTCATACCCCCGCCATCTCTGTCTTTCGTCCGGTGTTCAAGTGTAGGAAATTCTGAGAAACCTGTGAACGATTGAGAAAATCGGTATTAAGTGTTCAAGTTCCATGTTTTTCAGTTAATATAGGCATCGGAACATTAGACTAACGAACTGTAATAATATTTCGATTTAATTTGTAATGGTTTTTATACTCTCTGTTGTCGCTGTTAAAGATTGATATTGATCAGTCAGAAACCGGAACATTCAGACCATTACAAATCAAATCGAAATACAATTCATAGCCTTTTCATAAACTGGCGATTGTTTGGATACAATAGCCAAGTGGATAACGCGTAGACCGTTTAAAGCGAAAGGTACTTGGTTTGAATTCTGATGTAAGGATGAACACTAGGATGTGTTTTAAATCCAACTGACAAATCCTAATTAAGATTAAACGTGTGTCATAATATAAATTCTATACATTTAGGTAATTCAATCAAACTATTTTGATCATCATAATCATACTGGCTATATTCCACTAACACTATGACCTCTTCTAATAGAACTTGAAACAATGTATCATTACAAAACTGTAGTAGTTCATAAAATCATTTGTGTTGTTGTTTATTAAAATGGTTGACAATTCATTATATTGAACAATAGATCATTCTACTCTTTACATCTTTTCCTTGTTCATATGATTATAGTACTTTATTGGACGGTATTTTTATGGAGTTAGAAATATCTGTTCCAACGTTGTCATCGTTATCATCATTCAATAAAATCGGTGGTACATGGACTACAACTAGTTTCACATTATCTACAGAATTACGTAATCAGTTTGAAATTAAATCAGCTAAACGAAAACAACAAAACGATGATGCATATGTTAATTTTTATTGTCTAACAAATAAGAAAATAAATAGTTCTAATGATGCTTATGTTCAAGTCGATTTCAATCATCGATCATGTTCCAATGATAAAGTCAATACTCATGACAATCATATTCGTTTACGTTTATTTCGTTTAAGTAATCCTGTAAAAGATGAAGATACTACACAGTGGGAATCAGAAGTAAGTTTTATATTTTCTGGGTGTATTATTTTTTTTACGAATAGATAATGATGGAAGATTTGGTATATAATTATGAATAAATTTAGACAACCTGTAGATTGTATTTATCACAGGCTAATCTCAGTTTTGAGTTCCTTTGGAAACTAGGGGACACTGAGTATTTATTCCGTATGTTATGGGGCTCTTCAGTAGTGCCTAATCCAGTGGTGCTGTAAAGTCGTTTTAGGATACCGCAAGTTGATTGAAATTGTGACTGTGCATTTGGATAAGGAATTAGTAGTTCTAACAGTGAAGCGTTCGCAGCAAGATTTAAGGGTCCTAGGTTAAATCACAAGTAATTTCGTAGGTTCGCATTACCGAAATGTCCCATGCTAGGAAGAAAAAGATTCTCAGTACTCCCTGGTTTACAGTAGTACATTAACCGAAATCGATCTGTGACCAATGTAAATTACAAATCAAACCATCCTCCACGAAACGTCTTTAACTAGAACATGGATATATTTTTCACATACTTTACTGTTTCTTGTTCTTCGTACACCGGGAAATTGCTGCCTTTTGTATAATTCCGACTATAATTACTTGGAATAGTCTTATATAGTAGTCGTTTGGATTTTCATATTAATATTTAGGATGGCAATTTATCAGTCTCTTTTAGCGAATTTGCATCCTGTCACCTGTTTTCAAATTGTTTGTAAATATTTCATCACATTTTTCTGTTTTTGGATTGTTATCCTAACTGACCTAGTATTTGAAAGAACGATGATTTTCGTGTAAGAAATAAGCAGCACTATTATCTGGACTGCACAGAACTAAGTCTTTATTTATAAACAAAGATGGATAGTGGCTAGCAGTGTAATCCAGGACGCGCGTTTCGTCCTGTTTGGGATTCGTCAGTTGGATGTATCTGGATCTCAGAGTTGATGTTCACTCTGGGACTCGAACTCAGTACCGTTCGCTTCAAACGTCATCACGTTTTCCACTTAGCTACTGAGTCCTGGTTTCCACTACTAGCCACTATCTATCTTTGCTTGTAATGCTTGTGAATTAAGGGAATATCGAGTCATACGCACAGTATGCACATATGCCAATAACAGATTGATCAATTTCAGTCCTAAAACATCAATGGGAAGATTCAAGTAAAATAATATCAAGTGAATTAAGTCTTTATTTCTCAGAAGATAGTAGTCGAGACTTATGTTTTTTTGAGACGATGGATTTTTTTGTTGGTTCAATATGTATTTAATCTACTTCTAACATACTCAAACGCCTTTTGTAAGAAGCTAACCAACTATCATCATGAAAGCAATTATTGCTTAATTCAAGCTGAATCATCACAGTTGTTGATATATTTCCATCCTTTTATATTGTTTAAGTAGACGATATACGATTTCATTCGAATTCGTGCATCAATTATGTTATAGAACAAAGACACCATAGAAGACTAATAAAAAAAATACACATAACGGTGAATGTCAGCCAATCAGTTTTGAGAAATATCTTTGTCGCATACATATTTTAAATGATAAGTTAAACGTATAATAAATGGAAATTTTCTTCACAATAATGCATATCTATTTTGTGAATTCCCGACTGTAGTGGAATATATAATACTTAATAAGGGGATTAGGTGAGACGAGTAATCCTTAAGTCTTAACGAATTTGATTTGAGTAATGTGGATGAAATGTAATATTACAATCTACAATACTTTGACTTATATTGAAAAGACGTTTAGAGATTATTAAATTAATAAATGAAATACGCTGATCAATTCCTAGTGTCCAAAGTGACCAAACGATAACTGTCCACAAGACCGAATTGTTGGTACAAGCCCACACTTGCAACTAAACTGATATCAGAAGACAAGATAGCTGCCCAGTTGAATAGGCTTTTATTTTCTAACAAAACAACTCGCATTTACATAAAATAATAAAAACAATAAAAACCATTAGAAATCAGTTAACAAATAAACAATTGTAGATCACTCATTATCTAATGGAATCAATGACTAATTATCAGGTTTAGTTCTTGCCCATCATTATCATGATTGTTATAAATACAAAATATCATCATTTTATAGGAGATATTTTTTGCATGACAACCTTCGACATCATTTAATGAGCCATAGAAAACCAAATAGTACTTACAATTATTTAAATAGTAATAATAAGTATATCCGTGGTTATACTATTTCGAAAGCTGTTTTTTTTCTCTTCAATTAATTTTTTAGTTGATTGGTGTGAATTTTGTCAATCCAGATGAAATTCGTTCAATTATCTTATCGAATGTACATTTGAATTCATCTAATCCTACAACTCCCTTATATATTCATCTATGTTCTGGACAAAAAGTGAAAACTAATCATTCAAATGTGATTGGTCGTTTAGAATTTGAAGTAGAACCAATTTGGAATACCAATGTTACATCGAGAAATCAAATGAATATCAACATGTTGAAAAAAGGTAACAGAAGTCACTTATCGTAGTTTATATCATGTACTGATATTAGTTAGGCAACCATTGAAAACAAGTAAGCATTGAATAATTATTTCTTTCTAGTACGATGTTATTAAGCAATATTTATCTGCTTGATCACCAGTCGGGAGATCGTGTTACATATATATTCATGAATATCAATGTTTAATACAAGGCTTCAAATTCCTACTTTGGTCATTACTACTGACCTATTTCTAGTCACATTGTCAGTATCAATTCAATAGGCTATATGAATTTGTTTGGCTGTCAAATGCACTATGCTTTTTATTTGTCTCGGACAAACATTGAGATACTTCGATTCACCTAAAAATCTTAACACGGACGAACATTTATCATTCCCCATCCTAGCCGCTACAACTAATTTAAATGACGAGTCTTGCAATCAGAGATCAGATAGCGTTGAGCAAGCCAAGTAGCTTTTGAGTATTAACAAGTTTTCTTACAATATCTTTAAAAGTAGAACAATACATTATCATTTGTATTGATTGTTTGAATCTTACCACTGATTCTTAATACTGGAATTTGTTAGTCTCTTTTGATGTATGTGCGTCCAGCTCGGATTGTCTCGATATTGCCATTAGTCACAAGCAATGAAATCCGGGAATCATGTTCCGTCCAATTCGGGGTTTGTCAGCTGGATGGACGAACCTTTCAGAGTTCATGTTCATACCAGGACCCGAATACAGTACAGTGCTTTTCAAACGCCATTGCGTTATCTACTTAGCTACTAAGACCAGATAGCCACCGACGTGTGCAGTGGGGTGAATGTTACCATCAATAAAAAGAATCAAACAACTTTAACTCTGGCATGTGGTTACAAATAGCCGACGAGCCTGAAACAGAACTAAACTGGATTTCATTGCTAGCCACCTTCCATCACTGGTTATAATGGATCATCACATTCAAACAATTGTCAAGCAAATTAATTGAGTAAATTCACTTTTAACCGACGAGAAATCCAATAACATACAACTTTCATAAAGATATTTTGTGGACAATGAAAAAAATTGCATCTTCAAAGAAAAAGAAATGTAACAAAATAGTGAAATATAAAAACAGATGATAACCAACAGTCTCTTAAAACTCTCCTTTCTGACCGTTTAACTAGAGAGAAGAAATGATCGGTGTTTGCTACAATAATAATAATTAAACTGAAGTACTGCAATACGTTAATATCGAACACCAATATCTATTGTTTTCTGAAGTATCAGGTTGATTATTGTACTACACAAGGTTGGATGTTTGATGAAGTCACTTGATAACAGAATCCATTAGTTACGAATTCGTTTATGAATATCCGATGAATGTCCTAATTTTTAACAAATAACACATTGACTACAGATAGAGAATAGATTGTATTGATGGAAATCAGTTTATCTATTGTCGAATAGGTAGGTATTCAGAGAATGCAGACACTAAACTGATGCATGTTGTATTATTGAGACTTTAAATTTAAATGACTACAGCACAACATACCTAAGGATCGCTAACTTGTATGCAGTATAGTCGTGTGTTATATAAATCGTAGCTACATGTGAACAGTTAAATGCCAGCAATGACGGAATAGTTAGACGTATATCAACAGATAATAAAGTAAAAAAATATTGTTATTTAGACAATGTAATAATACCTTAAACCATGTGTTTAATAGGTAGCAATACCCTTTCTATAATTTCCCTTTTATCTCATAAATAGATTACTGTATTGGATTTACATCAATACATTTAATATTTATAATTTCAGTCGTTATGTACTTAAGGGTTATTATAAATTATAAAATAACCATGTATAGTCATTTTTAGGGGGAATTTTTACTATCACTAAGTATTCTAGTTTGTAATAAGCTTGAAACTGTGTTTGGTTTCAGTTCTTGATAAAAATTTTATTATTTGATTTATATAATACTTTTTTCTGTTGTTATTTTTATTTCAAATCTTCAATTTTTAAATACATCATAATATGTGTTAAATTTTATTTGTTTTAATTTAGATAATGAATATTTGGGGTCAATTCAAAAGTCTATGAAAAATGATGAATTTCATCCAGTTCAAAATTCAATGGTATGTTTTTTCTTGAAAATTGAAGGATCAAATTTCTATAAGTGTTTTGTTACTTCGTTAATATTATTACTTTCTATAACAGAAACATTTATCTTTAATGTAAAATACAACATGTTCATTGGTGAGTATCGGTTTACTATGTTTGAAAAGATTACGAGTTCACCTAATTTGAGAACAGAACGAAGACTCTATGATGCATTGACAGATAAGCTAGCTATTCTGACGCGTTTCAGTCCCGCTCACTTAAAGAGAAAAACCCAAATTTGAAACGGGGAAATATGTTCCGCAAGCAGCCAGAAGCATGAGCAATAATAACAGGTACAAAACAAACGTATATATACAGCATACCATTGTCCTTGTGAAGCGTTACAAAATAACAAACTAAACGATACAACGAACCAATAGCGTTTAAGATCCTCTCAAATGGGGATTTCGACATGAAGGTAAAAATGAGTGTTTTCGGCACGAAAACAAGAAATTCAAATTTTTAAAATAGAATTACAAAAATAAGATATTCACTGAGTGAGTTCTACGGATCTATCATCCCCAACATTGTTATGATGACGAGATAACTGATTTGTAGTTTATTAAAATGATTGAGATTATCGAACATAAGTGAATGTTAAGTTGTAATGGTAAAGAATCTAAAAGACGAACACACATTGGTCAATTTACAAAACATTTATTTTAATAAACCAATCAGTCATTTACTTAAAAAATACTTTAATAATATAAGATTAATGGTTTCTTACTAAATAACTACTTCAGGATGCAAAAGAAATTCATAAAACGACAGTAGAGAAAAGTGAGTTGTAAACGTTTTTAGGGATTCATAGCGCAATTCATGAACTGAACTTAGCCAACTATTAGACAATTTTTTCATCGGAGTATAAAACTCCTAGGCTATCATGGTTCCTAATGAGATGAAGATCGGGAGTTAAACTCATATACTTCTATCCTTTTTATTTTTCTCAAAAACTACACTTCTGTTTAGTTTGATGTAATCCTCGTCTCTTTTTCTCATTATGGGAATCAGGCTAATGATGTAGTTGCTATATGACCACTATTTACGAAATGTGCTTTTCTTCAGTTAAGCATAGTTAGTTTTAAATTAATGATTTTATATGTAAATTGAATGACTAGACGTATATATCAGATAAAAAATAGAATACATTTATGACTGATTGTTACAAAGACCCGAACCCTTATTAATAAGTGTAGCTGAACTCCTAGTATCTAAATTTAATCTTTCTCCGTTTACTATGATAAATAATGTAGTATGTAAAGCTTTATTAATTATCATCAGAGTTATGTACACATTGTAATTCGACTGCCTTTTTTTGTTAATTCTTTTTATCTTTCTCAAAATCAATATCAGCATCATTATTTGATATGGACATGGAAGGTAACCATGATGATAATCAAAACAACATGATAGGTACTATGAAAAATCACTAATTTTATTGTTGTGTAGGCAAACCTCTTATTAGTTATCTAAAATAATCGCTTAAATTGATAGGATAAGGGAGAGGATGTTGAAAATTTTAGTATCTTAAGAAAGCAACCCGTAGGTGACATGATACTCGAACTCTGCATCAGTGTCCACCAACGATCAAACAGATTGATAGACCGAACCAGTGTTGATGTATCAAATATATGTACTAACATGTCATCTGAAGTAAGGGAGAGACTAATAATGAGACACACCACTGGAAAATGTTAGTTGTGGGCTTATGAAAGGTCTGTTTACATTTCTTTATGCGAGTCGAAAGTACTATCATTTATTGACCTATGATTTGTGTACATCATAAATCAGTTTGTCCACTTATATTCCTACTCAATCCAGTCTTCTCATTCGCATAGTAGATTTTATGTAATCAAAAAGAGGTATATGATAGCTGAATTGGATCACAAGAAACACTTCGCGTCCTCGCTATGATAAGTAGCATTCCTGAGTGGAGTCCTACGCATGATCGGGGACGTATATAGTCGCGGAGACCCACTACTGTCCTCTGGTTTTCAAAAGTTCTTCAGTTAATTGTAGTTGTTATTCGCGCAGAAAAACTTGACTTTGTATATTGAAGGTATATGTCTTTCGTTTTTTTTTCAGTAGAATTCAGTGTAAGATAAAGCTTTTTGTTTTGTTTTTCATGCCGACTTTATCATGTTTGATTCATCAAAACATTGTACGAATGTGCTCATTGTTTTATTACTTCTGATTACATTTTCTTTATCAACACTTTTAAAGTATCATAAACCAGATGTTACGAAAGCAATAGTTTCGTCAAATACTGTCATATTAAATACAATTCTACATATATCAGAAGGTAAAGAATTAAAACTTTCAAATAATTATCATAATAAACAATTATTAACATCAAAATATATCACGAAATTGCCGAATGATTGTATTATGATTGAACATTCTTATTTAATTGTACGCTTACCTTGGTGTCACCAAATTCACTCATCATCCGATTTGTCGACGATTAACTTAGATCAATATCATTCAAATGTTGCCTGGTTAAGTGGATCATGTCCACAATATGCATTCACCATTAGATCACAATGTTTATTAAATCAGGTAAGTATGTGGTTTCTTTTTTCACCATGTACTAACCGGTGATCAATTTCAAGAGAGTATTCCCGAAGTTACATTCAGAAACTGTGATTAGTGGAGTTCTGGTATGTTAGGTATGAGGAAGTCACCCACCAGTAGCATTAAAAGACGATTGTGCAGTATAAGAAAATTGATTGAAGTTAGATATGTAAAACATTGGATGCTGGCTCAGTGGTCTAAAAATTAAGCGTTCATAGATTAACGTAAAGGACCTGAGTTGAACACAGGGACAAAATAGCTAATTAGTACTTCTTGGTTTTTAGTGATTGACTAGTTAATATCCGTTCATGTTGTGAACCGAAGAATAAGGTGAATCGATAAATATTTCCGTTCAATTATTTAGGTATGGTCAAGAACACTGTGTATGATTTACTCATATTTGTTTGGTAGAATTGTAGACTAAGATAGGAAGCTATATTTTACATGGATGAGAAGAAGAATGACTTAATGCAACTCATAAATGTTTATTCGATAATTTGTTCGACGTTGTAGCGAATGAGAACACAGTTGAGGGCAACCAAATTATATTCAACACAACATTACAGAGTTACTTGGTAAAATAGAAAAACCATACTATAATACCTAATTTGCAAAATGTTCAATAATTGTCTCGGGCTTTATTGTTCTTGCATTTCTATACTAATTACTTTCTATTCCCGTTCTTCCTTTCTTGATCTTCCCAATCTTCTGCTGCCAGTCATTACATTCCTGACTTGCGTTATATACTACTTATGTCAAAATAAGTAGCATGCACCATAGACGTAACTAGGTTTATGATGATTAACCCACAAAATAAAACAATACACCTACCAAAAGAGAATAATCTTAACACATTGGGTAATAAAATATTTTTACTGTCATTTTGTTCATTTCCCTTCTAAATTTCTTTGGAAACATAATAACAGACTTTGGAATGAAGGAGAGAAGAATTGACGATATTCTACAAAGATAGTGAAAATACTTTGATATCTGTTTCTCACAATATTTTGAGGGGACTGTTTAGATTATTAATTTTTAAATTTCTGTCAATACTCAAAAGTGACTGCCAAATATTATGTAATAATAGTCATAGTTATTCCAGGTATTTGTACATTAAATGACTGACAAACAGTACTTTTCTATGTACTTGGACATTTCGTTTATTGAAGCAATTATATTGTGCATAAGTCAATGGCATGTATCAGATTATTCTTCTGACCCATACAAAGATATATAGGCTGAGATCTTGGGTGGATGCATAATTGGCTTTCTCCAATGGCGTTCTTACTGTTTGATGATGAATTAGTATGTGAACACTGGCACGTAATATTTCTATAATCCCCTAGCCTATTATGAAACCAACGGTAGCAAATTTCAGTAATGCGTTTGAAACTTCCACTTCTTATTAACTGATACTTAACACTTATGTAGGTAGTTACCTTATAATCGACTTTGGTGTAATCGTTTATTCAACGTGGATTAATATCTTGGTTGAAGTTAAATTACAACTTTTGATCTATAGATTTTCAATCATCAAAACTTAATAATAAATCATATTATACCTTCATTAACATTGCGAACCGATCTTAGACGATCATCGAAATCCAGAAAGCACTGAACAGTTTGTGTGGTATTTCTAATAAGTGCACACTCACGTTCTCAATGGCTAGTGATCACAAGACTTTCAGGTTTCGCGGTTGATGCTTAACCTTTAAACCACTGTCCCTGGCCACGATCTTGATCTCGAACATCTTACTCATTCACCAGAACCCTTCTCACTGCTCGATGATGCGAAAAAATAACATCCTCAGAATTTTAATCATCATTTCCTTCATTGGGCTTCAGGACATCGGAATGTGGTTGAGTTCCCATATTCCCTGTGTTCGCCTCTTATTTCTCACGAATGGATACAGATGAATCCTAATCTACATTGTTGAAACAATTACTGTTTTTATGCTCAGATAGTATTTCTGAATCACCTACTAAGTAAACTTTATGGCATAAACTAGATTAACCTGAATGTTCTAATTTTCTAAACAATCGTCGTCGCATGCCGGAAATATCTTGGGGAGTTATTCTTTTTCCATAGGTTAAATACACAAAATCAGTTATAACAATAACCCGAACTCCGGAAATCATTAATGGGTGAATATTATTCTTCTGATCACTTGTTAAACGACGAAAGTGTGACACAGCAACTCGTGCTTATGATCCATCGACCGTCAAGTTACCGCGAAAATCCCTTCTATCACTTAAACAAATATATAGGACCAATATCCTAAACCAACAGGTTTTCTAAAGCACATGATACATAAATTATTGTGAGACCAACGTTCGTGTCCCTTGAGACGTTGTTGGTCGTTTACGATGAACCTTCATCCTACATACATGTTTTATACAGAATTCATTTAGTTTTCCATGAAATGGCAAAATGTTTCATCCTCATAAGCTTCTAATTGCGTGAGAAATTGTGCTTCAGTCGAGAATCTTACACCAACAAACATCTCTGAAAATCATATCAACCTCATTATCTGGAACATACATGGAAGGTAACAGTAATGATAGTCAAAACAATGATAGGGACAGTGGAAAATCACTGATTTTACTGTTGTGTTGGTATACATTTCATTGGTCGATTGAGATAACGGCTTTAATTGGTGGGACAAAGGTACAAATGAGTACTTTGTGTAGGGGGTGAATATGAAAAATCTATCCAGTTACTCAACCCCTTTGACGTTATTATTAATTTTAGCAAATACAGATTTTTATTTACCAGACAATGTAATTCGAACAATAATAACTCATCTATTATATCTTTATATTATTATATTCACTATCATGTCTGTATAAACGTGTACACTTGATCACAAGTGACAGCCTACGAACATATCTCTCTCTAGCTTAAATGTTAATCGCCTAAATATTGCTCGATGAATCATTCTCTTTCGCATTTATATATGTGCTCGAATGCTATTAATAGCGTTTGCCTTGCCTCGCTGCACCTTCACTCCACTTAACTATAAATTCACTTTTGTATTTGCTCACTCATACACGTTAGCCTCTCTGCTCCAAATTCGCTCGATGTGCTTGTAACTTTGTTATCTGTTTTATCTGATAGTCACCGCTTCTTATTGCCATCTGAATTCTTACGCCGTTGAGATTTATGCAATATAGGTTATCAGGATGATTGATTAACGAAGCTAAACTACAAGTCATAGTGAAACTGCAATGCAGCAAATTTTCGTGTTCATCTGTTCTATTATTCAACTAGCTGAAGTAAATCTTCTGTATATTGAAATAATGATCAATTATCGTATGGCATTTAATAACAATAAAATTATCATTGAATCTGTTTACTGAATTTCATTTGGTTTATCTATTTAATGTTAGGTGTAATCAACGAGTTCCATATCCTATTATGGAGAAAACCAGTAATCCATGGAGTCTACACTTAAATTCAATACCCTGCCAAAACTATACTTACTTCAATAAAATCCCAACAAAACCATTTTCTGATAGTTGAATTCATGAGCTAAGCTAGACCACCATGAAAAAACTGGAAGTACTAGATGGCCGTTTCGTCCTATTATGGGACTCCTCGGCAGTGCGCATCCATGATCCCTCACATGGGATTCAAGCCCAGGACCTTTGGTCTCTCATACGAACGCGCAACCTCTACACCACTGAGCTAGCATCCAACGGCGTTAGCTTCTGACTTCAACCGATTCATGATCTTGCACAACCTTTCACCCATTGTCTGAAGTGAATAACTGTCTTCATCCAAGAAGGATTGGACACTACTTTTCTCCATTTTTCCTTAGTGTAATTAGTTTCTTTTCTAAACTTTGATCGAACAAATAATAAGTTCAATTAATTAAGTTATAATGAATATAGACTAATAATTGTAAATAAAGATGAGAAAAAAGTCCATAAAATATGAAACGAGTAGTAATTTGTCACGTCATTCTAGGCCGTAAAATGACTTAAAGATTGCCAGGGCAGATTCAAGGTTACGGTGAATTGATTCTGTACACATTAAGGGAGTTTTAGTTTGGCAATAGGCTCGAGTTCTTTCAACCTAAGAACTCGTCATTGACCATTTCTATACAACGTTTTGAAATTTATGTTGATTTCAATTATGTAACCTGTTTCAGTTATATGTTTTGCTGTCGATGAACATGGCCTATTATTTGCTATATTTACGGCAGCGTTTGACACTAATTGATTCAGAATTCATCTCGACACATGTTCCATAACTCCTGATTGCATTATATTTTTTTATTATTAGCTTTATCAAATATTATATTTTTGGTACAATATGAAATTCTCAGCACAAAGTATCTCAGCGAGTTTCCGTCTCTTATTTATTGATCGATGTTGATCGCCAGTTAGATACCAGCATTTCAGAAGTCGACATCTGAATAATATTCATTCTTTTCAATGCATATTGACAGCCATCACAATGTTTCCAATTGTACGTTTTTATTATTTGCATTGTGAAAGGTCGTAGACTTTTCATAAGCGCACCTGAATAGGTTATGCAATTAAACAGGCCGTCTTATTTTCTTACTCCCTCGTTGCTTCAATTATGAATTAGTCATCATACCATTGAAGCTGAAAGTTAATTAAAAACCGAATAAAATTATGCTGATTATCGTCTTAGAAAGAAAAAGACGTTCTACTTTTAACCGATTGTATTTTTCGTCAAATTTTTTACTTCCTCATCCATAAAATAATAACGAACAATTATATTCATTGTAACGATATTGAAGGAGATTAAGCAGAGTTCTGCGAATGAAATTTTCTTTTAGACGATTTTATTTATTTATGCTGTACAATCGTTCCTAAAGTTCATTTTATGTGCTGAAATCGTAGTTTATAGTACAATAGAATGGTGCTGAATAAGGTTATTATTGAATTAGTTTGGCATACCTGTTTAAAGTGCAACGTAGAAGTAGCTCTTTTAATGAATGAGCAGATGAATATCGAATTTATTAACTCATACATTTGAATCAATAGAGAAAAGAAAACTTTGGTTTATTATTTTAATTCGTGGATACTCAATCACGTCAAACATGGAATCATCTAAATAAATCAGTTTTTCAGCCAAGAATTAAAAGAATATTTTGACAATAGAAGCAATCATATCTAACAAATAACATTTTTAGTAGAGTATTTTGAACAGTTCTAAGTATACTTATAGCTACATTTTGAAAATCAGATTAAACCTTTGAAGAAAATGATTCTGTATCTCACGATGAGTTCTACTGAAAAATCTTAGTTTGAATGAGCAGGCGTGTTAATCTAAGAAAACTGACACGTTTCAGCAATGAAATATCTCAAAAAAAAGAGATGAATGACATCTACACATTTAAGTGTGATTAATTTTGGTTTCTGATTTCACCAGACATAAATACACTCAATCAGCAAGTCTTAATTAAAAACTGTTCGTATTAGATTCAATTGGTAGTTATCTCTTTTCAATTTCATCTTAAGTTTTTATTTCAAAATATTTATTGGGGAAATTATTCAGTAATATATTGGTGTTATATGTTATCACTATCTCATTTTTACATATCTATTTCAATTGATTTTTAATTATAGAAATCAGTTACTCGTTTGGTCAAATCATCTATTGTTTTAGAGGTGTGGTCTAAATGGATGAGTGGCTTACCGGATCATTTAATTGGACTTGTGAAGATTCCAACAGATCAACTGGTAAAACTTTATGCTCATTACGATTTGATTACATCACAAATATGGTGGCATTCAAATAATGTGATACAAAGTTTATTGAAGGCACAAGTGAGTAATTGATTTAACTGAAGCAATTTTATTTAGTTATTTGGTGATAAAAACTATTCTGAAGTCCAACTGAACTTGACAAATCCTCTTATGTATACCGGTGTATAGACCGACTGGCTTCAAGTTAAATCATCCAAGTAATACCCTTAGTAAGAGGAAATAGCTTGTGGAGTTATTCACATCGATATTGCGAGAAATACATCATAATTAGTATTAAATGATTTTGCTACGTTGCAAGCCAGTTAAAGTTTCTAAATGTAAACTTCTGAATCACGACTCAATAATCCAATTTCATCATACTGGTCTCTGTAGACATGAAGATTTTAAGTTTGAACATATGTGTGAGGTCATATTGCCTGTTATAAGCACATAGACGATTTTGAAACATGATGTTCGTACATTGAAACCAAATGAGCGATTGTGAGGTCATACCCAAGGTACTATTTAGTGAATCTTCATTGACGGGAAGTTCATATGTTACTCGTGCTGAACTACTGCCTACCTGGATGTGCAATATTGGATGGGTGTAGTAGCAGTAGACTAGAAACAAACTACAAGCCAGAATAAGACATGGTATCAGTTCATGAAGTCATCGGTTGTTAGATTGAAACATGTGGTTATGTGCAAACTGCGAGGTTAAAGTCTTCTCAGTAATTGTAACCATAGGTTAGAGCCGCTATTTAATAAGATTTATGGTCAGTTTCATGCACTCTTTGTTCCCCCTAGATCCTGAGTTTTAAAGTTATCATATACCATTTTTAACCCCATGAACTTATTTTTCTGGAATTATATTATCTATCCCTAATCATTTTTACTACCACTGATACTCTCAATAATATTTCTACTACTTTAAAATTCATCCTGATTATTTCGTGTCACTGCTCTGATGTGGCGAGACAACTTCAACTCATTTACATGTTTGGCAGTTTTACATTGGTTATGACTGACTGACTGATATGATCATTGGTCATTAACAATATGAAAGTACGATGTAATGAACAAGAACACAGGTGAAGTGTGAAAAGCATACGTTCACTACGTCATTTGCATATACTCCATCAGTTGTTTCAATCTTCATTGTTGCTCCACTTCTAATAACAATTACTCTGCTCCCGTTCTCTTCGATTCGATCTTCTACTGCCAGGCATTCCATTTCTGATTGGTGTCATATACTACTTATGTCGACATAAGTAGCATACACCACAACGTGATCAAATGAAAAATTCTTATAAAGTATAGTCTACTGATTTACTTCGTTTATTGACGGACGCTAATATTTTATGAAAAATACAACAAGTAGCAATACGCCTATCATAATCCCTTGAGGAAATAGTACGCCTACGTGTATAGAGAAATGTTTGATTCAGTAAACCATAGTCAATTAAAAATCTATTTCACAATAGATAACTAATCGAATGTGCTCATAAGTGTGACGTAATTATTTGACTAGCTAGAGCTTATTCTAAAACATACCTAACAAACGATATCGAAAAAGTAATGAAATGTGATTGCTAGATACGTTTTTAAATGAGGATGATACATAGTGATAATCGTTGTTGAAATATTTCACTGGAGAATGGTTATCATCTCATACACTAACTTACCTGATTGCCTAACTATTAAGTTACTTACGCCTGTTCCCTTTCATGGATCATAGGCTTCTAACAAGGATTCTTCAACTAACTCTCTTATAAATTTTCGGCCTAAAATCCTTCTAGGGTTACTGCTGGTCACAAGCCCGGGTAAAGGTGAAGTGTTGGTCATGATGTTAGGAACCCCATCCCGTAGAAATGAACCTTGCTAAAAGAAGGCCGACTTGAAAAAAAATCTACCTGATTCCCAACTAACTGCAAGTGTTTGTGAATTAAATCAGTTTATTGTTTCTGTAAATGAATATAATCAAACACATTACATCAGCTGATATCAGTATAAATAGAGGATTGTTTAAATTTCAATTGACATATTATCATGAAAAATTTCAGTACCAGTATAACTCATTACAATATAGAATTTGAGAAAACTGTTATTTTTCTGGCTTAGAACTCTTAACAATTTCATACACTGTTAGTTCTGTGTGAAATTGAATGTTGCATTGATATTAGTTAAAAATACATTATTGCTAAATGTTAAACTTCGATATAGTTACTAATTGATAATAAATTCAAGACTGGTTATTTCCAGTTTGATCTCATACTTTTGCCGGTATGTTTACACTGCTCAGAAGTTTCTAAATAAGAAATAACACAATGTCCATCAGAGCTTTCCTAAATTTTCACCAACTTTCAATTGGTTCCGATTTCTAGCACAGCGTTTCTGTACACCAGAACACATATATGTGTCTTCTTGTTTAATGATTGTCTGTACTTTCTCGCCTGTAAATGTTTCTATTTCGGTTTTTTGAAATGTGGATTATTTTAGTCCATGACGCTCCGATTATTTCAAGTATCCTGTTCAATGTCAGTTATAATGAAATATTATGTTTGTGAATTACATAATAATTAAAACAAAAACTACAAAACATGTAGTCTGACATCTTTTTTATCTTTACTATGCATGCACACCTATTTTTTTGTACTAGCATCCGATGATTCCTGTGGAAACATGGTTGCCAATAACTGATCCATTCTCTGGTTGTGAAAACGGTCAAATTCATGTTCTACTCGCTGTTGGTACACAAGAACAAATCGATAATTTATTAACACTACAAAATTTGAAATGTACTATTGATGTGGATAATAATACCATTATGAATGCAGCAGATCAAAGTAGAAAAAACGGTATTATTGAATGCAAAGAGATTATGAAGGATAATTTATGTGTAGATTTAACAGGTACGATAGATTCTTTTAATAATTTAAGAGTACCAGTGTTATCGTGTTTTCTTACAATAACTTTGAAAGTAGGATGATACATCATCACATTTAAACAATTGTCAAGCAAATTATTTGAGTAAATCCACTTTTAACCGAAGAGAAATCCAATAACATACAACTTTCATAAAGATATTTTGTGGACAATGAAAAAAAAAGGATCCTCAAAGAAAAAGAAATGTAACAAAATAGTGAAATATAAAAACAGATGAAAATCAACAGTCTCTTAAAAACACCCTTTCTGACCGTTCAACTAGAGAGAAGAAATGATCGGTGTCTGCTACAGTATTATTAAACCTAAGTGCCGCAATACGTTAATATCGAACACCGATATCTGTTGTTTTCTGAAGTATCAGGTTGAATGTTGTACTACACAAGGTTGGACGTTTGATCAAGTCACTTGATAACAGAATCCAGTAGTTACGAATTCGTATATGAATATCGGATCAATGGCCTAATTTTTAACGAATAACACATTGACTACAGATAGAGACTAGATTGTATTGATGGAAATCAGTTTATCTATTCCCGAATAGGTAGGTATTCAGAGAATGCAGACACTAAACTGATGCATGTTGTATTATTGAGACTGTAAATTTAAATGACTACAGCACAACATACCTAAGGATTGCTAATTTGTATACAGTATAGTCGTGTATTTTATAAAACGTAGCTGCATTTAATATTACATTTATTTGTTATTTTGATTGTGACCTCTTGTAATTCGTAGAATATAATAACAATCTTCATAGGTTCATTGAACATTTGTTCAATTGCTTCATTTTCTATATTTTCTGATTCTTGTCTCCGTTTCAACTGTTGTCTACCATTTGGGTTTCGAATACACCCCCAAAATGTTTTATAATTAATATCTATAAACGTTTTACAAGAAACACTTAATTTAATTGTATCATGAAGTGATGAACCTCAGTAGATAACCCATGAATTATACTTCATAAATATATTGCATTTATTGCTGTAATAATTGTACAACATTTTCTACAAAATCCCTTGTTTTGATTTCGGGATTTTCATATATACTCAGGTTATCTAGTCAGAAGCTTCGACATAATTGTATCATAGAATGATATATTTCCTATTTGTGACTTATCGAATCATGTTACAACAGAATATTCCGTATATTTATTACAATTGTACTCAAGTAAAATATATGCTGAAAATAAATGAAACAAAGTTTGGAATGGATTATTTATTAAAAAAGAGGATGAAGGATACGAAAGTGTTAAGTCCACTAGAGAGGCAAAGGCCGAACTATTGTGTCACGTGGAAAATTCAGTATAGAAACAATGGGTTTGTCGATAAAATAGTGGTGATATTAATTACATCATAATCTACGTACTATTACAAGCCTTAATTCGTGAAGTATATAGTGTATTTATATAAGTACCTTGATTAATCTCACGTAATAACGAAGAGGCGGAAATGTATTAGCTCGAAAACAATAAAAAAATTAGTGAATCATGGAGTATTAGTACATACGATGCAACCGATTAAGAAAGAAATATTGATGAAAAGAGCAAACAGGATTAACAGGTTTCTTGGTAATTATTGCACTCAATTACCAACCACCAAACCATAGGTTCAAACCTTTACCTCTTCAATTCCGGTTTGAGTAGCTGAGCATTAAGAACCACTTTTCACATGTCTGAACGCCGATTAGAATTTTTTTGATATTCGGTATTTTACCATACTTTTGTTTTATAAATACTATCAATCATTCTATTTTTCTTAATTATACATATCTACTTACTAGTTGAACATAGAATCGGTATAACCATTGAACAGTTGATTGATTTCGATCCACACATCCCACTTCAATATGATTCAAATTATAATGGAGCTGTACCATGGGGTGATTTAGATTGTTATGTTCAATATTTTTTTCCCACTGGTAAGTTAAATAGTCATATTCATTCATCTTGATGTTACTTCGACTCCTCGTTTCTTTTTTGGAATTAAAAATTTCTTAATTATTATAGTTGCTGTAAATAGTACCGATGTCAATGAGAATATTAAGTTAAAATGATTGTGATTGAATTAAAGAATTTATGGAGATCTGTTCAGTTAAAAATTAGTTACTTTCATGAACTATATGTAAGAATCTGTTATTATAATAAATTGAAATGAATCAACGCGAACACAGATACTCAAAGTTTGACTGTTTAATCAAGAATCATATATCTGTAATGACAACTTATGTTGTTATTACGACAAAGTTTAAATAAATAATTTACAGTATAATATAATCTTACGTGACTTATAAGGATTTGTCTATCTACTCATGCTAGAAACTCAAAGTTAACTTTTGATGAATATATTAGAACCACTAAGAATCAGAGAATGTTTCACAGTTGTTTGGTATTAGCTTACAACTACTTTTCAAATGTGCACATCTACCAGCTCTCATGGAATCGATTCCATAACTTTCAGGTTTCGTTTTGAGCACGATCTTATCGTTGACATTTAGTGAAACTTGAGGGTTACGTGCTAGTTTGTGGATGTATACGAATGAGATAACTTATATTCTCTTAAATTGATATAAGGAAATTAAATCAACCAAATAAAACTGGATTAAATTTTGTTAAAATTTGCCTTTTTCTAGATACAAAAGCTAAATGTTTAGCTAGCACTCGCACCACTACTCAAATGCTTAATAAGCCACCTATGATAACTAATAATACTATTCAAGAAAAAGCTGAGAAACATATCTCCTGTGAATTCATATCTGAAAATTCATTGAAAAACAAAGAAAACGCATCATCATCTACGATAAAATCGCCACCGTCTTCCTCATCATCATATTGGAGTCACACACATAGACTGTGTACAAATTTACAAATAACTTCAGAATCACAAAATAAGATGGATTTAATCAGGCCAAAAATTGAAACGGAATTTATTCAGTGGATTTTAGATATGTTGACTCGTGCAGATTTTGAAAGTAGTGAGTTATTATTCTTGAAATATCGTCTTTTTTTCTTTAAATTCTTACAACTATATTCTTTGCGGATAAACAGAACAATATATGTAGTGTTGGACGATAAAATTCTGAAGAAGCGAGGACTTTTATTTCACTGTTTGAGATTTTTTCAGGGAAAATGATAGAATTATGATGGAGTGTTTGAAAAGTGAAAAGTAATCTACAAGTTTTTTTGTTTTAGGTTGAAATTTTCGTAAAATCTTCATTCCTTAACTTGCATTAATTGACTAGACGAATGAAAGTTCCATCCGTTGAGTGTTGTGGTCATGCACCAAGAATTAGTTAGCATATTTTAACAAGGTTGTTATTTTTGATGGAGTTTTGTTCTCTGAGCTGGATGGTTTGGTCGTGGAGCTTTCATCGTTCTTCTGAACGACATCATCAGCACAAACTTCAGATTGAAGTGAAGTGTTCGATTTTCTCCATATGTGTTTCACAGCTTGTTCTGTGCACCTCGATGTTGATTGGTTCTTGTTGACCTTAAATTTATCATTGTTCACTTCTTTGTTTAGGTTGTGTCTCCCATTGTTTTGATTTTTGTTCTTATATATATGCATGATTTTTCTGATTGGTTGATAAATTGGATTGATTTCAATATGTTTGTTGATTGCTGATTGACCTGAGTGCCAGGCTTCTAGAAATTCTCTGGTGTTTTTGGAGTTTCCTCTGTCTAAGATTTCTACATTTTCCCAATCGAATGAATGTCCGTAGTTATCCACGTGTATTGAAATAAGTGAAGAGATATCATGGCGTTTGACTGCTAATTGATGTTCATGTAGGCGTAGGTGGAGGGGGCGTCCGCTTTGTCCGATGTAGTGTTTGTCGCAGTTGGTACAATTTATTTTGTAGATAATGTTTGATTTGTTCTCCTTTGTTATTTCATCTTTTGGTTTGCATAAGATTGATTGTAGTGATTTTGTTGGTTTGTGTGCCACACCTATCCCGAAGGTTTTCAGCAGTCTCGTTGCAGTTTCTGATATTCCTTGTATGTACGGTAGGGTGATCCTTTTACTGATTTTTGTGCTTGACTTGGGTTGTGATGCTGTGTGCCGTTGGTGCTTTTTGATGAAATTGATTGGGTAGCCGTTCTTTTGGAATATGTCCTTCAGGTATTTCTCTTCATTTCTTCGTGCTGCCAGTGTGCTGCAGTGTGTTCTCGCCCTCTTGAACAATGTGTGTACGCAGTTGATTTTGTGAGCCCTTGGGTTGTTGCTGTTGTAGTTGAGAATTTGATCTGTATGGGTTGGTTTCCTATATACTTGAGTTTCCAGTTTTCCTGTATCAGTTCTAGTGATCAATATATCCAAAAATGCTAGTTGGTTGTTTGACTCCTGTTCCATTGTGAACTTGATGTCATTGAAGACGTTGTTGATCAATTTGTATGTGTTTTCCAGTTCATCCTTTTTGACGATGACGAAGGTGTCGTCTACGTAGCGAATCCAAATTTTTGGTTTGATCACTGGTAATATCGTGGCTTCTAGTCGTTGCATCACTGCTTCTGCGATCAGTCCTGATATTGGTGATCCCATTGGTGTCCCTTTTGTTTGTTTGTAGATTTTGTTGTTGAATTGAAAATATGTCGTAAGGCATAAATCGATGAGCTCCAGTAGACTTTGAATTTGAAGCGTCGTGTATTTGGTGAGATTTGGGTCGTTGTTGAGTAGTAGGGATATAGTTTCTTTTGCTAACTGTGGTTCAATTGAGGTGAACAGTGCTGTTACGTCGAAGGATATCATGAGTTCGTCGTTGTTGATTTGAATGTCCTTAATTTGGTCCAAGAATTGTGTTGGGGATTTGATGGAGTGTTTGGCTGAGTCTACTAGATGTCTCAGTATTCGTGAAATTTCTTTTGATAAATTGTACGTCGGCGTTCCAGGGAGTGCTACTATTGGACGTAGTGGAATGTTCGGTTTGTGTATTTTGGGCCTGCCGTAGAATCGAGGGAGTACTGGTCCACTGGATTTCATTCTCCATTGGTCTTGTTTTGTTATTTCTCCTGCTTTGACTAGCTTGTTTAAAGTCTTTGAGATTTGGTTGTCTAATTTTTTGACGGGATTTGTGTCCATCAGTTTGTATGTGCTCTTATCTTTGAGTAGTTCTTCGGCTTTGTTGACGTATTCTTCTTTGTCCATGATTACTGTGGTGCGTCCTTTGTCCGCTGGTATTATGACAATATCCTTTCTATTTCTGAGTTCTTTCAAGGCCTTTTGTTCTTGTGGAGTCAGTTGGTTGTTTTCTTTCACCTGTTGAGTTATCGGTACTATAGTTTGCCTTATTTCCTGTTGTGTTTCTCCACTGATTCCGGAAGTTTTGAGTGATGACTCTAGTGCTGCGAAGAACTGTAGCTTTGAGGCGTCGCTTGTATTGTAGTTTAATCCTTTTTGGAGCAGGTGTTCTTCCGTATTTGTTAGTGGTTGTTTTGACAGATTGATCACGCAGTTGTTTGTGTTTTCTTCCATGGGTGGTTTGGAGATCTTGATTAGTTTTTTCTTTAAGGTGTCTCTTCTTTGTTCTCTATGTCGTTTGCATGATATCTCGATGGCTGTTGTCACACTTTGCTGAATACATGAAATAAGCCGTTAAAACTGAAGAAATCATATATATCCAGGCCGATTATACTAGACAAATATGACATGGTCCACTACTCAGTGATCAATCCTTGATAACGTCGTGATTGTATGGAGGTCTATTTGTTATCTCAGTCAGTCAGTCAGCTACAACGTACGACCAAGCACATATATGCATCGGTCCAAGTTGCCATAACTCAATAACACAACAAAATGGACACCGGATTCATAAAAGTAGTTAATTCAGGGGTGGTTATATATAAAAGAAAGATTACAATAAGGATATAGTACAGGAAGAAAGAATTAGTTCGTAGAAAGAAAGATATGAAGCAATTTTAATCTCTTAGTTTAAGGGAAGATAGAGAGTGTATACACCGACGCCATTGTGATCTATTCTGAGCCATGTCACCAAGAGTCTCCAACCATTGGTTACGAAAGTCACGCGGACCCCAACCAAGTAGTCTGCATCTACCAACATGGCTCAGACTAGAAGTTAGTGACTTCAAGCACTGATGTCACGTTTTGGTTTGGCCGCCCTTAACTTTCTTTCAACCATCTCCAACACCGGTTAGTATTGCACGTCGTGGTAATCGGTGTTCGGGCATACGTAACACGTGACCCAACCATCTCAGTCGATGAAGATTCACAACTTCATCAACTGATTTATTTGTTATATTGATTGTATTTGATTATTAAACATGATATGAACTACTGTTCATCAAAATAAGTTCAGATTTCCGTGTATCAAATACATTAACAGTTATATGTTTCCTAAATTTTGTTTCCATTGTTAGATAAATTAAATTTGAAGCGAGGTCTATTAATTGAACTTTGGTTACGTATCTATTCACCTAATCTACATGATTGTTTAGCTGCGAAAGGATATATTCCAGAAGAATTATTGTGCAAATTAATTCGTAAAAATAAGCCATTAAAATGTAGAGACGATGAAGAGGATGATCGAAACCATGAACATAATCATCAATCAATAAAATTTTGTATTGATCTGTATGATGTGAACAGCAGTAGTGGATTTTTAAATGGGAGATTACAAATTAGTATGGATTATTGGTATGTTCAGCATGAAAGTATGCATACATAGGTTATTTCGGTTTACTTTAGTGATGCTCCTTCCCATTTTATTAACTATACCGAAGTAATCACCAAACTCGCTTCTCATGAGTACTTAGTCAAACTATAGCTGACATACGGTGTTGACTTCATGTGAGTATAGCGCCATTAGTAAGATGTCTGTCATGAGTAACCAGTATATCAAACAATGCTGTGGCTAGATATTTACAACCCTAAATATCACGCACCTTTCTTTCTACTAAGAATTTTTATTTATTTATTTATTTATTCAAACACATAAATATTGGTACAAGGAGGCACCAAAGAGATATGCGCCACATAAATTAACGGATTTTTGTGAGGAATGGGTTACTCCTCGGGTCCTCAAACCAAAGCAGATTGTTTTCTTAGAGGGCCACACCCAGAGACTTTGACCTAAAGGTCTAATCCATAAGTCGGTGGAGCAACATCAGGAGATGCAGTCCCATGATAGCCGGTGACCAACAACTGGTTCATACGCCATTTGTTTCCTTAGGATCCTGGAACCCGTGTACACAATTGGTTTGGAATCAAAGTTTTCCAACTCCCCTAGGTAGGTCCTGCATACCCACCAACCACCACTTTTCATCCGCTCAAGTTCGTGAGCAATACCCCCGCCACTAGAAGGCTGTGAGTGGGACTTTCCTGACAGTGGCTGTATGCACGTGGCCATGTAAGAGCATTTCGAGTGGGAGAGCTGACTCTCCTCACTCTCGGTCGCATCAGGGAAAATGCCTTGGTAAGCCCCCAAATGCCCTAAGAATGTACTTTGGGTTTTGCGAAAGGTTTGATAAAAGTTTAGACTTTATGAATTGATTAAAAACAGTCGCTAGCACAGTGATCATGTGTGATGAACGTCATTCAGTTATTTCTTGAGCTAGATGACTTTGAAATCAAAAAGGTCATTAGATTTTTTCAGACTCTTCAACAAGAAATATACTTTCACGGTATCAACAGATTTATTTTCTCCATGGATTGTTGTTGACCAGGTAAACAAAAAGCCCTGGATAACTGCTTCATCCACAAATAAGACTTCGAAAGACTTCTATCGAGAAGTCTGTGATTAGTGAATTTCAACCAATATCTGATGTGTTATGAACTGAATAATGTTGCACTGTTTAACGAATAAGCTTATTTAATTCCTTTGCTTTCATGTTGATTTGTTGGAAGTACCCTATAAGAAGCTCTGTTTAACATGTGACCAAACATATTCATGAACACTACATTTTTACATTCTTGAGGAAAATAATGGTCTCTATATAGTTCAAAATTCCGTATAAGATAGTTTTCGAACTCGGTATGTAAAAGTAAACAGAAGGTGAATGAAGCTACACCATTAAGATTGATTCTTAGCCATGTCACTCAAAGCTTCCAGTCATGAACTATAATACCTAAGAAGACTTCAATGTGGTAGTCTTCATCTACCAAAACAGACTGATACCACGTGTTGATTTGGAGGCCCCTAGTTTTCTGTCGGCTTCCTTTTACTACATCCAACATCGGCAGTGGCTTTGACATATATTATATACGTCCTAATCACAGTCGGTAAAAATTGATTAAGTTATTGGTTGACTTGTCATCCTAAGCTTGTACTCTGAGTCTAACCTCAGATTAGTCCACTCAGTGGTTTCGACATACCACAAAAAGTACTTCGAAGTCACCCATGATAAAATACTAGGAATCTACGAGTGTCCTCTACTTTCAAGGTCAACCACCAAATAAAACTAAACACACTTCTGTGCAATATACTAGTCCTTTGGTTGAGAGACAGAGATCTCGCCTATACCACATGTGACGCAAGTCAGCAAAATACAATCAGGCTTTCTAGACCCGTGCCAAGACCTCATGAGACATCAACCCAACTGAGCATATAAGACTTCTAGATGGTCAATGCACTCAATTACTTCATTCACTTATAAACACTGTAGATAATGAATTAAACCAAAAGCAAAATGTCTCATTAAGAGGAAGAGAAACTCATCCTAAATATGCTTACATTGTTGCACATGACCGATATGAATCCACTTGAACAACTATATAAAATTATCTATTATTATCAGAAGGGGTTTGTGGAGATTTTAGAAATTTCACAGATTGAAATCATGAGTCAGTTGAAGCTAGATCACCGTGGAAAACCTGGAAGCACTGGACGGCTGTTTCGTCCTAGTATGGGACTCCCCGCACCCCGCGGGGTGCGGGATCGTGGGTGCGCACTGCTGAGGAGTCCCATACTATGACGAAACGGCCGTCCAGTGCTTCCAGGTTTTCCATGGTGATCTAGCTTCAACTGACTCATGATATCTATTATTAGTATTACTAGTAAACCTTTATATATATCTACATATATTTTTTTTCAGTTATAACATCACCAATCATTGTTCTATAAAATTTGATAACACATTAACCAAGTCATTAACAACACAACCTACAAATCTGTTTAACAAACAATCTATTCTAATTTCAACTTCATCAAATCAACCAATTCATAATTCAATATTAATTCTACCAAGTCAAACACAGTTTAATCATCGTATTCAAATATGTTTAGATGGAATAAGTGGAATAAATTTATCAATAATGAAGCATTTTAATGAAATATCTTATTCATCAAATAGAACAATTCATGCACGTTTACATTGTTTATTATTAATACCAAATGATAAAAGATATTCTCAATCAATAATTAATGAATTATATCATGGTTATTTAATTAAATCTGTTATTAGTTCACCAATATATAATTCATATTATACAATGGAATTAAATTGTAAATTAGATTTACAATTACCTACTTCTTGGTTTATTGCATATCAACAATATAATTATCAACCTAATTTAATAAATAATCAAAATAATAATAATAATAATAATCAATGAATAATTATGAAATTACTTTATTAGAAGCAATTTTAAATGGTGATCAATATCAAATGGAACAATATATAAGACCAATAACCAAACCATGTATTATGATACAAGTTGATATATGGTTACAGAATAATATTACAGAAAAATTAAATGAATTTACTCATAAAAATATAAAATATTGGGGTAAGATTATTTAAAATTGAAACATTGTTATCATTTAATTATTTTACAACTAAATTGAAATCACAAATTATAATTCAAATTGAGTAGATGAAATATGTAGTGAAATCTTTGGAATAGTATATCAAAGGTTTCAGTGTATTTGGCAAAGATGACGTATTCATCAACAATCAAAATGGGATATATAGTTTTTGCCCTCAAATGCCCTGGTATGACCGAGAGTGAGGTGGGCCCACCCTCCCTCTCGAAATACTCTCACACGGCCATGCGTATACAGCCTCTGCTAGGGAAGTCCTACTCACTGCCTTCTCGTGGCATTACTGTTGTTTACGAAGTTGAGAGGACGAAAAGCGAATGTCCGACGCTTTAACCGGATCCCAAACCAATGGTGCACATGGGCTCCAGTATCCTGCGGGAACAAATGGCATATGAACCAGTCGTTGGTCACCGGCTAACATGTGACTGAATCTCCTCACGATGCTCCATTGCTTTGTGGGTCAGACCTTTAGGTCAAAGGCTCTGGGTGCGGCCCTCTAAGAAAACAACCTGCTTCGCTATGGGCACCTGGGCAGTATCCCAGCCCTCACACAAACCGATTGATTTATGTGGCGCATATCTCTTTGGTGCTTCCGCGTACCAATGTTTATGTGTTTAAATAAATAAATATATAGTTTACTAATATAAAAAAAGAATAAACATGTATAGCTCTGAAGCAACTTTCAGGTATAATAGAACTTTCAAATGAATGGTTCTGAAATTAAATATAGAGTTTTAGATAAGCAAAATAATAGGTTGATTGATTATTGAACTAGAAAATCAGATAATTTTTGGTCATCTTGCTTTGCTTTCTTGATTAACTAGCTAAGAAGATATTTATGAGACTGAACCAACCTTTATTTAATGTGCTCTGATCATTTAAATAGAATTAAGATGGAAAACGTCCTGGAGCTGAAAGTTAAACCATGATATCATGACACATAATCACTAAGCCTTATAAACATTTGTGGAGTTCATAAAATGTTAATAAACATCGGATGTATCAGGCGAATATAGCCCCTGAATCGAAAAGCATTCAATTATCATTATCATCCTGTGGATTTTAGGCATTTAGTACTCTTTATTTATTCGTTGCTTTGTCTCAGACAGCTTTTTCTTGATTATATTGGTATTTCTGTGACTATTAGTGGATCCTTGTATGACATTATCATGTACTGTTGAGTTTGTTCACATTTGCTGTTCTTATTCTCTTGTCAACTCTTTTTGTGTATTGTTTTATACTACTTATCATTATTCAGTAAATAGTTGCATCTCTATCAATTTCTACGCGTATGATGTGGCGCAAGTTTGTGTTATATTCTCACTTATTTACATACCTTATGACATTTATTGTATTTACCATTATAATTACTTTCTCTCAATCCCTGCAACAGTTATTATCATTTCATTTATTCTTTATTTAACCGAAACTATTTTTATATTTGCTTCCTTTTGATTCCGTTTTGCTTGTTGATAAACTGTTATCATGATTAGACACAGATGTCATTCGCATTATCATATGTCAAAATTATTCTTCATGTTGTTATTACAGGAAGTCTTTTTTCATACTCATACATTCTCTAACCGCTACAGATACCTCACGAGTTGATGTTTGTAACTAATTTATATATATTACTCAATAAAGAACCGCTTCTTAGATAAATAAATGTTTTATGAAATTCGGCTTTGCCCCTATCTCAGTTGTATAGTTAGACGCTTCAATAGATTAAACATTTATTTTGTCAATCGATGTACTTTTAAATCCAGTTCTACATTATTGATGTTCATCGCTTCTTGTATTTTGTTTACATTCTCCCAATAACACTCACTGTAATTAATATCCGTCAAATTAAACTTTTGAAGTATTTTTTTGTATCGTTAAGATACTCTACCATATACATGAAACCCAGACATCTGTTATATAATCAGCCTTGTAATACTAGTTAAAACATGTAGGCTTTAAGTTTGATGCCGTATAAGACATTGAGTAAACACTTGTAAAGTTTTACAAATTATTAAGAAATAAACTGTTCAGGTGACACCAATTCCTAGTAAAAACTTTCAAAAAATTAGACCTTCTCCGTAATCCTCATCTACCCCAAACAAAGTATCTTATTATTGGTAGATGTTTTTTTTCAAAAATATATTGTATGATTAGGTGCCTATCGGTATTACTTCAGCTAAATGAACATCTATATTCTTTGATATTTAAATGATCATTCAATTTTTTTCAGTTTACTTCATGTGTCAATATCTAACTGAATAGATGTAGCTTTTTGAAACTTTGTGCTTGGCCATTCAGTCAGCAAACTAGAATATGCATCAATCCCAGTTGCCACTATCCCATAGTACAATGAGATAAAATTATGGAGATAAATGTCATATTAATGAGAATAGTGAAACTATCAGTTGTAGTAAGAAAACATTATGGATAACCGAAATACTTTGATAGGGAAGAATGGGTATGGGAGATACAAAATATGAGATTATTCTAAAATTCGAGATTTAGGAGAAGATAGTGAGAATTTATCTACCGGTTCACATTAACTTTAACTATTTAGTCTGCACTGAACTACTTGGCTCAGTTCAACATTACTTCATTTGATATAGTTGTGTAATTTTATATCGACTAATTTCATTATTGATGACCATTTGGTGTTTTCATAAACCATTGGACATGTAATATTCATAACTACTTGAAGATAAGATCATCAAACGTAATGATAAAAATGTGAACAGTTGAATAGCAAAAAGGACATATAGACTTTTATTATTATCAGTATGAGTCGTAGAGAATGTTAGATTTCACTGAAATCACGAACTGACCTAAGTTATGCAACCATTAAAAACCTAGAAGCCCTGAACATCTGTTTCGTCCCACTGTAGCACATCAGTTGTGCACACTTACGATTATAAACCTAGGAATCAGACCCGGGAACTTCATTGTCTCGCGCGAACTCTTGAATTCCAAATCATCGCGTCAGAATCCAAGGGTTTGGGAGTTTAACTCCAATCAAGCCACAACATTACCCGGTCATCTTCCACTTGTTTTTGGTGAATACCTTCCTCACATCCGACACTGATTATTATTATTGTTATCATTATTATTATTATTATTTATGATCTTGGCCTTCAAAATCTTAATTTCCAGTTTAATGGTTGTATGTTCAATTACTCTTTATGTTCAGGTTTACAATATACTAATTTTGAGCAACAGTCAAATGAAAATATCAATTCAATCATTAATCCTGGTAAAGAATATCAACTGATTAGTAGTTGTCGTGTTCCTCTATCTGCACTTATTTTCTCTTCACATGGTAATATACCATCACGTTGGTATCCATTAACATCTTTTGTTAATGATGATGACAATTCATCGATTTCTTGGCAAAGTAAATTTAGTGGAGCTATCCAACTCAGTATGCGTTTGACTGATCCACATTTGATCAAGATAGTTCCATACAATATTATTACTACTACTATTGATAATAATATAATAATAATAATGGAATGAATAATATTCATGGTCCATCTGTAATTAATTGCTTACGTGATTGGAATATTTCATTTAATGTTGAGAAATTAGAAAATGGACAAAATTCTATTGTAGCATTTCAAAATGAATTTGAATTATGGAAAGATGGTCTAGGTAAAAAGATATTTCATTTTTTTTTACTTCATAATGATAATGATGGTTTTATTCTTTTAATAAGAAATAATACCTTTTTATTATTATCTACTTTCAATTATAACATAATAAAGACAAGTGAAACGATTATTAGAAAATACTCTATAACTCAAATATTAATGGAACTATGCATTTATTCTAGTTGAAACTCCAAAAAGCTTAGAATAGATGCATTTAAAAAACTACTTGAAATATGTTATAACGACTCGGTTTTACTTCGTCTAATGTTATAACAGTTGAGTTTCCCACGTTTACAGGTATGGGACTTTAATTTACCTTAAACGATTATCTACATTAGATTCCCTCCCAGTGTCTATTCTACAAGATTTCAACACAACTCAGATCAAGAACACGTGATTAGTCTGACCACAACGTAAATATATTTCCACATTGAGAACCCGACACAATCCAACAACAATGAACAATCAATAATAAGTGAGAGTCATAATAGTAATAAGAATAAGGGGAATATATAACTCATCGGACACGTGTGAGACTATCTACATGTCTGACTAATCAGACAACCAATCATTATCATTCTCGCCCACACATCAAAGTACAAGATGATAAATAATTGGAAAACAATCTTCAATTGTGACATCTTTTTATATTCAGGGAATTCACTTAATGCCCAAACCAGAATTCAAAGCGGTTTTCCGAAAAAATCGATATGGGTTGATCAATGACTATATCCAATAGTTAAAACAAAACAATTGTATAATAACAGAGTTATCTTTATATTAATCTCATAATATCAACCTAAAGTAATTAAAACTTATAAAAATACCTAAGCAAGTTCGTTGGCTTCTAACTCTACATAACACTAGAAACAAAGTAAAATGAATTCCTCAATTACTACTTAGCTTCATGATCAACATTTAGCACCAGTCAATTGATCAGTAAGAAATAATTGCATAATATAATGTATATTATGCATATTTAATTTTATTTGCTTCCTATGCAATTTGACCAAATATACCCTATATGTATGTATGGTTTTTGTGCAAGGAATGAATAGATTAGATGTCAGTATTTTAGGCAATTGACTGATGACGCTATGTTTTTATTTTCAATAGTTTATTCTATTGTTAATAAATTAATTAGTGCAAATAATTCAATCATTTGTCAATTAGTACTATTGAGGGTCTGTTCAAAGTGTTGATTTTTTTTAAGTTTATACCACGAACTGACCTGAAAACCAGGAAGTACTGTGTGGTTATTTCATCAAACCTTTAGACCACCGAGCCGTTATCCAAATGTTTACATATCTAAATTCTATCTTTTCGCAATATCATTCAGTTATCTTCTAATTCATTTGGTGAGTAACTGACTCACACCTGATGTGATTGGACTCTACTAGTCACGGTTCCTCACTAGATCTCCGGAAATCACCTCTCGAAGTCGGTTATTAGTAAGGGCACGATTGCCACTGTATTTTGACTAGGAATTTATATTAGTTAGAAGAAATGCAATCTGTTTATATTCCTGAGGTTTATTGGAATTTAAAATGAGTACAGTAAGAGTAAAACAATTCACATATGTTGTTTATTCATTTATTCTACTCAAAAAAATCTATTCTTTATTGTATTTTATTACTACATTTGTTCACATCAAGTTATTTGTTTTTCCCTCTATAGATGAATATGGCTGTCAATATAAACATTTCACAATATATCTTAATTTTGCATGTCTTCCAAAAATCAAACAATTATTAAACGATAATCTTAATTTCATTAATCCATTACATAGAAATTATACTATCGAGAATAATTTCAAAGCCTATACATTTGTTCGTTTTCAATTTCCAAATTATGGTACACAAATGTCTCAGTTAATTTTCTTGCCAAATGATGATGATCATGTATCAGATAGACAATCTAATATTGTTGAGGTAAGTATTAAGAGTAAACTATTAAAAATCGACGATTCATAGGTAATGTGTGAATTTCATATTACTGACAAAGATGATTGACCAATTATGAAAGTGATTTCGAATGTCCTTAGAGGTGTGCTGATGGTTACAACGTCTAGGTTACCCATACTGTGGACGACCACTTCTTCTTAAGACATTCGAAAGTTAAATTAGATTTGTAATGCTCTTGTTGAACTGCTCCATAATGCACAGCGGACAACTGCTTGCGTCCGATCACATATGACCTCATGAATAACGTTTGATGTGTTTCGTTTCCTACTTAAAAAGGATTTGTCGTTGGCAATGGAAACATGTGAGGGTATACAAGATTTACAACCTTTACAAACCCTTTGCTGTCCATTGTAAGATGTTAGCGACTTTGTAGACTCTATTTATCTGAGGCAATCATTTTACTACCATCAAACGTCACTGCATTTAGCGGTAAGATTTTGTCTTCGGACCTTAGGTAGCTGCTTCTAGTTTTACCTCTCACCAGCGGATCTACTTGGCATGATAGGGCCTTAAAGGGTAAACATTTCGGCCAATATAGATCGATCGAGTTACTACAATAGGCAGTTTCGACTATCATATAAAGGTAGCAGCTACATTCGGGAATGTCAACTGACGAAACTCAATAACTGAGGACATTTTCATGTACTATTCGTTAAATAATACATTTTATGTATGACATGTAACAATAAAACACTGTTCATCTATGCAAACAGAGAATAGAGGAAGTGGCGTTTGAACCAGCGATCAAATTAACTTGATTACCATTTTTCATGAGATAATTATCCGTCTTGTCAACCTATTTGTTCCATTATTTTGTTAATCAATTGAGCTTTCATGACTAAACAAAAATTAGAATTCAATAAGTCTTATTTAATCTGTTTGGTGCGACTCCGATTTTCAACCATTTTCATCCCTCACTTATAACAAATTTATAACAAACTACTTCAGTGATGTCTGTTATGAATGGTAGAAGTTTTCTACCCCTTGAATACAACATATATATACTATTTTTGACAGGGAGAATACACTACTGAGTAGCTTTTAACATGTAATGTGGTTGAAGTCAGAAATAAACCTGAACCTAACTTTAGTAGTCGTTGGCATTTATTGGCACTATGTATTTGCAATCTTTGAGCAACTGATTCAGGTCCGCATCATCTGATGTTACAGTTAAAAATGTTGACACCGGCCTGTATTTGAATCGAGATAATTAAACGTTGAAATGACTCAGTCGAATAATAATTATTTTATATTTTGGAGTTATGTAGTTCATGAACATCTGTTTGATTTTAAGATAATTTTTATTAAGTACAGACCCCCTTTGAAAAATAGTCCAAGGTTCGTTGCTATGTACGGTCCTAAACTAAAATGAAAGAACTGTCCAATTTCCCGTGGTCTTCAGTAATTCTTCAGTTGATGTCTAAAGCGAAAGTGCTCTCTGCAAAGCCTGAATATATTCTAGGTTCAGTTTATAGTGGAATCGTGGATGCTCACTGCCGAAGAGTTCCACACTAGGACAAAATAACCGCTGTTTTCACTGGTTTTTAACCAAAATTGAGCTATGATATGAATACTATAAATTCTGTCGCTAATGTATAATTCCTTCAAATGTTTTTCTTAATTCATTAGTTCTTTACCTGGTATCGAACAGTCATGCGATATTTTCATAAAATCATTTATTCAATTCTGTTTACTTCTTTTTTTATTCATTTTATCAGTTCAAAGAATATAAAGAATTTGTTATTCCAGTCAGTACAGAATTACGAAATTTCTTGGCCGAATCTACACTTGAATTTCAAGTATGGATTATTTGGACAGATGATGAAAATTTAAAAGAATTAGACAAGAATGATGATAAATACGAAACTGGACTACAAAAGTTTATCACCTATGAACTGAACAATAAAGAATACTTAAAAAGATATCAGTAAGGCATGATAAAAAATATCGTGATGTTAAGTAATACTGACATGATTTCAGTATACCTTATTTACTCAGCTGTCTAATGAAATGACTTTTTAGTAAATTTTCATGCAGTGTAGTCGTTTGGTCTATTCATTGTTTGATTCACTGGAACAATCTACTCCAGGTTGAATAAATCTAAATATGATACATCAAAATAATGTGATAAAGAATGACGCAGTCTGATACTAATAGTTTCCCCGGAATTAAACACCTGAGGTCGATTAATGTCAGATTCGTGGTTTATCGAAATATTTGTATATGGAGGTATGAAAGTAACATCGGTTTTAATAAATAATAATTAGCTTGGGTTAAGAGACTCTCATCTAAGGTGATAAACTGAGCAATAACCGTTAATTTTCAGAAGTACATGAATGAATGTTTTTCATGAAATTATTACTAGTCTAAATATCTTAAATATTTTGATTGTGTTGCGCTCTCTAAGCTGTATTGCTTGCGTGCGATGCTTTCATCGTCATTCTGGACAAATTCATCAGCATTTACTTCCTATGTCTGCATGATTATGACCTGTTTTAAGCCATGTCACCTAGAACTTCTGTTGTGAATAAAGATATGATAAATTAACGGGTTTCATATCACTAAAATGAATGAATCCAATACTGGTCGATTAATAATGTGCAGTGATATAATATGGGCGAATGTCAACTGCTCACGAAACATAGTATCTAAAATACTGGCCTCGATAATTATCAAACGCCTAACTAAGACTCGTGAACTACAAACTCGAGAGAACCAAGCTGGCTTTAGACCTGGTCGTGGCTGCATCGACCACATATTCACCATTCGTCAGGTTCTAGAACACAGGCATACCTATCGGCGTCCGACGATGGTGGTCTTTCTTGACTTAAAAGCAGCATTTGACTCGGTAGACCGCGAGACTCTGTGGCAGTGTCTGTCATTGAAAGGCGTACCTCAGAAGTACATAAACCTTGTGAAGGCTCTTTACTCGAACACTACTAGTCGAGTCAGGGCTTATGGCGAACTGTCATCTACTTTTGCAACCTCAAGTGGTGTCCGTCAAGGCTGTCCACTTTCTCCATTTTTGTTTAACTTCATCATAGACCTATTGATGGAAATAACACTCTCGTCGACTGAATTCTCGGGTATTGATCTCCTTCCAGGAGGTCCACTTATCGACTTAGAATACGCAGATAACATAGTCCTGTTTGGTGAAGACGCTGAGAAAATGCAGAGTCTTCTGGTAGCACTAAGCAACAATGCCAGAATGTTTGGGATGCGCTTCTCTCCCTCTAAATGCAAGTTGTTGCTTCAGGACTGGTCTGCGTCAACACCTGAACTAAGGATAGGGAGTGAAGTAGTCGAACGCGTTGATAACTTCACTTATCTTGGAAGTCTGATCAGCCCTAATGGGTTGGTATCGGACGAAATCTCAGCACGGATTCGAAAAGCTCGCTTGGCTTTTGCCAACTTGCGTCACCTTTAGCGAAGGCGAGATATCCGTCTATCAATAAAAGGACGAGTATACTGCGCGGCAGTTCGTTCTGTTTTAATTTACGGCAGCGAAACATGGCCCTTAAGAATAGAAGACACCCGTAAGCTACTAGTATTTGACCACAGATGCCTTAGAAATATTGCTGGCGTCTGCTGGGATCACCGGGTAAGTAATAGTGAGGTTAGACGCAGGGTATTAGGGAATGATGGTAAATCAGTTGATGAGGTTATGAATCTTCATCGACTGAGATGGTTGGGCCACGTGTTACGTATGCCTGAACACCGATTACCACGACGTGCAATGCTAACCAGGGTAGGGAAGGTTGGAAGAAAGTTAGGGGCGGCCAAACCAAAACGTGGCATCAGTGCCTGAAGTCACTAACTTCTAGTCTGAGCCACGTTGGTAGATGCAGACTACTTGGTTGGGGTCCGCGTGACTTTCGTAACCAATGGTTGGAGACTCTTGGTGACATGGCTCAGAATCGATCACAGTGGCGTCGGTGTATACACTCCCTGTCTTCCCTTAAACTAAGAGACTAAAATCACTTCATTCTTTCTGTCTACGAACTAATTCTTTCTTCCTATACTATATCCTTATTGCAACCTTTGACCTAACCACTCCTATGAATCCGGTGTTCATCTTGCTGTGCTAATGAGGTATGGCAACCTGGACCGATGCACATATGTGCCTGGTCCTACGTTGTAGCTGACTGACTGACTGACTGCTCACGAGACTAAATCCTTAGCGTGGACCCCCAACTGAACAGATAGCAGAAGGTAGGACAGTTGTTCAGAAGAATATGGTTTTCTTTTTGATAAAATAAAATGCTTTCAAAAAAATATCAAACAAAATAATCATGATTAAAAGTCATTTTAAACATGATTATTTAAAAAATAGGAAACTTGTAGGTTACTTTACTGTCAATAATATGAAGACCTGATCATCAATCGTTATTACTGCCCAACATATCCCTTTCTAACCATATATTACAAAACTCTTGTGCTGGTTTTTAATACGAAATATAAATATATCAATGTGACTTATTTGAACGGTCAATGACTTAATGAATTGATGTATTGTATAAGGTTAGCCTCCTGTAATCTTGTTCCAACCTACTCTTATAGAGTACTCACTTGATTTTTTATTAGTATTCAGATCCACAAGCTTACTAACTGTAATTTATCTAGATTTGTACATTGACTGAACATTGAGTAGTAGCCAGTCCCTTATTTATCAGGTCTTTAGTACTAATCGAACTCTGTTGATAGAGTTACGATTTATTTAATAATTTAACGTGTAGAGCTTCCTGTCGGCTTCATTCACTAGCCAACCATCAAAACACAGTCCACGCAGTAACATTTTGGTAGAGAACTACTAATCACTGATCAATCATTGCGAGAGATTAGTTGTTGTTGGAAAAGACTGATGGTATAATCTGTATAACACGAGAGTGAATTTTATATGGATTATCGGTTCCTCCATAACTACGCATAAGCCTGGTTGATGATAATTAACTGAATCACATAACTTAATTCTGGAGCTACCTACTGATTTACACTAACCAATTAACATTTAATTTTTTTATCGGTTTACATATGGTAGCCCTGTTGTTTAGTTTCGTGTCTGTGTAAACCTCGTGCTCAACTATATGAATTAGTGATAAGTTAACTGTTTTTTTTATTGGTAACATTTCAAGAGTTCCTGCACCTCGTCATATTGGCACAGCAATTATCCCATTGTATCATCTATTGTATCCAAGACCACAAGCTACATCACATCCAAACACTAATTCTATCAACTGTTTAGATGGTGATCCATCTGGGATACGTTGGTGGAATAATCAACGACAAGGGATGGGAACAGATAGTATAAATTCAAGTGGATTGGCAGTGTTTCCTTTATATCGTGCAAATACAGCAAATCTTTATGATAGTTGGATTGCTGTACATATTGAAATGACAGGATCAAAAACTGAAAATTGTTTATGGGTATGTAACATTACGGTAGAACATAGAATGAGTCATAGTACTTTTATTATCTAAGGTTATTTTTTCACTTAATATTCAGGATGTTAATAAGATAAGAATATGGCCATTAGATTATAGTACTGTTCTATCAGTCTGTTGATTTAAATAGTCTTATTTTACAGATAATTATAGTGTACGACATGATAATGCTTAACTAATCTGTAAAAAATAATGAGATCCCAGTGAATTAGTAATTCATCTCAAAAAACATATTCCTCATAAAATGCAAGTTATAAAATGACTTAATTCGCCTCAAATTACTTGAAAGTTTGAAGTAGTATACAGTGGACCGTAACATGAATGCTAGGCTAAACCCTTACTTAGCCACGGTTGTATTATTTGGAGTAGTTTTAATCAGAGTGTGTACTGTAATTGTCGAAGCAACATCATCGCCCCAACTGGAAATCGAAATGGAAAGCCAATCAGAAGTTGCCAAGTGAAAAGGTCAATCGATGGCAATCAGTAGTGACCTGAAGGATAGGTGCATTTCATTGATTAAGAAATGAATTAATTTATTAAAGGATAGAGTTTTATATATACAAATGAGTATTTGTACAGTTTATTTAGTATCCCGGTATACTTTCTCTCTCACTCTTTTGTTCTTGCTCAAGTAGTCAGCTGGGGAGTTAACCCGTAGCACGTTGCGTATCATTATCATTTTATCCTAGAAATGAATTATCAACTGATAATGTATTTTTCTTTGACTCTCTTCCAAGCCACTCCCGGGTTTCTATCGTTCTGCAGTTGAATTCATTCAGAGAGCGAAATTATCTTTGAATTGAAAAAGTCTCCACCGGTTATTCAGATAAACCACAGATCTATTTTTTGTTCCAACAACTGACTTTCTGTATTTTGATTGAGATGTTGAACCGACCGATGTTAGACCACCCTTGAAAATCTGGAAGCACTAGAGGGCCGTTTCGTCCTATTGTAGGACTCCTCGGCAGTGCGCATCCAAGACGTCTCTCGCGCGATTCGAACCCAGGGCCTCCAGCCACGCGCGCGGACGCCTAACCTACTTGACTACTGAGCCGGCATTTAACGGTGCTAATGTCTTAACCCAACCAATCCACGAAATTGCGCGACCATCTTCCATTGTACTGAGGTAGATACCTGTCTCTACCCAACACGGAATAACTCTACAATAGGTCCACTGCTTCCAGGTTTTCAGTGGTGTTCTAACATTAATCGGTTCAAGATCTCAATCAATAACTTAATAATTTCCACAACCCTATACTGATAGTTTTGTATGTTAACGGAAAACATGAATAAGAGTTTATCAAACTTTGGAAATTACCTGCCCATTATCGCTTATTTTTAAAACAAATAATTTTTTTTTAAAATAAATCTCTATTTACTGTCTTAATATATTTATTTGATTTCTGGTTGTATTTCACCTTCACATGTCATCTTTAAGTCGAAACGATATCATACTTGTAAAATGAATAAATTAATTATACCTGAAATTGATGGACATTTGGGATGGAATTTAAAACATTACAAAATACCTTCTCCATTGATCAATAACCCATTACATAACAGTAATAATAATTGTAATTTAACTACCGAATTATATGCTGATAATTATCAAAAAACTGAAACATTTCCTGCTGAAATTATTGTTGAAAAAGCATATCATTTACGTTTATCTCATCAGTAAGTTGAGCAAAGAGTTTTATTTCAATTGTTGATTGTATGTGAATCAAGAAATTTGTTGAGTTTTTGTTTTCAAATATTTATCTATATGAAGAATCAAATCATAAACAGTTTGGGATAATATTGTCTGAATTTTACAGGGAAACGATGATGTTGTGGGGGGTATGTGTTTTGTTCGTGCAAGTTGACAATGGAAAATAACTGATTTGCTTTAATTTAGGGCTCCCTTTCGATGTATGTATATTTATACAGTGTTGTATGAAACTTAAATTAAGACTTTCAAATCGCATAGTATGGATATGATGGTCAATGTATAATGTATAATAATCCTCTTTTATTATAATAGGTTTTTAGTGCCTCCTCACTCTTAATCTTGATTGAATTTGCAGGTTACAGTTACCACTAAAAGATCGAAGATTATTCAAACAGTGATTATTATTTAGTATAAACGTATGGTTACTTATTTTCTAAATCGGTTCAGTGATGATAAAGAAATTTTATTTTACGAACTCAGAAGTTCCCATATCAGAATAATCCGTTTATGTTATAACCCTTGGTTTTACTTTGTCTAGTGTTATAACAGTTGGGTTTCCCACGTTTACAGGTATGGGTCTTTAATTTACCTTAAACGATTATCTACATTAGATTCCCTCCCACTGTCCATTCTACAAGATTTCAACACAACTCAGATCAAGAACACGTGATTAGTCTGACCACAACGTAAATATATTTCCACATTGAGAACCCGACACAATCCAACAACAATGAACAATCAATAATAAGTGAAAGTCATAATAATAATAAGGACCGGGGAATATATAACTCATCTGACACGTGTGAGACTATCTACATGTCTGACTAAGCATTCAACCAATCATTATCATTCTCGCCCACACATTAGTTTATGAACAGAATTATCATCAATGTGTAAACTTCCAGGTTTTCTGTAGTGGTCTAACTAAGATCATGATTTAAACTATAAAGATAATTTTTTAATGAATAACAGCAGTGTATGATGGTAATACTAAAAGGTGATCATAACAACTCGACGTATATCACATTATAGGTTAAATTAATCAAGAAACGACGACATCAGTTATTCATATTTCCAATTTGAGTTACATCTTTGATTTTTGCCTATTTGAATATGCAATGATTAATCGTTGGTTGTTTGGGATTTACGGAATCATTGTGTCCAACTAGATAAAAACAATTCTAGTGCAAATTTAGTTACATTTTCTTGTTTGCAGTCAGAACATTGCTTTCGGTTGTAAATTTGCCGATGAAAGTTTGCTATGATACTTTCAATTTATGTCTTTGATAGTATTTTCGAAGTAACAATATCTTTATCTCTTTTTTGACCTTTGATTCTCAATGAAATTCTTTTCTGTAGTACAAAGATGGCACTAACTTTATGACATCATATATTTCTGTTTTTAAGTGAACAGGAATTTTGTTTTATAGCGAGGCGCTCAATATCTGATTTTCAATTGTCCGATTAATACATTATTCAACATTACTTTGAAGATAGTCTTTTCCGGCATTAGGACCATTGAACAAGACCTATAAAGTTAATATCATATTTTTAGATTGAACACCTGTGGACGTTTTTATGAAGTTACTTACTGGCAGTTTGATTTGCACTTGTACGTAGAGATTTCCACGTTAGAATCGAAGAGTTAATAGTGTGCTATAGTCAAAAACAGGTAAAATGACCCTGCATCATTAGCAATGGCGCATTTGCTTTCACTCTGTATCTTCCCCGAAAACTTGGGGTTGAAGTCAATTCAGATATGTACTTCCACCTCATTTGATTCCTTTAAATTTTATTTCATATATTATGCTACCCATTTAGTTTAATTTTATCTTACATTCTCCGCCTTATCACCATTTAAATTTCATTTCCTGATGTGCTGATGCTAAGTGTAAAAGTTTACAGCGACAAATACTCATTTCAAATCCTACGTTGTCTTTCACCGATTAACTGACTCATTGTCTACGCGATACTTTTCATACACTAACTAATATCAATGAAAGCGGAAAGAAGTAATAACTATCTTCCTCCTTGGTTTGAAGTCTCCTATTCAATAGTATAAATTTTCAACCTTTAGAGTTCATGATAATCACAGAACCATTCATTCAATTGGTCAGGATCCTTTAATTAAACTTCAGTATGATACAGGATTCTTTCAACAAATGTCATTCAGTAATTATTCACTTTACTCTTGAGTTAGTCAACCTGATAGATTATAATTCTAGTACAATAATACCGTAACACGTTTTAGCATATTCGGCAAATGGCCAATACTGAAATGTAGGACATGCATTTTGTCCTATTTGGAACTCAGAAACTTAATATGTTTGGATCTCAGTGTTGATATTCATACTGAGATTCAGACCCATTACTTTTCACTTCAAATAGTCACATATTATTTACTGCGCCTAATAAGTCTAGGCAAACACTAACGTATTCAGAAAGCATATAAAGAAATAGAAACTGAACAGTTGCAGTCCTGAATATCAACAACAGAAAATTACACATTTTTACCAGCAATACTATTGTAACAGTTTTTAAAAGATGATGTAATTCTTTTGTTAAAAGTTTATTCTTATTATTTTTCTAGTAATAAATTTGATAATTCCACTGAATCAAGTGAAAACAGTGAACCATACTTTAAGACAATTGATAATAATAATAATGAAACAGCTGATTATTCTGTATTTGTTACATTTCCTGTGGATGGTGGTAATCATTATTGTTCAAATAATAATCCACTGAATAAACATTCCGTTATTGGTGATACTAATCAAGATGAAAGATTATGGAAACAAATTACTAAATTATCCAATAATAATTCAAACCGTATAGCTGCAACACCAAAAGTTAAAAATCTCGAATATGCACATTGGAATTATTGCCGTTTTATTCGTATATCATTAGAGTTGGTACAACCTTCATGTAATCAGGTAACAGAAAAAAAACTCAATCTGTTTAATGTCAAATTATTATCTTCGCAAATTCATCTCTTACAGATACCCATTCTAGAAGTTTTTATTTATTTGGTCCCATATATTATTTTATTCACAGGGAAACCATAAATATGAATGGGATGATTGAGGTTCAGTATGAGTAAAACGCTAAATGTAATAATTAAATGTAAAATTATGTTTTAAATAATCGCAGCTATTAAAATTTAAACAATTTCAATTATTCTGCTACAAACTGGACCGAGCGTTCCAATGGTAATAACCGCTGGGGAGTTCAGAAACTTCTCTCGTCAAGACCCATAGAAGCTCAGAAAACTCTAGGACATATTTTATTCAATCAGCATTGAATAAAAGTCGCTTTAAAATATCTAGAAAAATGAATAGATATTTATGTATATCGTTGTTGTATTTAGTATACTTACAAAAAGTTTAAAAAGACCGAGGTCACATGAAACTCCATAAATACACTTGATTTTCTGTACATACCTGACTTTGAAGCAAAGCTCTTACATTTTGCACGTTTTTCTTTATTGTTCGAGCTAAAGTGTAGTACTTTAGGGTTATGGGAAACATCTAGGAAATCAGTATTCGGTGTTCCAGTAGCAGACCTAATAACCAAAGTCAATGTTATGGAAAACCTCAAATAATTCTGATTATGTTTGTAAAGAATTACGGACCTGTTTATCAGAAGGAACGTTAAAATTATTTCAATTCCGATCAATGAGATTATTTCAAATATAAATTTACATTTAACATCTATATACTTGATGCTGAATTTCTGTCAAATTATTCGTTCAAATTTTGACGAATGTTCGTATAAATTATTTTACGACTTAATGCAGTACGAAAATAAATTGACTGATGTGAATAATTTATCTATATCACATTTGATCTAACCATATTACTCACTATCAGCTCTGTCTTCAGTACTTCAGTCGATACATTGTCACTCGGCTTGATAATATTACGAGCAAAACGTTACATCATGGATGTTAATCTTTCAGGAATTCTGATATGTTCCAAGAAATACAGTTTGGAATCAATTAATAAAAAGAACATCCTGAGATCTGCATTATCATTCCCATGCTTCTATAGAAATTTGTGCCATAATCTTTGAATAGCACAATAGAGTTTTAGAAATAAAACTTTTATCGGGAATATTTTCAGTTTCATAGAACAATAAACATTAAAGCTTCTTAAGTTCGGATAGATCCCTTTTGATATGGCACCTTTTAACCAAAAACTCCTATCAATTAGAGAATTATTCCAAAATGTCATGAATCATTGGACAATTGTTTCATAATCGTTTGAGACCCTTCAGTAGTTCACATAAGCGACCGCCTACGGGATGGAACTCGAAATCTTGATTTTATTCCATACCTACTCTTTGACTTTGCTGGAGTTGAAAACCAGTGAATCATTAGATTTCGACTCAATGGGATAAATGTATCTTTTTGGCCTTGGAAAGTGAAAATTCTGGCTTCCAGTTCATGTGGGATTATGGGTCTTCACTAATTTGGAACTATACACCGAGTGAAGAATTGTCCATTCTTTTTATGATTTCCAATGATCGCCCAATTTATCCCAGCCCATGATGAACAAATTCAAACGGATCACTTACTAAAAAATGCAAACGTTTTCTGTTATATACCATCTTTAGTTACCGAAACCAAACTATTAGCGCATTAGTGAGTTCATCTCAATACTTTCCAATCAAACTTTTAGTGTGCCTACAATAATTCTTGACAGTCCCCAAACCTTCAAGAAAAGAAAGGAAGTATTAGATTTATTTACCATTACAGCCAACGATAATACACAGGAGAAAATATGAGTATTTATACATTTTCACCTGCCTTTGAAAATTAGATATTCAGAATTTGTGTTTTAGGACACCAGATTGGACAGTAAGTGAGCAGTTTAACAATTCAAAGACGGTGATCAACAAACATTTTCTTTTGGTTTATTTTCGTTGGATTTTTGATACATAATATATTTTATGTGAATTTTCTCTCATACGCAAATATATAGGGATTAATGTTTTATGTATGGGCTGTGAAACATGATAATGATTATTTTGATTTGAATAATGATAGTAGCTATATACCAAAATTAATCGGTATTGCTACAGTCGATTTAACTACTCTATCACATCTATTCACCGATCCGATTCATTCAACTAATAATGAATTTAATCAAATTTATGGTTGGTATCATGTACTAAACAATGATACAGGATGTCCATCTGGTCAAATTTTAATTGGAGTCAAACCATTAATTAATATTGGACAACAACAGCAAGTTAATTATTATTCTTCATCACTGAACAATAATGAATTTACCACAAATAATAACTTCAGTTGGCTATCACACAATGTATACACTGATCAGGTTGGTTTATTTGAGCCATTATGAATAAAAGTTTTGTTCTTTTCACAGTTTGAAATCATGAGTCAGTTGAAGCTAGACCACCATTGAAAACCTGGAAGCACTGGACGGCCGTTTCGTCCTGGTATGGGACTGTTCAGAAGTGTGCATCCACGATCTTTCAGCCGGGACGTTTTGGCCTCGAGAACTGTTGAGGAGTCCCATACTGTTATGAGAAGGCCATCCAGCGCTTCCAGGTTTTCAATGGTGGTCTTACATCGATCCATTCATGATATCAACCTAAACTCAGCTATCTCCACAACCATATACTGATAATATTTTTTTGTTTTAATTTTTGATTAAATCAGTTTGAATTTGAAAACAGTGTATTCGTTATAAACTGATATATCACTTCAGAGAACTATTAGAAAATCACTTGTTACTAAACAACAGTTAGTCGGTCATAACTAGTGTATTTGAGTTATTGCGTTCGATTTTGAAGAGTTTTATCCGATTTCTTCGATTATTGGTCACGATAATCGTGTAAACCTTCCAGACCGATTCAAACTAGGAAAACGTGGTCGTTGTAAATGGCGTCCTAGTATCCCATGGTTCATTTGGTAATATATGTCCTTGATGAAAACTATCTTCCAACTAAAACTATACTAATACTATACAATCAGTCCCTTTTATGAATTCCGATAGAACAATTAGAAGGCGGAGTTTATCTGAAACTGCATTATTTATTTTCATTCTTGTTAAATAAAGCTAAAACGAATAGCACCAGTGAAAACGTAGATAAGTAAATGCTGTTATATTATTTTGACTTGTAAATTTAATAGTATTCGCCGTTGCTAATTTTAATCAACAACGGAAAACGTAGACATTACATTATACATCTTTGGGAGCTCTTGGTCCCTGATCGAGAACAGTTCTTGATTGAAAGTATTCTCACAATTTTGTTAACGAGAATATATAGGCTCTGTTTATATAATTCTAAACATAATTATTGGCACCGCTCTGAAAAGCACGACGAAGCCTTCAGAGACTCTAAAGGAGCCGAAGAGATTCCGTTCAATCAGAACCTGGTAAAACCTTCTAGAATATCAACGTGGCAAGCTATTTTGGATAATTATATAAACCTATTGTGGATTGGCTAGATTAAAACGATGTTCTAACCAATACTAAAAACTATAAATACCGATATTTTTCTGCACATTTTTTACTCTTACTCAATAATCGTTTCCCCTGCTTCTTCCTTTGGTTTGCAACTGTGTTGTCCTACACGTCCGAGTATTGATAGGGGTATACCACATTCTGCCCTAATCAAGTACAGGACGTAACCATAATAATAATATAACAATTATTATTATCATTATTACCATTATTTTTGTTCATATCTTTTTACATATCAGCTGTCATTTATGATCCAGTAGTCTTCATGGTTGACTATCTGGAATTTGAAGAATCAATTATTGGTTACAGGTTAAGTCTAACTGAAAGGCATCAATCTATTGAAGTATAATTATATTATTCAACTGGAGATTTATAGATAGGATGAACTCCTTCTTAGGAACTAACTACTGGCTAGAATCACTCTAGAACTTATTACTTCTTCCTATAGACATAAATACTTTTGAACTAGTTATTCGCAAAATGGATAATTTAATGACAATCGACCGATTTTCTTTCTATTCATTTCTTTTGGCCCAGATTAAACCGTTTGGAAATTATTCCATTTTTGAACAAGATTTAAATTCGACATTATTAAACTGTGATTTGGCGAAATCAACGCACTCATTAATTGATTGTAATACAGGCAAAATATCTGATGATATACTTGTGAATAAAGAGGAATCTAATCATTCTGAATTAAATCGTTCTGTGTTATTCGAGAATTTAAGGTACTTTATATACATATATCCTTTTTGTTGAGTGTATTTCTTGATTTTTCATTAATATATGTTCACTTTCCAAACCGATAACATTTAGCCAAATCTCTAACAGCCAAGTGTATAGAACTCAGTTTTCTCGCCTTTACTCGAGACGAATTCATCAGCGATGCTTATATCTGTAAACTCAAATTAGATTGGATCCAGGATTATCAGTTCTTGTGGTTAAGACAATATTACAGAGGTAATAAGTTGAGATAACATTCACGCCACAGAACTTGGATTTAATAGGTTCAGTTATGTTTGAGGGTGTGATTGCAGACTTATCACGGGGCTCAGATTAGGATAAAACAACTATTCAGGACTTCCTGAAGACTATCGGTTTTCCATTTGATATCAGTTCGGGATGAAACATTTCCTTTAATTGAACTAATCGTCTCGTTAGCAGAATAGTATTCTGACTGTTTCGCACAATAGTAAGACTCACATTAGGATACTATGAGTGGTTTATTTGCAACCAATCAGAGTTATTGCACTAAACATGAAGTTGCCAGAAGATTTTTATGTAAATTCTGTGTAAACTCTAACACTTTTACTGCTGTATCTTTGTTGTTCAGGCCATTTGAATATACTTTTGTTTGCTCTCAATTCTTATTGTGATTTGGAAGGAGTTGATCGAATTGTTGTAGCTAAAGAATTTTGAACAGCAGTAGAATCCAACATTCCGTAAACCACCTACCTAAATTTTTAACTTAACAGATTCCATTAACCATTTTTTACCTAAATCTACATTTTATTTTCTCTCAAGTACTTTTTCTATTCCATTACTATGTTATTTCACGTTTCATTAATTTACTGAATTCTCGCTTTTCTTGAATCTTCAATCAAAACAAAAGATAACACAAATGTTCACAAGTTTTTTCGACCGTTTTATCTGAAAACATTATCTTTGTTTATACTACAAAAAAGATATTCACAACCATCACGTATCATGATTCATATAAATCTCTATAGGTAGTACGAAATTTAAACACTCCAAAAAACCTATTAACTGACTTCATGATCAACATCTGGTTCTTTTTAATCTTTAAAAAGCCTAATAATACATAGTGACAGCTCTGAATCAAGAATCTATTGTTAAAAATTCATGGAACTTAAGCTTACTGGGCTTATTCATTTTTCAGCCATGATTTTTTTGAATTCGAATCCATTACCCAAACTTTAGCTTAGGCACCTAAGTTGTATCACTCACCAGCCGTCATTTGTAGAATGTGCAGACTAAAAGATCGATACATTGATCAGAAACATAAAAATCAAGATATTTCTAGCGACATTTTGTATAACGCTGTAGTTTAGTGGAATTGGATCACTGAGCTTTTACTCATTATTGGGTTTGTGATATGTCTTGTTGCTTGAATGCTAGATTCGGCTCCTAAGCTCTGCTAGTAACCCCGAAACACGACGACGACGACCCTAGTCGAAAACACACTCATTTATATATTGGTTGTACACACACTTTGATAATTAATTAGGAAGAAATCACATATAAAGAAAATACTGACAGCGATAACAAATCATATGCTGAGCATTTAATTACTTACTCCTGCCAATGGAGCATAGGCCGCCGACCAGCATTCTCCAACCCACTCTGTTCTGAGCCTTCCTTTCTAGTTCTATTCAATTGTTGTTCATTCTTCTCATGTCTGTCTCCATTTATCGGGGTAATGTGTTCTTTGGTCTTCCTCTTTTCCTTTGGCTTTGAGGATTCCAAGTGGGGGCTTGCATTGTGACGCAGTTGTGTGCTTTCCTCAATGTATGGATAGGACACACATTGAGGAAAGCGTAGTTTATGTCTATTTTTAATACAACAATATCGTATGTTATACAAAATAAAATATCATACGGGAAAAGAAAATAAATACTACACTAAGTAAATATCACATTGAACTAGAAAACAGAAGTAATGTTGAACAAAACTCAGAATGAGTAAATCAATCGAACTTTGACTTTTCTTCCCATCATATCAGTTTGAAAGTTCTATATAATCCCATCTGACCTAGTAAAATCAAATCCTACCTAAATACTATCACTAACTATTATACATTCAAACACATAAAACTGTTGTGTCACTTGTTAATTGGTCAGAGATAGTTGATATGAAACCCTACATCTAGGTTACGTACTAACTGGTACTAATCAAGAAGTTGTGTCTGTAATTTAAAGGGAACTGATGCTACCTTTGAGATTCAAAACCGGATCACTAAACTTAAAAGTGTAGTATAAAATTGATTAATTAATTATATCTTCATTTCTTTTGATGATTGTTTTGATCATTCACAAATCCTTCTTATTTCACTCTCCCTTATTTTTTATTTATTTCATTCTCTATGGTTTATGTTTGAATTTAGAACACGTTTAAACGAACTAGATGAAATAAATACTAAATTGAAGAATCGTTTAAATTTATCAACATTCAATGAAAAATTTTTTAGTCATGCTGATAATAACACTAATGATAATAATAATAATAATAATAATTGTAATGATGATAAAAATGTGAAAAATAATTCATTTTTTAATCAATCATCTGAAAATAAATTACAATTCTTAAATGAAGAAAAAGATTATTCGAACTTGATGATGAATGGTCTATCACATTCTCAGCATCAACGACATCATAGTCAGCATTCGGCAGATTTACATGTTAATGATGGAAATACGTTGTATGTAAATAGTCAATTTCAATGTACAGGTAGGTACTTGTCATGAGACTTTATAGTTTATATGTTAGTCTGTCTATTGTATATATATATATATATATATATATATATATATATATGATTTTACTCGATCATTGGTTACTTTATAACCTTCAATCTCTTTTTTGATTGTTTATTTGCTAATTAACAAGAATAAATCATGATTACAGTTTTAACCTCTAGACCATTGAGCCGGCATTCAACGGTGTTAGTCTCTAACTTAAACCGATCCGCGATACTGCGCGATTATCTCCCTTTGTTTTTGGTGGGTAACTCACATCCGACACGAATTAGCTCCACGGGTCACAGTTTCTCACTAGAACTCCTATAATTACCTCTCCAAGCTAGTCACTAGTTAGCACATGGTCGTGCAATATCATGGATTGGTTGAAGTTAAACATTAACACCGTTGAATGCCGGCTCAGTGGTCTAGAGGTTAAGTGTTTACTCGAGAGACCGAAGATTACAGTTTTATTTGACTGTTTTGTAAATTAATAACAGAATTCATTTCCTTATGCACTGTTATTCGTGTATTCTGTCAATTAACTATTAATTCAATATTTTCAGATCTGATTGGTTGAGTTTTAGGGTTTGTACCTCAAATACTTAAACTACAACCACTTTGTTTTAGGCTTTAAACTTTCTTTTTCTATGGCAACTCTGAGTTATCTGTCATATTTGATGTGTTTTTTTTTAATAAAAATCACATTATTAGATAAGTTTAATTCATAATTACCATAATTGTATTTATTTATCGAAACAACTGATGAATAATATTAAAATATAGTTGTAGGATTTAATTTGTCCTACAGATATTCTACTAGAACCATAAACACCATACTAGCAACCCCAGAGTCTACATGAACGTTGTAGTCAGAACAAGGACAACTTGACTTTAAATTTTATCTGGTTATAAACATAAAAATAACAATTTGATAAGTACAATAATTAAAGGAATTATAGTCATTAAGTGGAACGCAAAAACATACCGACCAGCATTGCATATCTTATCTAAATGAATAAAATTTATGATAATATAATAAGGTAATAATATCCTTCAGTTGGTAAATCACATGTAACAGGGATAGTCTACAGACACATCAGACCAGATTAACGTGGTGAGCGCTCAAGCAACGACTTAATTTGTTAGTTATGGACATAGCTAACAATTTTAACACAACTATAATCTCCTTTTAGTATAAAAAAAAGTTGTGGGGATTTTTGAATTTTTTGTTTGACATCATGAAATGACCATAGTTAAACAACCACTGGAAACTGAGAAGTTCTAGGCAGCGAGGGAATTACCCATCAGCAGTATCGCAAGATGGTTCAAAATCGCGAATTAATTGAAACAAGACAAGTAAACTAATGGGAACCAACTCCATAACCTAAGCATTAAGCGCTCGCCACCAAAACCTGAAATCCGTTTCTTAGATTTCCTAGAGGGGTTGTGAGTTCACATTGCTGGATGGTCGTATATGAGAACTTAACAATTGTCCCCCTGTTCTCTGTTTTCAATAGTTTTCTAATTAAGTCAGTTCGCTTTGTAAACGATTTAGTTTCCTTATCGGCATACTCGTTGTTTTATCCGCTTTTTTATGTTAGTTCTACAGTCTCAATTAAACCAGGATAGTGATGATTATACATATTCCACACATAAAATAAATGATGATTACACAATAAATAAGTTTAAAAATCACTGGAATCATAATTTTACCATCGATAATTCTTCATTAAAAAATTCTACCAACGAAATTATTGAATGTTTAATTTCAAACTCATTAAAACATTCTACTGAAAATAGAAGACTGAACACTGTGGAAAAAGACAATGACAGCAATAATATTGACGTTGAAAGTGCATTGACAAATGATGGTGATAATGATGATGATACTAACACAGGTAAGGATGATGAACAGTCAGAGATTTCTGTGGTTTCACCTTTGCTGCATGATCAATCTTCAAATATTTCTGATGCTCATGATTATAATGACGATGACGACATCATCAGTATAGGAACAGACATTCAACATGTCACAAGTTGTAATGAAATTTCTCAAGAAGGTGGTGGTAGTTATGATACTGATTATAATAAAGATGAAAAGAAACTTGAAGAAGATAATATCAAGCAACCCCATGATAATAACAACAATGATAGTAGAAGCAGTGATAAAATAGTGCACAATGAAAGCGGAAAATATTCACCAATGAATAACAAACTATCACATAAAGAAATTCATCATGTATTAAATGAAATACTGGATAAAGAAAGTTTATCTGAAACTTCAGCTTCCTCTGTATGGTTACCAGATGACGATGACAATGTTGATAATAATAGTAATAATAGTGTTTTACATGAAAATGATCCAAATTCATTATATACACAATCAACTATTACACAATCACCTCCATCAATCGATAATCAGTCAATTAGAGAAGTTGAAGTTTCATTGACAAATAGTCATATTTTTCAGAATATGCAATTAGATAAACCAATCATATCGCATGAAAATGAATTAACTCAGAACAGACGTATTCAAAATGAAGTGTATGGGTAAGATATTTTTCATTATATAGATAGATACACATATATAATGAGGGTTACTTTTGGGGGATGGTTTGTTCCCCTATAAAAACTATTTCCAATTTTAGTATTCAGAGTTTTTAATCTTGAATTGGTGATATCTTGTCTGGCCGAAATTCCGTCACAATTTATGCGTATATAGCCTCTGCCAGGGAAGTCCTACTCACTGCCTTCTCGTGGCACTACTGTTTTTTACGAAATTGAGAGGACGAAATGCGAATGTCCGGCTCATTAACCGGGTTGATGGACATAGAGAGTTCACCTAGGGGAGTTGGAAAACCCTGATTCCAAATCAATGGTGCACATGAGCTCCATGATCCTGAGGGGACAAATGGCGCATGAACCAATCGTTGGTCACCGGCTACCATGAGACTGCATCTCCTTACGATGCTCCACTGCCTTGTTGATCAGACCTCAGTGTTAAAGGCTCCGGGGGCCCCCTAAGAAAACCACCTGCTTTGGTCTGGGCACCCGAGCAGTATCACAGCCCTCACACAAATCAAATGAGATTTGTGTGGCACATATGTATTTGGTGCCTCCTTGTATGTTAAAATAAATAAAAAATCTCATCTTCACCATGGTCAAAGAAACTTTCCATATTTGATTTGTTGGTATTTTAACTGAGTATCAATTTTGTTATTCTACTTTTCCAAGTCATTCGTTCAGACTTGATAGTTATCTTTTCAAGCCAAAATTCTTTGATAAATCTACGAAAAAGTTTGATTTTTGTTTAGCTGAAATTGTGAAATCTAATAGAAAATTGTGAAAAATCTATCAGTGCTAGAAGTGATTTGCCCAACTTCCAAAACGTATTAGGTTTGTGTTATAGTATTTAGTCTCGTTCATCTGTAGTACATGCTCCTAACTAAACAGGAAAACATTGCAAAATTCAATATGGATTTTTATCATTAGGAGGTACCAAGCGAATATATTTGTGTTTACTGGTTAATAGAATTAAATTAGCTTGTGATCAGTAATCTTAACCAGAGACGTGATTCAGTTACTTATGGTAACTTGTCTACACTTGTATCAAATTTCCTAATACAATAATTGGCTTGGTACATTAATAATAATAATAAGTAAATAATAATTAATAAATAATTCAATATAATATGATTATATTTTACTCGTTATTATATTACGAACGAGTGAACTGTTTTATACTTTACCATGACAATACTCACAGTTACCCGTTTGTTACTTTCCTAATAACTCTATTATATATAAATAATACTGTGAATAAAGTATTGTTAGTTGTTTATCAGTGTTTCCTTTCAATAGTATTATAATTTTAACATCATATAGTCTTCATTCAACTATTAAGGAGAGTGTGAGTGTTAATAGTAATGTCACAAATATATTGATTTGATGAACCTCATGGAATTCTAGATTTCAACTCAACTGTCTTGAAACCGCTGGTCAGTATCATATGACGAGTGATCAACCAGAATCCTGATTCTATGATGATCTATTTCGTATATACTATTTCCTTGAAAACCTGTTGTCCCCAAATTGATCAATTGCACGCCCAACCAGTACTGATTGACCCTGAACTAACATCAACAAGCTGAGAATGGCCGTGAATAGACGGACTGTAAGTTATCAGCTGGCAACAAATTAGGTATAAAGTGTTGTGCAAGATCATAGGTTGATTGAAGTTAGACATGAACAGCGTTGGATGTCGGTTCAGTGGTCTAGATATTAAGCGTTCGCGCGCGAGTGATGCCGTGGATGCACATTAACCAGGTATCTTACAGTGAGACGGAACGGCCGTCTACTCCTTTCAAGCTTTTAGTGGTGGTCTAACTAAGGTCATTTCGTGGTTTCAAAGAGATTAGAGACAGCTAATCGTACAACCACAGTTGATGGGTTAACCGAAAGCTTACGATAAACAGAACATATATACATAGTAGCCTAGCAACTCAGTAATTATGATCTGTAATAATTCGTAAAACCAGTCATAACTTCTACAATGTTTGTTTTGTTATAACAGAGTGCGATAACGTTTTTCTATCTCTTCATGTTGGTATAGTACCACTGTTCAAAATCTCATTTGCTTTATTTTAGATATAAAACGAACAGACTGATTTCATCAAGATAAATTCTTATCACCTTTTTCATGGGTTTAACTTTGTTAGAAAGTTATAAAGGTATTTGATGAATGTAACCTGGTTGACACTGTTGCATAGTTTATCCATGTTCTTCAAGTATATGACATCATAGTTTGTTCTCTAACCGATCATATTTCATCATGTTTTTGTCATCTTAATCTATTTTGATGTATCCGGTGTAAATGAGTCATGATAGAAATATTCATGTGTATTGTAAACTATATTTCTGTAACCCTGTGTACTTGTCATAAAATACTTTAAAATACTACTGCCTTAATTTTGAAATCATTGCTGACAACAGATCTATGAAATGTTACTGTCCAATGATCCACGCTGTATTACTTTACAATTGCGAAAAATATCTAACATATAGGTCGTACAAGTATTTTATGATAAAGAATTGTAAACAGATTCATCCCTTATGATATTACCATTAAACAGTGTTAAGTCAATGAATGGGATTTTAATGTTTCTCATTCATTGAAGTGTTATGAACGCTATGCATCTCCATCCATTCAACAAACTATAGTTCGTTGGTTGCTGAAGGAGTATACATTAGAATAAAGCCGAAATTAATCATGGTACATAATCATTACGATGTTGAATAATTAAATGTATAATTATATGCTAACTGACTACACTAAAATTATTACTATTAAGTTTTTGATTGAGATCATGAATCAATTGATGTTAGACCACCGTTGGAAACCTGGAAGCACTGGACGGCCGTTTCGTCCTAGTATGGGACTCCTCAGCAGTGTGCATCCACGATCCCGCGCACTGCTGAGGAGTCCCATACTAGGACGAAACGGCCGTCCAGTGCTTCCAGGTTTCCAACGGTGGTCTAACATCAATTGATTCATGATATCAACCAAAAACTTAACAATCTCCACAACCCCCATACTGATATTACTATTAAGTTTATTTACTCATATTTAGTGAATATGGGCTAATCCGTTGTGATGTTCATTGCATTTACAATGATATATATATGTACTTTATGCCTTGTCAGATCGAATGAAGAGAAAACGGATAAAAACAGAGATAATGAAGAACAAAGAGAAAAAGGAAAATTACTCCCATTAAACAATGATGATGATAATAGTGCTGGACTTTCTGACAACTCAAAGCTACTAGACAAAGATGATGATTTAGCTGAAACTAGTCGGTGGGATACAGAACAACCATTATCAATCAATTCAAAATTAACACCAATGTTCATTCCTAATTTCTTTCCTTCTACAACTCGTATAGAAGAATTATTTACCAGCAGAACAAATGATTGTCAAGAGGACAATAAATCAATGGATTCTAATACAAATTTAAGTATGAATAATAAAGTATGTTAAACTTATGATACAATAAAATTGTAATTGTTGATAATATTGATGTTTAGTTGTTGGACGTTTTTTATTGTTGTTATGGATAACATCATCAGTTTCATACTTTTGGTAGACTTTTACAACAATGAAAATTTAGAAATTAAATCATCTAGTTTATGAAACCCATTGACATCAAAACTAATGCAACACATTCGATATTAAGTGTATTGTATCAAGCACTGCGTTATTAGTATGATCTTTATTACAAGCAGTTATAAATAATAACAGATGCTTCAAATGAGATTTTCGGTAAAATTTACACTCATATATTTAGCACTCACCTACTAAATAAAGAGGAACATGATTAAAATCTGTTGAACCCAACACATTTATTGAATATTGAAGTCGTTCCAGCTAACCTCAATCTAAGTGCCTCGTACATGTATTTACACTATACTCCTTTACGCTCAGTGATAAAGATCAGTAAACGAGCAACGGTATTGATTATCGTGCATAATAATAGTTCGTTCAAAACCTTACATCTCACTTGACAGATAATAAGAAAATCCATAACAGATTGAGCATATTCAAATGTTAACTGGACGAACTATAAATAAGCATACGACAAATAGACAATTTAACAAAGAAACTTTTTCAACGAAATCATTTACCTTAAGTTGTGTATTCGCATTTAGAAAAGTTTGATAAATAAATAGGTTAATAAAAAGATAGAAGAGATTTCATCACCAAGTAACCCGAGATTTCAAATATCAAGAAGAATTGGGTAACAATCAGATGGTTAGAAAAGAATGGAGAGATGAACACAATATACAGGTCAGAATTATGAGAGATAATTGATAAACAATTATAAATATGAATAAGCAGAGATTAATGTTGGCTGGCAGTGAAATCCAGAACGCGCGTTTCGTCCTTTTTGAAACTCTTTAGCTGGATGTACCTACATGCCATAGTTGGTTCACTCTGGGATTCGAACCCAGTGCTTGTGATCTAAGGCAATATCGAAGCAATCCACACAGGATGCACATACGCCAATAAGAGACTGATCAATTACAATCCTGAACATCATTGGGAAGATTCAAACAACCAATGCAAAAATGAATTATAAATATGACTGAATATATATCTTAAGTAAATGATTTCATCGAATAGAAAATTCCCTTTATTATTTTTACTCAATGATACAATGGGTTACTTTAATTAATTGATATACGACATTCCGATTTATAATAATTATTCAATATTTTATAAATTTTGATCACATTTGTCAGTGAAAATCTGTAGTGTGTAATTTTCATTACTGTGACAAAACTTTACTTAATGATTTATAGATACTTTTTGTTTTAAAGCCAGTTTCCATTACGAACTGACATTGGTGGTAAACCAAAGATAATACTACACAACCATATGGATCCTACATTTAAAACAACTTGGCAGTGTGTATCCATAAATTTTCAATACATAAAGGTTTCATATGTAATGCTGGTTTATATTTTTATCTTCAGACGATTTGTGAAACTATACGATTTTAGTTTCAAGATAGAATTCTTGATATTGTCTAGTGGAAAAAGACAATCTGTGGAGTGTAAATCAGTATACACAATTCGAGATAATCCATGATTTTAAAAACATTACCTGGTGTACCCATGGTTACTTTTCTAATATGATTTTTTTTCTAACTTTTTCTCCTTATAGAATATAGATTCTTTGAGGAGTCGCTTGAATAATCGTTTATCAGAAGCTGTTCGTCACACAATAAATACATCAATGACAGATAACAACTCTCAAACAAACAATAGTACAAATTTTATCATAAATGATACATTATCCGCTTTAATTACAAATGGTTATAAGACAAGAAGTTTAAAGAAAGCAGAACGTGTTCTTAACATGACATTGAAATGAAATTACTTTCATTAAATTTTTATTACAACATTATCTATTTAACTGGTGAAAACAAGTTTTTATTACCATTCCAAATATTTCACCTAACAACTATTTTGTGACGTCTTTTTTTTCCTTGTACATAAAAAAAAACATACATTACAACCCAGTGAATTTATGTTAAAATTATTCTTATCATTTTATTAATTTTCACCTAAGTAAGAGAGAACGATGTGAAGCTAAATAATGCACTTTAGTTGCTCAGTTTTCTACATATATTTTCTTCTAAAATGATATCATCCACGCTTAACCCCTTGGACTAACAGTGATCTAACTATTATTTAACGTACCATGGCATCTCGCTATACTGATGTGGTATGATGAATTGAAACGTTGCACATGTGTGCCAAGTTATATTCCGATTGATTGAAAAATAATAGAAAGTAAACATTGTTGAAAGGAACCATAGAAAACCAGAAAAGTGATGAATAAATAGATGTAGAATATTATCCGAAAGGGGGTTTTGTGGAGATCGTAGTAATTTAATAGTTGGATTCCTGAGTCGATTAAAGAAACGGCCGTCCAATGTTTCCAGGTTTTCCATGGTGATCTAGCTTAAATCGACTCATGAATCCAACTACTAAGATCTAGAATACATTATATTTGTACCACTGACTTATTGAAGCTACTTTCTACAGACTGTTTATTCAATTCCTACTAATTTTCTTCATTTTATTCGGAAAGTGAATTGAAAAGCCTAAATATGCAAAATATAATTAAAATTTGGATTTTCGTATAAATTTTACGGTGTACTACGCCACATACTTATGCGAATAACAAACGCGTCTTCTATAATTGTGCTGTATATATATATATATCACAACTTCCTAGAAGTTAAAGTAATTTACACAGTCACTACACTCAATATTTTCACAGTACGTATTGGCGAACACTAGTCTGACAAGATAATCTTACATTTCGGAAGGGCGGAATTCACACAACGCATTCTTAAATTTCCAATTGCTTCGGGATATATTGGATGTAGTCAGTGTCTTCACCTGGTATGGTTGTCCCATAAGTCAGTTGCGGGACTTCAGGCATAGTATCAGTACAGTAGCTAACCGACTAGTCCCCGAACGAGAATGGTGAGGATAGATATCTTTCGCGTGCATCACTATATATGGGTACAGAAATTGAGCGTGCTTTATAAGAATGTATGAAAGACTTAGGTTAAGGCATAGTTAACGTTATATCTGAATAGATGTGAAACTGCATTGTAGCTATGAACAAGTAGACTGTCTCGAATAATTTTCACTAACCTCTCTTTTTCAGTGAATAAGCACCGAACCATTGTATTTTAGAAGCCAGCCTCCTTACATAAACACATACAATAACCTGTTATTATGTTTTTTCTATTCACAACTGCTCACAGTTGTTGTATAGACTCTTCGTCAATTCATATTTCGATGTCTTCGATTTTCATACTGGGTGGACTTGAATATATGTTACTATATATGCTAATAATAATTTATACCGGAAACAAGCTACCCTTTCCGGTCGATAAGCAAAACTACAGACCAAACAGTAAAGTGCTTGTATTTTCTTTAATTAGCATCACACTTTGACCTATAACATAAGAATATGGGTAACAAGTATTACTTTCACGATTTATAATACCCTAGCCTAAAAACTAGACCGACTTTCTTGAATGTTAAAGAATGGATAAATAAGAAAGTATTGAGATCCAACCGATTTTATTTGTTAAAATGAAAACAGAACATTATTATTTTTCATTTTAACAAAAAGGGATTTTTTACATATACACGTGTGCAAACAAATTAGTTCTTAGTAACTTCTACCGAACAATGTATAAGAAACTGCTTTACGAGAACAATGTTGGCGATTGAAACATGGTGTATCAGGAATGGGACTACCACAAACCAATGTTGGATTGAAATCACAAGCGAATGGGATGCATAAACTTTTTGCGCCCATAGCTGGTGCACCAGGTTCAACAATGACATTTCTATTAGGAAAATCAGAATAAAATATACTTTAGACATTTAATAAGTAGTTTTCTATAAAATGAAAATATGCATTATAAAGAACAGTTATTTGATTGAGGAAACGTAATGAGACAAAAATATACTGCTTTTCAACAAGTTATACATAGAATTCCAATTCATCGTCTCCACTTTCCAGTAATGATGGTAAAAGTTTGACAAAGAAGTGTGTGAACAATTTGAAAAGCATATAAACATCCCTAAAAAATGTGTAATTTTCCAATAAAAAATTTAACTCAGCTAGTCGATAGAGGAAGTTAAATGAACTGACAAATTCTTACATTTCATTTAGTGAAGTTTGAAAAACTTTAGACTGACCTAGAATATATGATGAAGTTAATTCACTAATTAGACATAAGTAACATTTGGAGAAAATCGGAAGAATTGAACAAATGACTAATTTTGAAAAGTGAACTATTCAATGACGACTAAATGATATCATGATTAAGCGTCAACCATGATATCTGAAGGTCATGTCCTGGGGTTTGATCCCTGATAGAGTCGTGGGTATATTACTACTAGTGAGGAGTCTAGTTCTCGAACGAAACAGCAGTCTAGCGTTTCCTGGTTTTTATGGTTGTCTAATTACAGTCAATCCATAATGTAAACTATAAATAACAATTATATTCTTTGATCAAAAACATACATTCACTTGCCAATTAATGAAAATCATAATGATCGATCAGACTGATTCACATAGGACTAATAGATTATCGGAAAAGTATGTAACATGAAAAAGTGATATGTATCCCTGAAAAGTCAATCAACTATGTTCGTGTATAACACACAGCACATGTAGTTACCATCTGACACAAAAGTGCAGTAAGAAATTTATTATATACGTCGTAGAAAAAATTGAGGGTATTAGATTATTTAATGTATAATGAAAACGTATATACACGCTTTGCAAATAAAAACATCACAACCATTTATTTGGCTACAAAACTTTTAAAACATTACACAATTAAGTTAAAGTAGAAACTAATATACCTGGCTGATTCATGTTTAATCACCTCTTCACAATCTCTATCACAACAAAATGGAGCTAAAGCAAGCGACTTTTGATCCAAAGCTGTACATAATTCATTCATGTTATTCACAGGCATAACATGACTAGCTAATGATTTTGTCGCTTTGTTAAACATTGCACTATGAATATCATCAAGAATATGAGGAAGTTCATTAATAAGGGAACCTATTGGTACATTTACCTATCATATACAAAACCGGTATAGAAAATACAAAAAGAAAAGTGTATTCAATTAATGGAAGTGTAAAATCGATATCTTTGACAGTAATTATAACTTGTGCCTTTTTGCACAATCAACTTCAAACAAAACATTTTTTAGAGTAAGGGAACAGTGATATCATGTAGACGCTCAAATCAAAGTAAAATTAAATTTAAACATGCAGATAACTGGTGAACAGTTAAATTACTAAGCTACTATTTTATTTACTCGTGTCGATGGTAGATCTCCTATGAGCTAAGGTGAATTCACCTACTTCTTCATAGAAGAGATTAATAAGTGTGTTAAGAATTTTGAGTGAAGTATCCAATGAACAAGATATGACTTATGAAGCTTTAACCGTTTACTTGACCGACGTGGAAAGACTATTTAATGACAAGCTTTAAGTGCCAATTCACGACGACCAAAAGCAACTCGGAAAGTTAATGCCCAATAATTTACTATTGTTGAGGAAACCTAATAAATTTACGCGAAAGTTATTCTCATCAATGGCGACAAGCGCAGTTGTTACTGACTACATTTTGGCGTTAGTGGATCAGAGTATTTGTTACTCTTATAAACACGAACAGAGTGGACACAAAAAGTACGAGATTTACAAACGGGCAATTCAGTTTTGGTTATAGTAGATACTCGCCCACGTAATAACTGGCTTAAAGAAGTTGTAGTAAGTGTTGGACAGAGAGAGATAGCCTTGATAGGCAAGTAGACATTAGAACATTGGGAGGGTTAATCACTAGAGACATACGTAACATCTATTTATTAGAAGGGGTAGACAAATGAGCAGCAGAGCGTAGGAAGACTTCCAGAGTGATTGTGGTAAAAGTTGTAACATAGTCGGCTTTGCATATCGTTACGCTGAATACTTAATTAGTGAGAGCAAGAAGAGAAGAAATGTGGCGTCGTTTGTGGGGGGGTAAGTATTGTTCAGTTAATAGTAGAATCGTTCCTGAGATAAATTGTTATTTCTGAGCCTCAGTTTTACGCGCGTCCCAATCACGTAATAAGACGCTTTGACAGAATCAGTGGTACCACAGTTCTGAAAAAAATCGGTGGGATTTTATTGACTTTACCAACCGATAGAAGAGCAAAGCAACTCAAAATACTTATGCAGAGCTAACAAACGACAATTTCTCATAATACTATTGGCACTCAGTTATTTCTAACCATAGATACCTTCAAATCCTCTGTTACGACCGACGGTGGGCAGAGTCCGCTCTCCCGCTAGAAATGCTCTAATATGGACACCTGCTTATAGACACTGCCAGAGAAATCCCAATGACTCTTCTCGGAGAAGTGTTGGCTATGAAAGTGGGAGAAGGAAAATAGAACGTTCGGAACTTAAACCTAGTTGGTTGATACGTATGCTCCATTTGGATGAAAACCTTGATTTTAAATAAATAATGCGCATAGTCTACAGGATCCTGATGGAACGAGTGGAGTATGAACTTATTTAGATTACAGACTACATGGGACTAAACCTCCTGACGTTACTCCACTGTCTTGTGCGTTAGACTTTTAGGTAAAAGGTCGGAGAAATAGCCTCCTAAGGAAAATACCTGTTTTAGTTGGGTGCCCATGCAGTATATCAGTCCACACAATTACAACACTTATTTCTGCAGTGTATATCAACTTTACAGCCCAGTTGTACAAGTACTTGTATTAAGTAAAATAAACTATTTCAGCTGTGCATAATTGAATATATAAACCATAAAAAACAAACCTGCAAAGAAACTTACTCTTTCACCATTATGACGAAGGACTAAACAAACTTTTTTATCAGTGACTTCTTGTGGACCAATTTCTAAGCGAATAGGAACTCCTTTTAATTCCCAATGATTAAATTTCCATCCAGGTGATACATTATCACGATCATCACAGTATACACGAAATTGTTTAAACTTATTTAGTAATTCGAGTACAGAATGAGCAGCGGACAAGAGAGTTTCTCTCTCTTGCACAGTTGTTTTTGCAGTAATGCCACAGGGAACAATAACAATCTATGACAATTTTTTTTAAAGAAACAGAATAATCTGTAAACATATGATAATTTATAAGCGTTAAGTCGTTTAGTTTTTTTATATTCTTAACCCAGTTTGGTAGCTAACAATGATATAAGCATAATAACCAATTAACAAGTGAACGACTATCTGAAATCAGTAGCTCAGTGTATAACGCAGTGGGGTTTGAAATGAAAGAGACTGAATTTGAGTCTTCGTCTGAATATCAGCAGTGGAAGGTATGCATAACTAGCAGATTAATTTTAAATATGACGAGAAGAATGTCCTGAATTTCACTGCTAGTTATAATCGATCCATTTTACAATTCGTAAACACTTAAAAAATCATAAAGTCGAAGTATAGGTTATTACGTCGTTTAGGAAAAACCTAGATTAATAAAGAAATTAATGTGCAAAACATCCACCAAATACTATACTGATCGAAATCTATAGTACTAAAATAATAAAATCTACTGAATGTCATATCCATTTGATTTATTGAGATTAAGAACAAAAATAAGTTGCACACGCAAGACAAGTGCCGGAGCGATTGTTTAGAAGCATAATAAACACTTGTGTTTACACATAAAAGTTACTTAATAAACCTCTGGCCCGTTCCAGAAAGGTTTACCAACGCTGAAGGAGTGGAAAGAAATCAATCATCATGTGTGGATCTAAGCCATTAAGAATCTATCCTCCTAACACAACCACCTAACGTGGATATACTTTCAAAACACATATGTACATAAATTTAAATTGCATCAACGATGATGTCTAATTGAAAACTAAGATGTTTTTCATATTACGCCATCAGTTTAAAGTACAATATGATTAAAACCAAATGGTTTGTTTAAACTATTTACTAAACAACTTGTTTGCACAAATATTAAAGGTGTTGTCCAAAAATAAGTCACGGATGAATATGTATACACTTTAATACAAAACTACTACATCAATATAACTTTTACACACAATCTTAATAAATTACCTGATATGGTGCGACCCTCGGTGGTAATACAAGACCTTTGTCATCACTGTGTACCATAATTAAAACACCTAGTGTACGAGTGGTAAGACCCCAAGAATTCTGATAGACGTAGGCAGGTTTACCAGTCACTGGATGATCGTATGTCACATCAAACATACGACTAAAGTTCTGACCTAAATGATGTGATGTCGCACCTTGAATTGCACGTCCATTTCCAGCAATATAAATTTCCACAGTTGTTGTATAGTCTGCACCGGCGAATTTTTCACGTTCAGTTTTACGCCCTATTAGATAAATAAATGTACAGAAAAACCAATAATCTGTGCAAAAACAAAAGAATTAAATATTTAAGCCTAATATGGCAAGTAGTATCAAAAATTTCATGATCCTTTAGAAGGACAGCCCCCAAATACTTTGGTATGGCTGAGGGTGGGGAGAGTCCGCTCTGCCTCTCGAAATACTCTCACATGGCCACGCGTTTACAACCACTGCTACGGAAGTCCTACTCAATACATTCTCGAGGCATCACTGTTGTTTACGAAATTGAGAGGACGAAAACAGAATGTTCAGTGCTTCAACCGAGCTGTTGGATATGGAGGATCCACCTAGGGGAGTTGGAAAACCCAACCAATGGTGCACATGGGCTCCATGATCCTGAAGGAACAAATGGTGTGTGAATCAGTTGTTGGTCACTGGTTACCATGGGACTGCATCTCCTGACGTTGCCCCACTGCTTTGTGGATCAGACCTCAGTGTTAAAGGTTCAGGGAGTGGCTCCCTAAGAAAACCACATTCTTCGGTTTGGGCGCCTGAGCATTATTCCAGCCTTCACATGAATCAAATGACTAAGTGTAGCGCATATATATTTGTTACCTTCTTGTACCAATGCTTATGTATTTAAATAACTAAAAGACAGGCTAATACAAATTCATCGAAAACAATATAACGCATAAGTTATATAACATGATCAGACAATTGCCAGACAACCTGTCAACTAACACTGAGATGAATACTAACGACAAAAATGCATGAAAAAAGAGATATTGACATGAAGTCTTCTACTATCTTCAGAAATATCTTTTCAAAAACTATCATAAATTAGAATGCATAAATGTATATCAAGTGAAATCAGATGCTGAAAAGGTAACTGTAATATACTATGAATTTGCATTATCGATGATGAAGTATTAAGACGGGAAGAAAAACTTAGTTGAAAGCTTTTAAAGTTTACGTTGCAAAAGAAGTAAACAACCAATATCTTTAAAGAATCTAAAAATATTTATCATTAAACACGGAATATCCTTAACAGGTAGATAAACAGATGGAACGTGAAACTTGGTGCAAAAAAGCTATTCTTCCAATTTGTCATATTACAAAGGGGTATATATTACAGTGCGGAAATCAACATAGAAAATATGAAAGTAATCGTGATAGTATTAAGCAAAGATAGAAACAATCGATACGAATGATAGAAGAGAGTCAATCGGGGTTAACAACAGATGAATATATACATAACAGGAAAGTTGGGAATAAATACATCAACAATATTTTTGTCAACTAGTTTCTGGCTGGTATTCTTGCTGCCTGACGAACAACAACCAAGATGCCTAGCTACATAAATCTCTCAGAACAGAGCAGTCAGTAACCAACTTATAGGATTAATGTCATGTAGTCAAAATTTAACATTTCCCTGTAGACGGAAGGCTGGGAATATTCAGTAAATTCACCAAGTTGTCATCCAATTATAATAAACCAACACAATATACTTACGAATCTTTTTACCGAAAAAGGATCATTACTATTATTGCTATTATTATTACCTTTGACCACAGGAACTGCAAGCAAATATTCGTAAACTTCGGCATATAGATCCAATATTACACGAACCTCTGCTTCTGCATCGGCTTTTTCTGCAAAAGCGGTATGTCCTTCTTGCCAAAGGAATTCACGTGTACTAAGTAAGATGGACATGAAAATTGTTGACGAATGAAAATTTGGAATAACAAAAATTACTCAGAATAATCATAAATATATGTTAGTGGAATAGTTTGTAGCGTTATTTTTAAGGAATAAGAACTAGCTACTGAACAAGTCTCTTTTTAAATTAGTACAAACACAACTTGCAACCTCATGGTTGGAAATTAAAGCCTTTAACCAGTGGTCTACTGCTCCACTTAAAATACTAAAACCAAGATTTGCCGGTGTTTCACAATGGTGATCCAAAGAGAACCACTGCTTATGGGTGTATTGGAATTAGTAATCAAAATAATGAAAATCTTTTGCTTTGAAAAACATAGTCTTACAGTTTCTAGAAAGGAGTGGTTGTGAATTTCAGTTTAAAACTTCGTTGATTATTAATCTGAGAGAACAATCACTATACACAAGCTCTGTTTGGAACACCAGCAGGATAAATATTGTGGTTGATGTAATACAGTGGTTTATGGTTTAAAACACTCAACTTTCAATTACTTGACTGTAGGATTGTACCCTGCTTCACTTACCTACTCCAATATAGACAGCCGATTGGTATGAATAACCCTCATGCAAAGACAAGGTAAGACTGGAAAACAATTACGCAAACGTCTATTTGGTTACTGAGTTACATCTAATTACGCTGTCCAATTTAAGCGACCGTCAGGCAAGTATAAGAATAATTACACCAATACGTATGGTTAATTTCCATTAATATACTACAGAGTTATCTACAAACATCCAATAATTCATGATGCTGCATAAATAGTAAAACGGTTAACAAATTTACCGTAGAAAAGGTTGTGGATGTTTAAATTCCCACCGGACAACATTACTCCACTGATTTATACGAAGTGGTAAATCTCGATGAGATTGGATCCATTTAGCAAATATTGGATACATAATTGTTTCACTGGTTGGTCGAATAGCGATTGGTTCTGTTAGATCTGTATCACCTGATTTTGTCACCCAAGCCACCTGTTTTTAAGAAGCAAACAAAATTAGTTTGTGAATGAAAAGCTCAAAACTATTGGGTTGCTCTTTTTAAAGCATACTACTGAATTAAAAATAGTTATGAGGTGTGATTAACATATCGAACAAAACAGCAAATATATTTATTCTGAATTAATTAAGTGTGATTCGAAGGTATGTTAATATAAACCCAAGCAAAATGTACGATGTAAGCCAAATAAGCAAGATTACTGTAATATAGTAACACATTCGCTAAGCTGCATACTGAATCGTTTTATGTCACAAAAAATTATCCTGATGATCGAACGAATCAAGTAATTCCCAAATATTGATTACATGTCTAAGTCAGCAGCTTTATAGAGTCAACACATTTGTAAAATTCGGAATTATGGTGTTAAAACCAATACATAATTTGCTAAACAACAAGGTTAAATTGCAAATTCATCCACAGAATTTGATCAGTACTAAATCACTATAAAAATCTCAATCCCATAGGAAGTCAGTCGTTACCCAAATAGCCCAACGGCAACGTTCGACTGTTTTTACTGGGTGATACAGGTTTAAATCTGACGGAAAGCATCAGTTCTCTCAAGATCATACATAATACTTCCTAACGAGTACTAACTAGAATGAAACCTAGCTCAGAAGGTTCCTTCTACAACCGTCACTTAATCTTAAGACTATAAGGTCAGACTGAAAGAAATAATTTGTACTCACTTCAGGCGCGAAATCAGTCACATGGTTCTTCTCACGTTCCAATGCTGATTTAGAGACAAACATTGGGAAATAAGCATTTTCTATACCCATCACTTTGAGTTTTTCGTCCATAAAACGTTGAATAGACTGCCACATATGATAAGCCCATGGACGGAGAATATAGCATCCACTGATATCATAATAGTCTAATAATTCGGATTTTATAATCAGTTCGGAGTACCAATCAGAGAAATCAGTTTCCTTTGATGCTTCGATAGCTAACCTATTTTAATAAATGAATTTGGAACTAACCTCCCTTACAGTGAAATACAAAAATCTATTGAAAGCATATAATTTGAAGAGGCAAAAAAATTACTGAATCAAATTTGTGTGACAATATCGCTTTATTAATTAGTAGGTTGAGACTTTGCAAAGAAGAACGACTTCGTCAATGTCAGTGAGTCACAAACAAGCAATAGATAAGTGAGGATGTAGTTGAATATGTGCAAAAAGATAGATGCTTCCCATTTGCCTACACATCATGGACGGGTATTTTCTTCTTGAACACCCAAGAACAACAACTGAATTTCTTTCGGTAATCCTGTTTGATATAAGAGCGTGATCGTAGAGCCCAATGGGCAACAGCTTAAGCCCTATCTCACACGACCAAAATGTAAGTTATTTACTTTGGTACTATGGCCGAAAACCAGTGGATCAATGGGGCCATGCAGTATTTCTAGGCTCTACCTTCACTAACATCTGCTTATGATAGGTTGGTAATTCTGGAGATACTGGTTAATTAGTCAAGGACACCTTATTGGGGTTACATTTCGATACAGTCAGCAGTAGAACGTCATTATCGGACTTTGAATTTGACCCCATCGTCTTGTCATATTTTATTTGACCTGTCTAAAATGGTAGAACCTCGATGATCGAATTCTCCAGACTAAATAACTCGAATGGGTTATCACGATTAGTACACCCGAACATTACAAGACAACAGCCATAGTTAGGCAGGCGAGTTATGCACATGTTGTTTAGGCTAATTACCGTAAAAAATGAGAAACCTTGAGTTTTAGATAACACCAGATTCCTAAATGATAATGTTCGATAATAAGACAACTATCCTTTAAAGTTAAATCGGTATTTCTTATTAATTAAAGCACTTTGTGTTGGCAACTCTTAAAATCAAGGTGAAAATAATATTCCTAAAGCTCCTTTACTGAGATGAGTAATATTACTCCATAATGTGGAACTACATACTAAATACTTCAACAACCCTACTTTGATTTTGTCTCATTTTTAATTCGTAGTTGTATTATATTTTCTCTTCTCTCATTAAGCAACATTTTATGTACTACATTTAAAACAATATCTCATTTTGGATGGTTTGTTTACTTTTGAAGTGTAGCGCCAAATTATCTTCGTTAGTCGCCGATATTATTGGTCAATATAACTGCGTGTTATTTTCTGGTTTACGGTTTACTGTTGTACCGTAATATTATCTTGATTCGGTGACAGTAACGATTATATTGTTAAATACAATCGAGGACTTAAATCAACTCATTTTTATTGAGTATTAAATACAACAGTATAAATACAATGCTGTACTAATCATTTGATGTCTAAATGAATGTTATGGGCTTCCAAAACCAGGATATTTAAGAACATATATGTTAATGGCATTGGGTGAAACACACGAATTTTGTTTACCAGGATGGATTTCCAAACCGCATTCCCCTTTTCTATGGGCTTGGACAATCGGGTAATAATAATACCACAATCTTCACATAAAACATGCAGTGAAAAACTGATTACATTAACTAATCAGTATGCGGGTTTTGAATATTGTTGATTATACAACAGCCGAAGCACTAAAGTTAGAAACAGAAGTAACGGCAAAGATGCTTCACGTCCAATTCAGGAAGGTTTAGGGGGATAAATACCTCATCAAGATGCCAAATAAAGATCTCAGCAAGTTTGAGAACTACATAGGCCTCATACTACTATCGGTACCAGAAGACGTTTTCAATAGTGTTGTTAAACCGAATGGAAGATTCGGTAGATGCCCAACTTCGAAACCAATAGGCTGGATTCCTTAAGGACCAGTCGTGCACAGGCCAAATCGGGACACTACGTATCATTGTTGAGCAATCAATTGAATGGAATTCGTCACTATACATCAACTTCATCGACCATTAGAAAGCAATTGACAGTGTGGATAGGAGAACATTATAGAAACTTCTTCGACACTATAGTGTACCTGAGAAGAACGTCAACATCATACGGAATTCGGACAACGGGCTACACTGAGAAGTCATGCATGGAGGACAGGTGACAGATGCATTCCAGGTAAAGACCGGTGTCAAACAAGGCTGCTTAATCTCTCCCTTTATCTTTCTTCTAGTGGTTGACTGGATTATGAAGACCTCCACATCTCAGAGGAGGCATGAAATCCAATGAACATTTTGGATGCAGCTGGATGATTTGGACTTCGCAATTATATCCCATAAAATGCAACAAATGCAGAACACAACCAATGTAGAAGCAACCTCTTAAGCAGTAGACCTCAACACTCACAAAGGGAGAAGAGAGATCCTAAAATAAAACAGACAGAGCACCAACCAAATCATACTTGATCGAAGAGCTCTGGAAGATGTGGGAAGCTTTAAGCACCTGAACAGCATACAACTGAAGAACATAGAAAACTCAAAACAACTACCAGCCAACATCAAAATCAGAATTATCAATAAGAACGTCAAGACAACTCTATTGTATTGAGTTAAAACTTAAGAACTAGTAAAACCCTCATCAAAAAGGTACAGGTATTTATAAACAGTTGTCTACGCAACATAATCCAGATCCATTGATCAGACATGATCAGCAACAACCTACTATGACGGAACAAATCAATTTCCAACTGAAGGGGAAATTAGGAGAAGACGCTGAGAGTGAACAGGACACACATAGTGGGAATTACAAAACTGCATCACAAACCAAGCTGTAACCTGGAATGCTGAAGGCAAAAGGAAAAGAGACAGACCAAAGAATACATTTCTCAGGGAATTCGAGTTAGACATAAAAGGATAAATAGCATTTGAGAACAACTGGAACGAAGAGCTTAGAACAGAGTTGGTTGGAGAATCCTAGTTGGTGGCCTATGATCCACGAGGGGAACAGGTATAAGTGAGCACGTAAGTAATGTTACAATCATCATTAGTAATAAGGCTTATTATATTGTTTAAATTTGATTAATTTAGTTTTAATTGCTAACAGGTTATCACAAAATTCAATGCTTATCAGTAATAATTACAAAAATAATAATTCCCTTCAGCGATATTACAATAAATCTGAAAAAAAAACTTACTTAGATTGTTTTTTAGTTCCAGACTTTTTCAATAATGGCTTTTCTTCTTTTTCATTTTTGACGACTACTTTTGAAGATGCTGGTATCGATTGTTCACACTTGATTGAATCAACGTGATTGGATCGTTCATAGATTAATTTATCACAAGTTTGTTTACTGATTGTCTCATGACTAATTACTGTCGTTCTTAGTTCATTTTCTGATGTTTTTTGTTGTTTAGCTTTTAATTTGCCCTCTTTCCTTGCTTCTTTCTTCTCTTCTTTTCGACGTTGTTGTTCAGCTGCTTTAGCTGCTTCTTCCGGTGTCAGATTTTCAATTTTAACAGTCTTCTAAAGAAAATAGTGATATTTAAAATAAATTGAAAAAAATGAAAAAAGAATGTATTGTTATGACTTATGGCTCTGTCTTATATCACGTGAAAAGACCATCAATTACAATATTGACTTCTATGACCTTGTCGTCGAGTTAATTAATGACACCTCAGCCAGCACTAGTAGCCCTGAGTCAACTTTAAGTTCTTATTGGTCCTCCATACAATAGCTTTTTGCCTTGTCCTCTTCGTTGAATCAAGAACAGAATAATCAACCTCCACTATATGAATATTACAATTCAAACATACTTAGCTTATATACAAGCAGACTAGACCGTATCACATCATCAAGTAAAAAATAACAATTATGCGTGACCAAGTCAAAAATGGCTATGAGTAAGAGAGACTGTAAATACGACATTAGGAATCAATTAAAAATAGTTAATCGTATAATAGTAGTTAATAGGTCAGACGAAGATCTATCTACTAATCAATCAATAATTCAGGTAATTTAGGATGTTTACTGAAGGTGATCAATTATATGTACAGTTAAGTGATTCCTTGTTATATTGTGAGAGCTTAGTAAGAAAATCTCTTGGTGTTATTGTAGTGGTGTTTCATGGTAATAGCTATCTGACATAATGAGCGTGATAAGAAATATTAATTACCCTGACAGAAAAAACAACTCACTTTATTGGTTTTGACAGATCCTGACTTTGATGACTCAACTTTAGAGTTAATAACAGTAGTATCGTCCTTAGATGAACCATCCGGAATGTTAATTAAAACACAAGGAGATTCGTGGCCAGTAGCTAAGCTATGAATTTAAAAAAATGTTTTTCGTAAAACAACTAACGTTCGTTGTATTTATTAAAAGTTAAATCAAATACGTGAATATAGTTAAACTGACCAGAATAACTCAAAAGATGTAAACGTAACTTTAACTACACTATTCTATAAACGAAAGTTATATTTTGCTTTAAATACTCTAATATGGGAATATGTTTCTATCAAACCAGTGTGGGATGCTTCAATTTTAAAGTAGGATATATTTATTCGAACCATTTATTAGGTATAGATTATAGTACTTGGTTGTGCACTGCACTCTAAGTTTGAAGACCAATGTAGCTGCCTGGTTGCTGAAAATAAAGATGGGATAGGATTCAAACCTACAATTTAGCGGCTAAAAGTCGAATGCCTAAACGACGGAACCAACCCTACAATCTCGAGTAACGCGCGTAAAAAATATATACAAACTGGGAAATATTTTACAATGGAGTACATATACGCAAATTTTAATTTACTTATTGAAATCAAAAATTTTCCAAGTATAAATTTATTTATTCAGCTGTGAGTCACACATTTAGTATAATGGAAAGACGATGTTAAACCCCACCTATTGGAACCTAAGTAAGTGAATACAGATGTGAACCTGCGACGTACCAATTTTAAAAAATAATGGTTCAACGAATTTTACATTTCTTTATTTAGTTGAACACAAATATTGATACAAAGGGGCTACTAATACATATACACCACACAAGTCATCTGATTTTTGTGTGGGCTGTGATACTGCCTGAGTGTCCAGATCGAAGCAGATGGCTTTCTTAGGGGCCACACCCCGAGCCTTCGACCTAAAAGTCTGATCCACAAAGCAGTGGGGCAACGTCAGGAGATGCAGTCCCATGGTAACCAGTGACCAACAACTGATTCACACACCATTTGTTCCTTCAGGATCATGGAGCCCATGTGCACCATTGGTTTGGAATCAGGGTTTTCTAACTCCCCTAGGTGGATCCTCCATATCCAACAGCTCGGTTGAAGCACTGAACATTCTGTTTTCGTCCTCTCAATTTCGTAAACAACAGTGATGCCTCGAGAATGTATTGAGTAGGACTTCCGTGGCAGTGGTTGTAAACGCGTGGCCATGTGAGAGCATTTCAAGAGAAAAGAGCTGACTCTTCCCACCCTCGGCCGTACCACGACATTTGCGGGTGCTTAACAACACTTATTATTTCTTACAATCTAGTCAGTCCTTTATCTACGTAAAACCACCTTTCACGCCTCGTCCCCCTATAGCTTCGCATATATATCAATATAGTGAGGAATATTTATTGGAAAAACTCGTCTAGCACCAAAATTTTATGTGGCTTATCACTTTTCAACAACTTGTTATGCTTCTTTACAAATAATTAAAAAAATTTTCTTAAAAGGAAAGAATTAGCAAAATTAATGAAATGAGTTACCAAGCTGATTCGTATGGTGCATCGCAAATGTAGAAACCACGACGTTGAATCTGTATGATGTCACCTTTTTTAACATGACACAAGTCAGGATCACCAAGTAAGCATTGTTCTTTCTAAAAGAAAAAGCAAATCAATATAATTTCAGTGGACATGGAACATTCCAAAAAAAATGATGTGTATGTCTATGAAAAGTGAATGGATTTGCACTGTTTTTAAAATCAAAACAAGTAAAACATTATATTTTCCTAAAAATGTTGTGATATAGGGTTTCTACCTCGTTCAGTGACAAGCATATATAAACAACAGGTCTTTAACTATTCACTAACTGATTGCGCATATCTTTTTTACAAAATAATTCAGAATGTTGCGTTTGGTTCTAATCGCCTACGCCTTTCTTCCAAATTCTAAACGACACTTATACCGTAGAAACAACTTGGTCAGTATTTTGACCAATTTCACATTGATTCAATAAGGTAGTTTTGAGTTATGAATGATAAAAGTATATTTACAGAAATACGAAGTATTTTGTAAGCATATCAGTGTACTGCATTAAAAATCTAAACCCAAATAATAACTACAGAAATGATCGAGAGAAAAGTAACATTAAAGCCACAAGTAAATGATTTGTTCACCTTCTACAACTCTCAAATCTACCCGTGATTTAGCTAACCTGATATGGTGAACCAGTCAATGGCTTGACATATGTCATACATTTCCTACCCACTTCAATTATTATTCTTATTATCCTTCATCATCGACTAACTTACCTCACTTGTTGGGAACATCGTGAGAAGAGAGTAATAATAACATCGCAGTAACGCTGTATAAATATGTGTGGAACGTATTTAGATTATGATGAGCAAGATGCTCGCAAATGTCGTGGTACGGCCGAGGGTGGGAAGAGTCAGCTCTTTTCTCTTGAAATGCTCTCACATGGCCACGCGTTTACAACCACTGCTACGGAAGTCCTACTCAATACATTCTCGAGGCATCACTGTTGTTTACGAAATTGAGAGGACGAAAACAGAATGTTCATTGCTTCAACCGAGCTGTTGGATATGGAGGATCCACCTAGGGGAGTTAGAAAACCCTGATTCCAAACCAATGGTGCACATGGGCTCCATGATCCTGAAGTAACAAATGGTGTGTGAATCAGTTGTTGGTCACTGGTTACCATGGGACTGCATCTCCTGACGTTGCCCCACTGCTATGTGGATCAGACTTTTAGGTCGAAGGCTCGGGGTGTGGCCCCTAAGAAAGCCATCTGCTTCGATCTGGACACTCAGGCAGTATCACAGCCCACAAAAAATCAGATGACTTGTGTGGTGTATATGTATTAGTAGCCCCTTTGTACCAATATTTGTGTTCAAATAAATAAACAAATACCAAATTAGTAGATAAAAGACAAGGGTTGTAACCAAACAGAAACCAGCTGTACAAACGATAGTTTAATGCGGTTGAAATAACAAAGAATATTTTTTAAAGAAGTTACTTACCTTTGAATATTTATTAACATATAATTTGAAGTCATCATCTTTGCCCAAAATTGCTTTATTTAAAAGATTATCATATGTTAGACAACTGACTGGAATTAATGGAAGGTGAGAATCTTTTGGATCTGTTAGCCAAGTGATTTTGAGTGTTTTCTTGTAATCCTTTTAAACAGAACACAAATAACAAACATATTAATGTGAAAAGCAGGAAAGATACATACATGCAATTTAGTATGTAAGTGTGAATGTTTTATTGATGGTAGAGGATGAACATAATCAACCCTACACTTCTGGATGTATTTAAATAAATGACTTTACTCAATCTTAAAATAAAAAGTTAAAAGCGAATGTCTATATACTTGAGTAATTTTCTTGTACCTACATTACTAAAATTTTGAGGTCATCTAAGACAGAATATATATTTTTTAAAATGGTTCCTGTTCAGTTCGAGATCAGTCAACAACTAGTTCATCAAAACATTAACGAAGCTCACTAATAGGTATTGTATTTCAATTGCAGTGTCAATTCACAATGAGTTCATTAATTATAGTGGAGTATAGTTAAGTTTATGGAAGCGTTTTAAAGGATATCTTTAACGTTGGTCACAGAACATCTGGTTGTAATCAAAAGATAAGCAAATGTATAGGGATTCGCCTGTACTCAGTCTTGTACCATCAAAGTTTTAATCATGTGGAGATTGTAGAATTCTCCGTTTAAATTAGGAACCGATTTTGGATAGACCACTACTGAAAACATAGAAGTACTAGACAGACGTTTCTTTCTAGTATGAAACTCATCAGCATTACTGGACATTCAATCGGTACTACATGAGAAATGTTGATGAATTATCCACATTAAAGTTTAATTATATATATTATATAATATAACTTACAGTATCTTCCAAATTAAGGCAAGCATCAATGGATACTATTAATTGACCTTGTTTATGTATATCCACTATCCGAAGATTACCCCAATTGATGAAGGTTACATTCTCACCTTTTTTAAAACATAATGCATCGGCTTGCTCAACAAACACTTCTGGACCAAGTAAGATTGAACGGTATCCAAGTGATTCGTTTTTCGGGTGGATTTGTACCTGAAATTTTAATTTTGAAAAAAGTCTTGTACCTCAAAATATTTAATGAATTGAAACAGTTTTCTAAAAACCTGAAGTTTTGATAACTCTATGATCAGTAAACTAATTGTTCATTGTTATATGGACGCCATAAAAGTGGATGCTTACTTAATACGAAGTAATAGTATCAGGTTTTATAGAACTTCGTATGGAGTTTTACTGCAAATAGCCAATTACATACAGATTTTTATTCAAGGTTACTCAAACCACTGGAAATGAAGAGTGTGGATTCGGGATCTAATGAGTGGGAATGCAGTGCCCAAACCACATAATCTAAGATAACACTACAAAGGCTGAAGTTTCATGAATCGTCAACACAACTGACCTTTTTCTCAGTATAGCCGGTTTGGCCATGAACGTGAACACGAACTAGACCAGGAGGTGTACCATTATGACCCATATATGAAGAGTCCAGTAAGAGAGCAGTAGTTCTTGGCGCTACAGGCTCAATTATTTTCTTATTAAATGACCAGATTTTATCCCATTCCATCAAAGCAGAAGATCGACTAGACCCTTGGGCCAAAATAAATTGACGTAATCCTTCAGCGGTCATACCACGACGAAGAATACCAGAAACTGTAGGCATTCTTGGATCATCCCATCCATCAACAATTCCTTCTTCTACAAACCATGCGAGTTTACGTTTTGACAGGACTGTATTTTGTAGAGCAAGACGACTGTAGTCGATCACAATTGGACAACGTATACCTAGCATTGTATCAAAACAGAGCTAAAAGATATTAATATATTTAACAACAAATATCACACAAACTTATGGAATAATACGATGTGTGGTACTCTGATGCTGCAGCAAATCACATCACAAAAGTGGTTGTTTGTCAGATATAATGAAGGCCATTATGGTAATTAGTCATTATATGGACTATTTCAACACTAGGTTGCATATTGTTTTGTTTTTGATTTTTAATATGCAATTCCAGTCTATAATTTGCTTCCATATTGATTTATCCAATAGTTACATAAAATAGTACCACTTAAGTAATTACGACACAAACTGGTATGAAATTATGCTATACCGGTTCAATTAATTAATCGAATCAAATCATCATCACAATGTCAGTCAGTCGGTCAATCGGCGATAAGCGTGGGACCTGACATAAGCTTATGTATCCCTACGTTACTGCACTACATCAGTACAAGTCAGTCAGTCAGCTACAACGTAGGACCAGGCACATATATGCATCGGTCCAAGTTGCCATACCTCATTAACACAGCAAGATGAACACCGGATTCATAGAAGTGGTCAATTCAGTGGTGGTGATATATAAAATAAAGATTGCATATAAGGATATGGTACAGGAAGAAAGAATTAGTTCGTAGAAAGAAAGATATGAAGCAATTTTAATCTCTTAGTTTAAGGGAAGATAGAGAGTGTATACACCGACGCCATGGTGATCGATTCTGAGCCATGTCACCAAGAGTCTCCAACCACTGGTTACGACAGTCACGCGGACCTCAACCAAGTAGTCTGCATCTACCAACATCAGTACAAAGAAATGAAATTATCGAAATGAATACCAAAGAAATATAAGTAACAGTATCAATGATAGTAGACAAAATTAGACACGAAATATGATTCCAGGAAGAATGAGTGAAGAGCATAAAACAATTTTGAAACGCATAATTAGGGAGTGAATGCATCGGTGCCGTTGCGATTGCTTCTCAGCCAATTCGCCCATGGCAATCACCCTAACTCTAACTGAGTAGTTCGTATTTATCAACATGATTCAGATCAATGACTTCATAGATCAACGTCATGGTTTTGGTTTGCTAATCCTACCTTATTCTAACCTCAAAGTCCTTTTTACCAAGAAATTTATGGTATTGTGGTTATAAGGTGAATTTATTACGAAAATCTATAAACTTGATTGTGTATCTAAACGACTCGGTTGACTGACATTAAGTCCCAGTTCTGAAGACTTCTATAGATGATTTAAGCAGTGAAAATAAAAATACAAACTGTGCATTGGCATAAATTAGAAGTCTTTTGAAGGGGATAAAATTATTCAATGAGCAAGAAAAGTTTTATTAGTTTTCTTTTAGAAAAAAAGTTGTTAGCTTACCTAAACTTTTACATATCCATGCATACTGTTCATTTCTATCATTATATTCAGATGTTCGTAAAGCGTGGGTTACACCTTCAATACTATCCACTATTGGGCAAGCAAAATCATACAACGGATACACTCTTTTGAAGGAAAGAATAACAGGTAACAATAAAATATTTTATCCGTTTTTTCTGTGATGATTATCAACATGTGATTTAAAGCCAATGTGAAACATACTCATAAATCTGGATACGTTCAATGCGAACAAATGAAAATAACTACTGAGTCGAACTTCTGAAGACTTCAGACTACAAGGATGGTAAGAATTGAATCCACTAGATTTCATAACAGCTTGATGTATCAAACACTATCTCACTTATCATTAGCTTACATCGTAAGGAAAACTATATTACTTTCATCAGGATAGCTGTCGTTCATTCAAAAATCTGAAATACTGAACTTATTGAAAATCTTTAGCATTAAATACTGGAAGAAATTCGACTCTCGACAAATAATTTGCATATACACTAACAATACCATACAATCACTTTCACTAATCTAGTTTCTTCAAATAAATGTGATAATGAAGTATTCTCTGAATGTTTTAATACATGAAACAAATTTTAACGAACAGATAATATGTTATTATGGGCCCTGATGAAAGCGATATAGTTCTAAAGGACAATGACCATTTTAACTGTTGTGAGGGATTAGTCTGTGCTTCATAATATTTATCCTTTTTGTCAACTGTAATACATCACAACAGTAGTTCTAGTCGTAAATTTAACAATACTGCAGAATGCTTTATACTCTTATTCGTATTAAATAACTACATTCCTTATACTGATTACTTATCTTACACATTATAGTCCTAAGAAAGATGGTAACGTCGTTCGATATCACACAGACTACATATAAATTGATACATTCAACATGCATACAAGTGCACTGTCTACGAAATAGACAATTTTTTAAATATTTAACCACCAGATGGAAATTATTTTATACTATGATGAAATGCTTACAGAAAGCAACACTACACCTAAGACGAAAATATAGAAAACCGTATTTTAAAAGTGACGTAGACACGTTTACATATTAGCTTACTTATATTTAGAACCTGTCCGAACATGGGGTTCTATTTTACAACGATATATTGTAGGATCACGTAAAGCACCGTTATTAGAAGACATATCAATTTTAGCACGTACACAACATTTTAGTCCTTGTTCCGTTCCCTTTTTCATTTCTTCCCACCAAGCCAAATTTTGTTCGATAGCTATGTGATAAATTACAGGACAGAAAGTAAAATTTTTAAAACTTAGATTGAGCTATAGCTAACTAAACCAAACCGGCAGATTTCAATCAGAAAAGTAGTCAAGTAGTTAATCACATGAAACATAAGTTACGAAGATCAGACTGGATATAAGCGACTGAAGTACCTAGAAAAATGAACTAAGATTTACTAAATACCCATGTCATGTTTTCCCTATTTGTGTGTTTGAGCGGCAGTGTTTATTTACTCCTAATTTACATAGGATGAGTGGCACTCGAAGACAAATCACCTTAAACGAGAAACAATAGTCTTTTCAAATGATCGTTTTCAACATGAAACTAATTATTTTAAATCGAACAGTACAAATTATTATGCACAGTTGAAGTAGATTTTCACGTGGAACAAGTTATGGTGAATGGCGTACAATGAGATGTGTATTGCCGACCTTTTCGAAACTACACACGTTTAGGAATACAACAGGAAAATAATTCAGCAAACTGATTCCACCTAAAACTAATGTGATGAAAGTAGAAAACAATGGTGAAAACCAGCCAATGGAAATTACCCATATGCACTACGTGACGGCGCACCTAAGTTGTCGTCCAAATTTATCATACTACGTTTAACTCGTTTTACCACATTGAAAGTGATCTTTATGTGGAGAAAACGAAATTTACTGTAGTCAATAGTCAGAAAACTGAAACTTGATCAAAAAAGTTAGATTACCTAGTAAATCAGTTATAAATACTGTTAGTAAACAAAACTTTGGCTGATGTTTGTATAGCTACTACTACTATGTATAAAACTAGATTGCTGGAAACAATTTGGGCAACATACTTTTACAGAGACTTTAAAAGAATTCAAAGAAATTACTCTTACAATTATCTCTACAAGCAGACATTTGGCGTGCTTCCCTCTGTACACGAATAGTTTCCATATCTGTGTTATCAACATATGCTTTGCCTTCCTTGATTAGTTGTTCACACAGTTTTAACATCTCGTCAAAATGATCAGAAGTTGACGATATGGTATCCCATGTGACACCGATTCGAGGAAGATCTGAAAGAATCGACTTTTCAAAGTATTCTTTTTCTTTATCGGGGTTAGTATCATCAAAACGTAATATCAAACGACCTTTGAAAATATCCTGGAAAGAAAACAATAAAAGTACATACACAGGAGATACACTAGAACCTTACTTTACATCAGAATATACCCCAACTTTTCACAAGGTTATAGAACTATGACTATTGTGAGTCAGTCAGCCAGTCAGTAACAACGTAGAACTTACGTACGTACGTACATCGATTCGAGTTGCCATACCACATTAGCATAGAGATGCAGTTGTTGATTCTAATCCCATAGTGATAGAGGTAGTAAAATTATAAGCACTAATCGGAAACATTAGGGTTTGACGATGTTATTCAAGGAGTAAAATCCAGTGAAATGAATTTGGAAAAAGAAAAAATAAGGGACATGAAGGATCCAGAAGATCGGAATTTGGGAGAACACAAAGAGTGGATGCACCTGCGACACTGCAAACGATTTTGAGCCATGTCATTCAAGGTCTCTAACCATCGGTTGCTATCGTCTCGCGAATCCCAACCAGGTAGTCTGCACCTACTGACATGGCTAAGTCCATTTGTCAGTGACTTCATGGATTTGTGCCACGTTTTGGTCTGGCCGCCTCTAGCTTTCTTCCAACCTACTCCTACACCATAAAACATCGCACGTGAGGGGGTGTCGGTGGTTGGGCATACGTAACACATGTCCAAGCCATCTCAACTGATGAAGTTTCACTACTTCATCAATTGATCTGCCATCCTTACCTGGTACCCGTTTCCTAACAACTACATCACTTACTCGGTGGCCTCAGGATATACAAGCAATGCTTCGAAGACACCTATGATCAAATGGATATTGTGAGGGTTAGTTAAGGGTTGAACTCAAAAACTAATTAATAACTCAGACAAATGATGAATGCTAAAGATGGGTTATTGGATCAAAATGTAGAAAGACATGTTGAGTGAAGCAGACAGTAGCAATCCGAAGAAAGTTCTTATAAAAAGGTTAAAATTGTCACTTGACTTTTCCGGCCTATCGATTCTAAATAATATTAAGTCTCGTTATCGGAGGATTAAAAGCTTGCATTCGAGAATAAATTATTTATATAACTGGGTTAATATTCCTATCAGCTAAACAATCTTTTAAAAAATGAACAATAAACAGAATTTCTTACTCTATAGTGTTGATTTAGAAGCGCTGCTTTAGCATGTCCAATATGTAAATATCCACTAGCTTCCGGAGGAAAACGAACAACTACCTCCCCAACTTTCGCACCAGGGAGTTCACCGAACTTTCCTCCCATTTCAAATAACATATCAGATGCATGAGTTTTACCAACAGCATTACTAGATGGTTCTGAGTTAACTGAAACGCTTTTTGACTGGAGCCGTGATTCATAGATTTCTGTTCTAAGTTTCCGAACTGATGGTAAGGTTATAAGACGATCATAGTATTGTTTAAGATTAACAAACGACTTTACGGAGCTATTAGTTCTGTACGACTCATTGAGTTTTTGCCAATCTGGATTGACTTTAAAATTCAAAAAAGAAAAAACCAGACTAAATATTTGTTTTAGTAATAATAATTCCTATATTTAAGTTTGCAAAAAACGAGAAAATTTGTTATTAATTAACAAGCTAAGCCTATATCATAACGAAATACTTAAAAGAGCGGAAAGCCGATTATATGTGTGGAAATATATCACTGTCCTAATCATTTAATTAAAAATAACGTAAAGCCGCCGACAATATGTATTCACTCATGTCATCATGTCATATTGGTACAGAAAATTGACTACAAAGTGAGGTCATAATAATGATAGTAACGAAAAACTGAACACAGAAAATATGGTTAGAAGTGGTCCAATCCTTTTTGGTGTTTTATCTTCGTTAGAAGTTGCTCTGAACTCACGACAGGTTTTGGAACTAAAAAAACTGATATTGAAGAGTAAAAAACGACACTGAAACCCAAAACCAAAGGGAATAAGAACAATGAATCCATTCATGTCACTGTAATAGAATTTGAGCCAGGTCGCCTAAATTCTTCAACAATGGGTTACAACTAATTCGCGGATCTTAAATAAAACGTCTGAACTTCATATAATAGCTTAGATCAACAAGTCAACGATGTCATACACCAAAGCCTAACGTTTAGCTTTCTATTGCTTTTCGTCAACCAACTAGAGTGCTAGATGGTATAGGACTTCAAAGTAGATGAAGTCATGGTGTGGTTGGCTTATCTTAATTAGAGCTGATGACGAATTACAGCTTTACTGGAGGATTTAACGTTTCTGGAAAGCAGTATATGCCTAATCTCAGTATTACTCACACAACAGTTTGACAATAAGCAATCAATGCTCCAAAGAGATGTGACCAAGAACACAAAGCTCCGTCTGGTTAGGTTAGCATTTAACAAACATTTCAATTAAAAAGTTACTGGTCCCATATAAATGCACTGAATTTTATGGAAAATGGATACAGCTTAAACGCTTGTTTCATAGACACAAAGAAGACATTAGCCTTTTGTAGACGTATCTATAACCTCATTCTTAAACTACTCAGTACAAATCAGGGCCACTAGGTAACCTATAGAGAAATCAATTATATAAACACTTACTGACAGAGGATATTCACACAAAGATATACAATCGTAACGGTTCAGGTCCGCCGTGCTTGTTTAGAGTATAAAAATTCTCTCCTGTAAATGGTTTTTCAGGGAGGTTCGAACTACGGCTTTCCAACAGGTGGGGCTTAATGACACAACCACTGACAGCACTAGTAAAGCAAAGTTTTCGGTTGCTAGTCGTGTATACATTAGTAATAATAATGGCCGTTGATATATACCTATACACGAAGGCGACGGTGTTGTGTTCTTATGAGGCTGAGTTTTAAAAATCTCAGATACACTTTCAGGAGTTAGTATTTGTAAGCTTTATAGAATAGGACAAAAGGTGGATTCTGAAAGTCCGCAGAAAAACCGCCTCTTGAAGGTTACATTTGCCACGGTTGAAGAAAGGAACCTGATTCTAGGTAACTCACGTAAACGGATTGGATCCGGAATATACGTCTGTGAGGATCTCAGCCTAGCTGATCGTATTAAGAGGCGAGCTGCAGAAGCAGAAATAAATGAGCGTCGCCAAAACGGTGATAGAAACCTCGTTCTTAAGGGTTTTCAAATTGTAAAAGTTCGGAGCAAAATAATCCCCAAATCACTCTGGGTGTAAAGGGAAAGTTCTCCACAGACTTAAAGGTATGCTACACAAATGCTCGCAGCCTACTAAATAAAATGGCGGAGCTCAAGTTAGTGGTGGATAAAGAAAAACCGGATGTTATTGCTATCTCGGAAACTTGGTTAACGTCAGAAGTATTAGATAATGAAATTCAGTTGACTGGTTTTTTAATCAGTAGGGCTGATAGATTAAACCGTAGGGGAGGCGGGGTTATCCTGTACACGGAAAGTACCCTAACCAAAAGAGTAGCTGAGACAGTGGCACATGTGAACTGGTGCGATGTAAGCTGAAATGTAGGCGGCAAGATATTGAATTAGTTGTAGTATATCGCGGTCCAGAATGTGGGGCAGATGATTTTCTCCTAAGTAAACTCAAGTCCTGGTGTAACAAGAGTAAAAGCCTTGTAGTAGGTGACTTTAATGCACCGTATATAAACTTGGTTAACTTAGAAGTAGGGTCATCGATAACGCCGTTCGATTGCAAACTGTTAGAAATCTCGATCGGATTAGCTTTATTCCAACACATTAGAAACACACTAGACGGCTCTTTACTCGAACATTACAAGTCGAGTCAGAACTTATGGCGAACTGTCATCTGCTTTTGCAACTTCAAGTGGTGTCCGTCAAGGCTGTCCACTTTCTCTATTTTTGTTCAACTTCATCATAGACCTACTGATGGAAATGACATTCTCGTCGACTGAATTCTCGGGTATTGATCTCCTTTCAGGAGGTCCACTTATCGACTTAGAATACTCAGATGACATAGTCCTGTCTGGTGAAGACGCTGATACAATGCAGTCTTTTGGTAGCACTAAGCAACAATGCCAGGATGATTAGAATGCGCTTCTCTCCCTCTAAATGCAAGCTGCTGCTTCAGGACTGGTCTGCGTCAGCACCTGAACTAAGGATAGGGAGTGAAGTAGTCGAACGCGTTGACAACTTCACCGATCTTGGAAGTCTGATCAGCCCTAATGGGTTAGTGTCTGACGAAATCTCAGCATGGATTCGAAAAGCTCGATTGGCTTTTGCCAACTTACGTCACCTATGGCGAAGGCAAGATATCCGTCTATCAATAAAAGGACGAGTATACTGCGCGGCAGTCCGTTCTGTTTTAATTTACGGCAGCGAAACATGGCCATTAATAGTAGAAGACACTCATAAGCTACTAGTATTTGACCACAGATGCCTTAGAAATATTGCTGGTGTCTACTGGGACCACCGGGTAAGTAATAGTGAGGTTAGACAGACAAAGGGTATTAAGGAATGTCAGTCAGTCAGCTACAACGTAGGAACCAGGCACAAATATGCATCGGTCCAAGTTGCCATACCTCATTAACACAACAAGATGGACACCGGATTCATATAAGTGGTTAATTCTTCCAACCATCCCGAACACCGGTTGGCATTGCACGGTAAATCAGTTGATGAGGTTGTGAATCTTCATCGACTGAGATGGTTGTGCCACGTATTACGTATGCCTGAACACCGATTACCACGACGTGCAATGCTAACCGGTGTTTGGGATGGTTGGAAGAAAGGAGCGGCCAAACCAAAACGTCGCATCAGTGCTTGAAGTCACTAACTTTTAATCTGAGCCATGTTGGGAGATGCAGACTACTTGGTTGAGGTCCGCGTGACTGTCGTAACTAATGGTTGGATACTCTTGGTGACATGGCTCAGAATCGATCACAATGGCGTCGGTGTATACACTCTCTATCTTCCCTTAAACTAAGAGATTAAAATTGCTTCATATCTTTCTTTCTACGAACTAATTCTTTCTTCCTGTACTATATCCTTATTGCAATCTTTCTTTTATATATTACCAAATCTGAATTAACCACTTATATGAATCCGGTGTCCATCTTGTTGTGTTAATGAGGTATGGCAACTTGGACCGATGCATATTTGTGCCTGGTCCTACGTTGTAGCTGACTAACTGACCGACTGAGAAGCCCCACAAGATATGACTTAAGAAACTCTTCTTCTCTTACAGATTTAGTCTTCACACATGGTGATGACGTTGGTCAAATGACTTTCCTCCCACCACTAGGAAGAAGTGACCATGCAGTCATCTTATTCAAATTCATGGCTGAGATTGCCTGTCAGACAGTTGCGCCGGCCCGTCCTAATATATGGAAGGCAGATATGGAGGCAATCAACTCCGCAGCTTCGGCTGAAAACTGGGAAATTGACTCAAGGGCATCAGTACAAGAGGCATGGACTCTTTTCAGGCGGTTATACAATTGGGTAACTCAACCATACATACCCAAAGAAGAAGAAGAAGAAGCACGGCCATCCCTGAATAGGCCGGGATATTCGACGTTTACTAAGACAAAAGAAGAAATGTTGGGATGTTGTCATCCGCCTTAGCACAGCAGGTACGATCGAACGCTACAGATCGATAAGAAACGAGTGTATAACAAAAATTCGGGAAGCTCAAAGAAAATATGAAATGCACTTGGCACAATCTACACTCAAGCAGCCCAAGAAAGTATTCTCGTACATAAACTACAGAACAAGGATGCATCATTGGATTCCCAACCTAATTAAAGAAGGGAGTGAATCTGAAATGATAGAGAAAGATCAGGAAAAAGCAGAGGGTATGGCTGACTATTTTAGGGACGTTTTCACTCAGGAACTTCCTCTAGACAAAGAACCAGACCAAAATAAAGAGTCAACAAACCACCTGTTCACCGTGGACTTTGGTCAAGACGATGTGCTTAATGCTTTTAGCACCTTAAACATGGAAAAGTCAACAGAACCGTATGAACCAGACTCGGAAATCCTGAGACAATTTGCACAATATATTGCAGCCCCATTGACTGTGGTATTCGATTTGTCACTTGACCATGATGTGTTACTCATAGACCGGAAGGATGCAATCGTCACTCCCATACATAAAACAGGGCCAAGACAACTTCCAGCGAACTACAGATCTGTCAGCCTCACCAGTGTCGCTGTTAAAGTGCTTGGAAGAATAGTGAAATAAACCATGACATTTATGGAAACCAACAACTTGTTAAACAACGAACAACATGGTTTCAGAAATTTTTTTATCTTGCATAACAAACCTCCTTACAGCAAGATAACAATGGATAAAGGCTATAGACAACGGAAAATCAGTGGATGTTGTCTAAATAGACTTTAACAAGGCGTTTGACAACGTGTCAACAAATAGACTGCTGTTGAAGCTAGAAAATCTTGGTATTGCCGGACCTCTTCTAAAATGGCTCAAGAATTTCCCACTAGGTCGCAAACAGAAAATAAGAATAAATTGGACGTGCTTCACCTGGAGACCAGTACTTATTGGAGTACCTCAAGGTTCTATCCTGGTTTCTTTACTTTTTGTACTGTATGTAAATGATCTCCAATGTATAGTAGAGACCCTAATGTTATTATACACTAACGATGTAAATATCTGTAACGGTAGACACAGATACATGCGCACGTCAGGCTGACATAATACAGTGATTAACTGGTCTGAGGAGTGGCTGATGCCTATAAACGCGGCAAAGTGTGACTACGTGCACTTTGGTGGATATAAAGGTAAATAGATACAGCATAGAGGAAGTGCGCTTTAAGACGGACATTTGCGAAGTTAAATACTACTATGTTCACTACAGTATACACAACCTTAGTGAGAACTAAGCTTGAGTACTGCGTTCAGTCTGCAAGCCCCTGTTTATAAGGTGACTCGAATATCGTGGAAGAAGCTCAGAGGGTAGCTACCCGTGCAATCCCAGAACTACGGGGTTTATCATGCAAAAAGCTGCTTGAAAATCTAGACCTCTTTACTCTGTTCTATCGCAGATTAAGAGATTATCTGATTTTGATGTATGGTCCTAATATTTCTTTTCTTTTTCTTCCTACAAGATCGGGACATCTCAGAGCCATCAATTCTTGGAACCTGTTACTCGAAGCAGTGGTGTATGAACCCTCAATTGTCTCCTTCAAGAGAAGACTGGACACTCACAGAGGCATAGCAGAAAACGAATAACATAGGCCGTAAACTTTCTGTCCTTACTACACAAATCTGAATCTTTAGAAAATCCCATCAGCATTATTAGAAAGTGCGTAAGATTGGTGTTTTTTCAACAAGGTTACCACTCGCCGTACTTCTTGAATGTAACAACATTTAACAATTAGATGCGAAATTTTGAATTTCATTCCGCAACCATCTAGTAATACTGCAACTTAATATAACGAGTCTAAGCCAAAGAATTTGTGATTAGGGTGGCGTAGTACGAGAAAGCAAAGTAGGAAAATTATTTGGTCGTGAACTTACTTTCTAAAAAAGCCCAAATAGCCAAATCCGACAAGGAAAACTCACTGCCATTGATATACGTGGAATTAACGAGTGCTTTGTCAATCTCCTTTCCAGCCCAGGTAAAATCACACTGTGGTTGGAGATAGACTATGGCAAACCTAACCCAATTATAAGTCTACTTCTTAGGGTGTGAAAGGCTGGGTACTTACTTGGAGGTCATCTTTTCCAGCGATACCCTTCAGTGCCAACCTGAAAAAAATGACATAAAATTTTTGTCAAACATACCTAAGACTATCCTCACTCAACCCAGGAATATGGTACTTGAGGTAATCTTCTAAAGCTTCTAAACCTAGAGAAGAACTTTAGAGAATAACGATCCTTACACACACACATGGCCGGACGAGTTGAGCTGACGATGACCTTGAGTATATGTTGAGCGCTCTTAAAAACTCAAAACAACTGTTTGCAGAAGTAATGACAAATTTCACCTGTAGGTTCTGTATTTGGTCAACAAGAGAACATTTTTTGATACGAAAGGGCATATTTCTTGTTCCGATACTTCTAAATCTGAACGTCAAAAACATTAATAATAGGCTAAGTGATCGAGGACTAACACATAGAGTTATACTCCTTAGTACCTGCGGAAATAAGTTAGACGTCATTTCTCCCACCAAAGAATTTAAAGGGTTTCGTCATCATCACTTTCGATTGCTATCACCATGATTTCGTAGTTCTAACTGTTAAAATATTCGCACGATTTTCACACGGATGGTCTATTTAAATTAAATTCTTAAGCCACTCCTTAGTTATTTATAGGAGACTTACTTGCTCTTTACACAGTTCCTGTCAGTGTTGAGTAGCTCATACACGTTTTCTCTTTCTAACAACTATGGGTAAAGCGGAGAATTTTTTCTGTTATGTTCCCAGAATTTTCTTGTTTGTACCTCAATCTATCTGCAGACTAACGTCACAAGCTTTATCCAGTTATACGTTTTGGTAGACGACAGCCAAAAATAATTGGTCACAATGCAGCTGAAACGTCTGTTGGATAAGAATGTACGCCTTTTTTGCACCTCAGTATTTAGCTCCAACAACAGCAAAGTAATAGAGAACGGTCTCCATATTTCATGCACACAGAGGGATGCTAAACATCAGACCACAACAAACCCTTAGTTAGGATTTACACTTTGTACGTACATAGTAACGTACGTGAAATAAAAGCAGATAATTAACTTTCAATAAATAACGATTGTTAAAACTCATAGTGATAGTCAGTTGATCGAAGGAATGTTTATAATACATCGAGTAGAGACATATAATCCGGTTAGCTAATAATTATACGAAAAAATATATACATATGTTAACAACCAGAAGTATAATTCTAAAAGCTACCATTTTCTCATAATAGTTATCTCTTTGCATACCAGTTGCAAAATGTAGCCTGTTGTTTAGATTTAAGGAGATCGCATTAGCAATTTGCTTGCCGCATCGCCCTGATCTGATTCTAGGTTCACCAAGAAAATCAACAGCAGCTTTGTCATCTAGCATTTTTTTCTGCTAAAGCACGCAACTCAGTTGTATTTTGATACTTAGTCATAATGACTTTATAGTAAATTAATTTGACTGTACCTATATTTGAAGATTTCCAAACTTCTTGAAACTTGATTCAATCATGAGAATGAATACTTTACGTCTGCTAATGGTTAGGATGATGGTAAATATCTCTAAGTTTCCGTTTACTATATAAACGTCAATAACGAAAAGCTTTTGATGATGAAGAGAAGTTTAAAATGAATACTTTGACGGCCTATTAACACAAAGTATCGATAATGTTCGAGTGAATTAAATCTATTGGCCGAAAACAAGTATCCTCTTTCACTTGAAATATAGAATTTTACTGAGTTCAACTCAGTCAATACAATTCCCTTACCTAACGAGAATAATAATTATCTATTTCTACCTTTGAAAAAAATTTCCATTTCACCTAGACTTAGTGACATTCATTAATTCCGTTCCATCAATTTTCGAGTCGATTTTACGGATTTTGATCAACTGACGTATTGAAAGTGAAATTCTCGGCCAATTTACCTTTATTGAGAATGAAGTCAAAAATTCAGGCATAAACCAAACTACATGTCTACTATATATAGTGTTAGATCACTTGCAGAGTGAATAGCTGTGGAGTCACAAAGTCACGGTGACAAGTATTTGCAAGTCACTGAACATATAAGATCAGCGCACTCTAGTCTATCTACATCTCTAGTCTAGCCTTAAGATAGGGTTACGGCACTTTCCATGGAATTGTTTGTGCTTCTGTTTTTCTCCTGTCAAATGCCCGTAAACTATTGAGTCAAGTGTCCTTATGGAGCCAAAGTTTTCTTTTGGAAAAGTCAACAAATCATTTCTAAAGTCGTTTGGCTGCTTTGAAAATAATGACTCCAAAGTACTAGAAGACCTTGGAGTATTCTAATTAACTATATATATTTTATGTGTAAGTATAGCGTGCACTTACTTTCCCACCTGTTTTATTCAAGTAATTTGCCATCTGAAAAATCTAACAACATAGTGTGAACTACAGAACATGACAACACTACATTAAGGTACGTCGCTAATAATATTCTCCCTAGGAAAGTGGTGTTTACAACCTATGCTTACCAGATTGATTCTTTGTCAATAGAAAGAAATGTTGGCACAGTCTGACGAAAATATGGACAAATTTGGTAGATCTCAGAAAGATTAGCGTCAAACCTGAGAAAATGAAGACAGATGTGAATGTGTTTCTATGCCCTACGGGGCTAGTCACATCTATGTAGTCATAATATTTGTCGAGTTAGGACACTGACTGTTAAATAAAGTACACGGTAGTTTCACTTAATTTGGTGATACATAATCGTGTCAACAGCATTCATGTTTGAAAACTGAAATTAAACTGCTCATCCTTTGGGATTCAAGGGAATTACGCAATGATAAAACTGTATTTGTATCGTGGTTAACTGAAAGCTTAAGACTTCAAAACTTTGGGACTACTGTGAGATCCTCCTATATATATATACTACGGTAGCCGTATAGTCATGAAACGCTATTCGTTTGGGTATTTGTACAACTTATATTTAAAACCATACCAAATTACATCAAATATTACCTCTCGCTTTTGTCTCGTTCTTATAAGTGGAGAACAATGAGCCACTGTCGCATCAGAAGGGAGTATGCAGAGCCAGAAATTCAAAAGCTTGGGTGTCCCAACTGGTGGTCAATAATTTGTTCCTGCTTTTCAGTTATGTATAAGGTTTTTTAAGACAATAGATCTTAGTTGTTGGTAGTAGATGTACTTTGCTAAGTATAGTGTTTTCGGGAGTATCGTAATTTTATTTCAAAGGAAAATCTGACTGTAACGACGTACTGAGTAATATGTTGGCAAATACTTAATCGAGGACTGCATATCTTGACCTAATTTTTCATCTCGATTCTTCACTTTACATTCTGCTGTATTTTAAGCTGTGGACTATCCCCTGATATTTTTTCTCGACCACTGCCTGCCTGATTTCCTATTTCCGTTTCCAAAAAATCAGGGACAATATTCCAGAAGGTTCGATGAAATTACGTTATTAAGTTTCTGCAATCTTAAACACATTTCATATCGTTCATATAGTCAAGTCACGTTATCTATACTCTTCGGATTTTCGCTGAATCAATCAAGTGACATAGTCATAAGCATCGCACACACCCGTTAGTCGGTTGCAATACTGCGTGCTTAATTTGGTTCCCCCTGACTTGTACATGCGCTAAATTATATCATCTCTATGCCATCTGAATTTAAAAATTATTTGAACTGCCTTCAACAATTTCCACCAAAACGCATCATAGTCGTTATTGCTATACGTATTAGCGTTTATGGATCGGGTTATCAAATCGTTTTCCCAAAACGATATTAAACATAGTTAAGATGATGAAGTCGCCTCATTAAGCTATTACCGTATTGCACCGATGTATATGTCAGTTAAGCAAGCTTTTTAAATGAAAACTATGTAGCCCATTGCTAAAATCAACACTAATTGAACCAGTATTTCTGGACCACAACCTGTAATACAATAAGGCAAATCGAATTCCTTAATGCCGGAAACTTCTAATGTTTCAGAATAGCTTAAAACAAAAACACCTATTTCCAACCAGCTAATCCCCGATCAACAATATAACGAGTTATTACTAATGGTTTCCGCATATCATCATAAAGCATTGTCATGGCTTAACGATCACGTAATATGACTGATAAAATTGATGCGACCATTAACGCAAACTCGACTGACAAAATGACTGATAACTACCATTAAATGGTGTTGATTTTTCGTGATTGTCTTTATTTATTATAGAAGATATTAGTATGTTGCTCTATCACTTGATCATTTGACAAACATCTTGAAACATTTTCAGTCTAATTAAAGGTTTAGTGTTACAATATTGCATGCATATCATCAGTATAGGCAGTCGAACAAGTCTCCTGCAAACTATAAACATCAGTGTTGTGTTCACCTTAACACTAACAAAGATTTATTCTTTTATCATAGATATGAGTTAGGAGTTGTACTCCTCTTGATTGCAACTAATACTCTTCTTGATAATTACATGAGCAGCACTCGCTGTTTGTCATTTTGTAAAGATTTATTAGACCAAAAGCATCGTGCAGGACCACGTTACTTGTATTTGTGTAACATACGCTTTGCCGATTTCAACAACTTATAACCACAACATTTCAGATTAGTCAGTTTCTACCTTGTACCAAACTCGATGCTCGCAACTAACTTGTATAAACCATCTACCAAAATGTGTCCGTATAACTAATTTGTCTAATGCAAATCGTAGTATTAAGTCTAGATTATGTCTCCAACGTATGCACCCACGTTCAAAGAACTACCGTCAGCTATCTCTCCAAAATTCATATTACCACTAGTTCCACGTATTAAAAGCATTTTTGATAACAATTCATATGTATTAGTAAATGGGAAATGGAAAATCCCCCCGTAAATAAATAAACAGTATTAAACATAAAAACTAACTGAAACACTAGGTAGAATTACTCCTCTTCGTGGTTATAAGTTTGTTCCTTCAGCCAGCCTACTGCTGATACATAAACAATGCTTCCTTAAGTTTGGCTGTTATTCAGCGGCTGTTACTTAGTATCTTAATGTGACTTGTTAGAATATTTCTGTGATGAACCATTCTTCGTTATGATAATCCCAACCTTAAGTAATATTCAAGTTGATTTTCACTTTACGCGTGCTAAGAATAAAACCAACGTTATGCTGATACTTGTGAGAGAATAGCGCAGTGACATTGGTCTTTAACCACACGATCTTTGAAGCCGAGCAAATAATTACTGCGAATATTTACATCCAATATGGAACGCTTAGAGAAGGTTGAAAAGTAGTGATCGTGAAAACAATTTTTATATGAAATGGTCCGACTATGCAGTTGTCACTCTGTGTAACTTATCCTTGTTCACAATAAATACATTGTTCTATCCCCAGCCCAAACATGATTTTCGAATATGCTAAACATCATACTGTTGGTTGTCACGTTCGGTTGGTCAGAATAGACAATGGTCGTGTGTGACCGGCCTCAAGCAGTTGCCCCTTGGGCACTGCGGTCACGCTCTCAGGTCACTGAGACCGCCTCTAATCCAATTTCCTTTTCAGGTACCTCCAGAAGAACCCTTCCACGGTGTGGGCAACCGGGAAGTGATAACCGCCCTCATACCTCTAACAGCACCCAAGACCACTAAGATCTCATAGATTTGGGGGTCATACCATGACAGGTCTACGACTTCGGGATGTGGTCCATTATTATAGCATCAAAGATGAACAAACTAATATAGGACTAAATCATAAATTCACAATGTCTCTAAATTTGTGTTTCGTCATGGCAAAGCAATTAACGTGTTAAAAGCCTACTAGTTAGACCTGAAAATTTTCACTGATGGTAAAGTCCTACGGAGCCAATGAAATCGTACCAAATTATGTATCGATTAGAATGGCAAATTACTGAAGGCCAAATATTTCGTCTGTCACCATCAAGACCAAGGATGAATGATGCGAATCGAAAAACAAATATCATGAGACTGGGCCTCGAGGTAGATTTTTTTACTTATGCATCTTATTTTTCTACCCACTTTATGTCTAAACAAAATTTTCACATGATAAGTTTGTTTTCATCCTGCGTGGACACCAGAATAGGAGGATTGCCCAGTCACTCTGATAAGAGTAATCCAGTACAGTTATTCATCGCTTGGTGTGATCCGACGATAGTTAAACCATTACACTACTGCCGTTCATCTCCAGTGAACCTGTCACGCGCAGTGCCAATGTTTATGATACAAAATATTTTAGCTGATTTCTGAAGATATAAATCTATGCTATTGGGTTACTAGTTCAGTATCACAGTAGCCAAGTACCTAGTTATTTGTCCATATCCTTACATATCCCGCATTAGTGAGGTGGTAATTCAGAAAGATACAAAAACGCATCACACTATAAACATTGTGGAAGGAATTTCACCAAACTTACAAACCCTAAGTGTCAACAACTGCTCATTTAAATATCTGTGAGTATTAACACCTTGTTATAACCCTGCGTTAATAGAACGCTCGACTACACTTTCCTATAGACTCGCTTTCGTCTACCTCCTATAGCCAGAATACATGATAAGTATGAATACCTTTCTACTCTTGACGTTTGGCGTCACTACTCCAGATAATCAGCCTTTCTATGAATCTTTGAATTTTCGGGAATTCGAGGAGATTAGTTTTTTCAATTGAAACAATCATCCTCAGTGAGTAAAGGACTGATTGTTTTAATCAGACTTCAAAGGAATGTTCGCAATGGTTGAAACTTATATTTTTAGGTTTTGTCGTTGTGTATTTATATTTTTCAAACTCTTGACCAGCAAAAGTCGTCTCTCCCCCTTACAAGAGAACTGAAGTCATGTGGTTGATTCAAGAAATTATACTGAATATTGGTCACTTATCCGTGTTTTGGGATGCATTTGTTCTACTGAACATCTGAACTTGTTTGTTTAAATAATTGTTTTCGGACATTTGGGTTTGCTTTTGGTTTGGTGCTTGAGAGTTTTTCCTCCGGGAACATACGAAATTGAATGTTTGTTTTGTAACTGTTATATTTATTGTCAGAACGACATTTGGGTCGACTATTTGTAAATTGCGAATAAACATTGTTGCCTAAATTGAAGCTTGGTTCTGTTGTCAATTTGGGCTCGTAAGTTGCAAATAGATCGATATACCGTACTTCAATGACAAAAGCGAGCGAAAACTTGAACGTACCACTACCCACGTTATAGACGGTGCTAAAATAGTTCTGGCTATGTAGTGATGTTGGTTTTCATCCTCACGATCCTTGAAGCTGAACATATGATAACTCAGAAATGTTACAATTTAAACTTAAAACCATAGAGAAGGTCAGAAATGGTAAATAAGGGACAGCTTGGTGTTGCGCGGTTAGGTCGAGCAGGTGTGATCTTGCTTTCCACATGGAATATGTTATTACTCAGAAATATCTTATAGGCACATAAGTGTTATGTGGAAACCATTTCGGGTTTTTTCAAAAATGCAATAATACAAAGGTTTTAATAATTTTAGTATTGTATTTGCCATATCATTGTGACTATATAAATGTCAGCGACGAAATGTCCTCCATGCATGAACAAATTCAGCATGTATGCATTTGACTAACGGTAGCTCTACTCGATCAAATTAGCCCATGCATACATTCATACAACTTATACACATGTAACGAACCCTAATTGTCATATAGTTTCACTGTGCACGGAGTCATTTCACCCATGCAGATTAAGATGACAGTACATGAATTTCAGTTATCGAGTCAGTATCGTCTCAGCTAAAACTGTTAAGGGAACGGCCAGCTTGTGTCTCTATATTATAACAAGCTTAACTATACGATATTTATACGGTAATAATTGAGTGACTTTTACATCCAGCGTTTCATATGACTTATCCATGTATTCTGAGTATTTAAGATTGATTTTCAGATTTTAAAACTATAGCTGACTTGGATTACTTACTCGTTGTATAAGTGAAGCTTCGATATATGGAGCATATGGAATTTCGCGATAGGCTTTTCGAACCAACTTGAAAGTTCTGACATTAAAAACCTTGCTTAAAAGGACAAGCTATATAGCAATTTCACAGGCACTGACTTAACAGTGCAACATTGTTTTGTCTGAACGCCGTAAGTCAACAAACCAATGATAACTTTTGACACCAAACAAGCAGTGTTAATAACTTTGACGTGAAGAACCTAGTTTTTCATGGTATACGCTAAATCGTAGGACAGGCAAGTCTTCGTTCCTGAGGTTGCAACTGAAATAATTTCAACTGCGAATAAACCCTCAAGGCACGCGGCTTTGTAACTGTTCAACATAAGATGGTCTCATTAGTCTCAGAGGATAATAACGGATGAAGGCTCTCTATCATGCATCATTGCTGAATCACAGTAGAGACTAAGCGTATTATTTACCTAACAATAAACAATCAACTAAGGAGCATCATATTCTTTTTGCCCTGTCTTCTATCAAATTTATTGTTCTTTCCAACTCTTATAACCTATCTTCATATTTGCCCATATTTTGTAATACTTTAATTAACCGAATACAATCATCACCGAATTTAGCCGTATCTACAGGCTGCAATTAAACGCAACTCAATTTCGTAAATGTGCATCTAAAAAGAGAACTACTGATAATTATGACCGTTGATGACGAATTACTTATTAAATGCAATTAAAGGAACCGAAAAACTGGAAATGGTATCCGCAGTAAGAAGCCCGAGTAAATCAACAGCTTTTAGTCAAATTTTGTCCGAGGTCACACATTAATGAGTGTTCTGTCATTTTAATACTTTGAATCATGTGAAACTGAACAGACCGGCCAGGATAACCATCTTTAGGATGCAAAATAAAAACCAACTAAATTGTTACTTCACATCCCTTGACAAATTTCCTTAGGCGGTTGTTTCGCTTCCTCAAGGTTAATGCATCCCCTTGCCTTTTTCTAAACAAACATTGCATATGTTCAAATAAACAAAACTGCTTTATAAAATCAATTCACATGATCAAAGACTTCGACTGATCTATACTAGACTGTATTCTTTGACTCATAAACGATACTTAAGTAGATTTGAGAAACCTAGTTGGTTGAGCTCAACCACTTTCTAGATGTATTAAGAGTTTATACTAGTGTGTAGACTAGCGCATGATAGTTTCAGTGGGGGCTTTAGTTTACAAATTAAATCTAAATGTAAGTGGGATTTTCATTATGAATTAACAGATGTATTACCAAGATTTTATTTAACTCTGTGGGCAAGATAATCCAGCGTCAAAATCGAAGTTCATTATTGTGTTTCTGCCTGGTTCGTTCACAACCTGTAGCCCTGCTCAATTCCATTTTGAGCGAATTGGAAAGTAGCTCACCAATCACGTGTTGAAGTAAGGAATCCAACCAATTGAACAATCACAAGGAATTCATTGAAATCAAGTCCTTGAGGTTTTTGCATATGAGGGAGGACGATATCACCGGACTACTCAAATCTAAGTAGCCAGGATAGGGTTTTCACCTGAGACTTAATGGCTCGAAGTCCCAGGTTTGAACCCTTGATTGTGAAATGTTCGGTTTTGTGCTGACAATTTGTTTTAGACTTATAAACGTTTAGAGAGTGCCTTCGTAAATTATCTGTTCTTAGGGAAAGTAAAGTGCCAATGTATTAAATAGTTTGAAAACCGTGATCAAGTCATCTCTAGTTAAGATCTTTTACCGTACGGTAGTTTTTTAATTCCAGTAACCAACTTGGTTTCTGCTTCTTTAAGCTTTTTTTCTACAGTTTACTCCTGTTAAGGTGCTATTTACTGATTTGCAGCACTTGGCTTTGTGTGGGGCATGGAAGTTTCAACATATACGTGGCTGAAGGCTCTACGTAATAGTCAGGTGCTCCTAAAACTCTTATAAGCTATTATACTTCAGTTTTTGACTAACTTTTATTGCGTATTTTATCTAGACGTATAGTAACTCAACCTTTAAAAAATAAGTACGCATCAATAAAATTCATCTAGGACTTCCTTAAGTATTAAGGTTAGAATGTCGAGGTAAATGATCAGTCTTTCAAAAGTTGGTAAAAAGTAGGTAATTTCAGAACAGCAGTTATTCTTTCTCATGGTATTCAACTTAGATATTCTACTAGAGCTAACACTCAGACGTTGTAATGTCCGCGAATCATAAAATTATACCTAATATCAACGATAAAATAAAGTAGTCAAATCAGAACAAATAATTGACTTGATCTGAGCTACGTTTGTAGATACAGATTAAGGGGTTTAAGTCCGCGCAATAACCACAATCCCTGGCCGAAGACTTTTGGTGACATGGCTTTGAATCGTTCATAATGGTACAGATCCATTCACTCCTTGTCTTTTTCTAGATGTTGAATTCCAGATTTCCATCGTACATATCTTCCCACTCTATGTTTTTGAACTGTATTCCCAATATCCAGTCTTCCTTATTATCATTGCTACTATATTATTTCGAGCTCTCTTGGTTTTCTTGTTACATTCATCTTGTCGGAGTAATCTGATAGAGCGACGTGGCTTATCGCATATCAATGCATTAATAATGAGTAACAATAAAGTGGGACTACATATTGTTTCGTGCATAAAAATAATGTTCACTGGTAAACAACAGTATGGGCTCTAAGTGGGTTATGACGAGATTAAAGTTAATATAACGGCATTCATAAGGCTAGTTAGTGTACGTGATGCATGTTACTTAGAGCCTGCCTTAGGAATAGTGCTTATGCCACCCATACATCCTGACGCCATTCTTAAAGAAGCTGTGTAAGCTGTCTGAGTTGTAGCTCATCTTGTTCTGTTGACTTACTCGCATTTAAAATGTCCAACTTCGTCAAAATGTTTACACGTAATAATTATAAAACTAATTTTATGTCCGTAGATAGCTTGTTTATAAGACCGAAATCAGCTGACGATAAGATGTTCTACTTGTAGCTCTGTCAGAAAAATGTGTTCTCGTCACTCTTCGTGCGAACTTTTGTTACAAATTTTGCTCTTATGATATATATATATATATATATATATATCGTTTACGCTGTAAAGTATCCAGCTACTTAAGATGTATAGTGCCAGCAAGTGAATATTTAACTCATTTAACAAGTATAGTTTTATTCACTTGTCTTTTAGTGAGTTGCTTTTTTTTTTACAATTTAACTGGAAAATAAATAGGTTCTCTTTAAATTGAAGGAGTTATTTATATGTTGCAGCGGCGATAGTCGATTACAGTGAGCCGTAGCAACATGTATATTCCATAATCACAGAATGTTTTTTGCACAAATAGTTTGCATTACCTGCATGTGGGCACAACCATTAGATCCAGTCAGTCCACAGATACAGTCCAACGAGCCATAGAAAGAAAATAAAACATGCAATTAAGTGCGTTTTTTGTTGTCTTGTTTGAAGTTTTCATTTTTTGCTCACATAGACGATAAGCCACTCACAATCACAATATAAATATATAGCTTATAATCTCGTATAATTGTGGAATTTCATATACTTTCTGAACATTTTTCTACTAAATACTACACAAATAATATTCCACTTGTATTTAAATGTACCCTATATTTGAAATTACAGATGCCAACTAAACGTATTCTCCCATGGAAAATACCAGACTGGCTTCTAGATGATCCTTTATTAAATAAATCTATATCAGAATATTTACCAGTTCACTATAATTTTGAGATCCATAAAACCATATGGCGTATACATTGTCTTCGAGCCAGGCGGATTGCTTTACAAATGCCAGAAGGTTTGCTCTTGTTTGCAATACCAATTTCTGAAATTATTCGAAATTACTTTATTCGTAGTAATAAAACCTCAGTTAATGCTCTTACTATCTCTACTAACGATACTACTGTAGGTGAGGACAGTATTAAAGATATTGATGTTGTAATTTTGGGCGATGTGACTTATGGAGCTTGTTGTGTGGAGGAGCTGACTGCAAAAGCTCTTGGTGTTGACTTGCTTGTACATTATGGTCATAGTTGCTTGGTACCGTTGGACTCAATTTCTGTTCTGTAGGTTTCTTGCTTCAGAGTATTTATTTACGCTTTTTATTCGTAATTAATGGATTAAAAGTTGTTTTAATATCATTGTCTCGTGCTTAGCAATAATACACATATTTCAGCCCTTTGTTTTGGGTCCGGGAGATAAATTAATATGTGACTACAAATATTAAATGGTGTAAATCACAACCAATCATAAGGCACCCGATACGTAAACTATCTTCATTTTATCCATGAAGAATATGCCACCCTGTAGCTTCCATCATGAAATAAATTGATAACTTTTTTCCTGCCACTTTTCTACTGTTGTTGTATTATTGTCTTTAATCCTTTTCCTGTCTTTTCGATTTTCTATTACTGAGTTGATAGATTTTATCAAATACATGCCTGCCGGCAACCACTAATCTTATATGTTCCATACTATCTGTATGGGCAATTTGTAGCTGTTAATCATGGTATGAACGACTGTCTGATATTTACTGAATCATAAGATGCTACAACTGTTAGCTTAAATTTTGACGACTGATTTGTTACTATCTTAGTAAATAATTTGTTCCATGATTAGCTATGTATATATCCTTAACATGTAATTTGATGTGTAAAGTCTTCGCTGTTGTTCGACACTAACAAACATCACCGTGTGACGTTTCGCTCTTAGATTTCTTCTGCCATCCGCTCTCGATTCGATGGCCATAAACAGTGGGTTTTCTCTAAATTGCTGCCGATCTCCAGTAGAGGAGGCACCAAATACATATGCGACACACAGATCTCATTTGATATGTGTGAGGGCTGTGATACTGCCCCGGTGCCCAAACCGAAGCAAGTGGTTTTCTTAGGGGGCCACACCCGGAGCTTTCGACCTAAAGGTCTGATCCACAAGTCAGTGGAGCAAAGTAAGGAGATGCATTTCCATGGTAGTCGGTGACCAACGATTGGTTCATACTCCATTTGTTCCTTCAGGATACTGGAGCCTATGTACACTATTGGTTTGGAATCAGGGTTTTCCAACTCCCTTAGGTGGGCTCTTCATGTTCACCAACCTGGTTAAAGCGCTGGACATTCGCTTTTCGTCCTCTCGATTTCGTAAACAACAGTAATGCCACGAGAAGGAAGTGAGTAGGACTTCCCTGGCAGAGGCTATATACGCGTGGCCATGTAAGAGCATTTCGAGAGGGAGAACGGACTCTTCCCACTCCCGGCCGTATCAGGGCATTTGGGGGCACTCCAGTAGAGAGTATAATCAGATTCATAAATACTTTTTACGAGAAAATGAGGAACATAATTATCCGGTGTTTGTTAATGACCTACTTGGATGTCTGTTTTACAGTCACAAGGACCGCGCTCCCTGTTGACATTCTGGAAGCAACTCTGAGTGACATGGCGTTCGTGTTATCCTAAAATTGTTCTGTACGTTGAGTATGCGATCTTACTGTGTAATAACTTACAATCTTCCAGAAGTCTTAATTTTTATGGTTCAAGATGAATTTAATTGGTACTCTAAAATCCACCTTTCCTAAATTTATGAAAAACCATGTTGTATTTTTATCACATTCAGATAATCGATAGTATAAACAGATGTATCAGTTCTCATTATTCTCTGTTAATCACCGGGATGGTCTGGTTCATGTTTACAAATATTAAGTCATAACTAGTTAGGCAAACTTGCTTTCTGTGATACATAATTCTCATGTGGTTCCTCATGTATATAATAGGTTTGTATTAAAATACTCAGTGGTTTTCTTTTCTTTACTTATCTGTACGTACATAGATACGTATTTGTTGATATTCAGATCGATATCGTCCATCTCATAGATAGTGTAAAGGCTAACTTTGAGAAGTCTTCCCGTTTAGCCCTTGTTTCTACAATACAATTTGTTACTAGTTTGCAGACTGCTAAACAACCATTATTAGAAGCCGGCTACTCAGTTACCATCCCTCAGTGCCTTCCTTTATCGCCTGGTGAAATACTTGGATGTACATCTCCTAAAGTAAGTTTTATACTAGTTCTTGTTTTGTTGTTTATTTGTGTAAAACAATGTACAGTGTCTTAAAAATTCGATCACAGTATTCAATGGTACATGTTTGTAACTATTGACACATTAACGTCCAATAAAATTTGATGACAATACACACTATCGAACATCATTTAAAGTCACTGATGTAGACAGAATACTCAATAACCAAAAGAAATTACCTTCAGTATGAGTGGGACTGAGTTAACTATATCAGTACGACTGAATATCTCCATTCAGTTACGTTTACTTAATTCTGTGCTTTCTTTAATATAGTTTAATTTAGCATAAAGTGACAAGCGCTAAATGGTCTGATCTTCATAAACTCTCCATATATATATATATATATATATATATATATATATATATATATATATCAGTCTGCTGCGTCATTTCAAAGTAAGGATTCGTTTAGCGAATACGTGAAGTGATCTGATCATCTTAACTGACAACCATCTCATCCTCTCGTCCCAACTGCACTATTCAGAAACACATGTTAAACCACATTACTCACTTAATTGTTTTTTGTTTAACATGTCAGTATTTAAAAGTTAGTGGTGATCAAGTAATAATGATTTCTCCTTTTCAGTAGATGCGTTGTACAGTGGTTGAACATAGATGAGCTTACAATTGTGCCAAGAAAATGTCATTACTTTGTCTGCAAGTTGGATGTCTGTTTAAATTATGTCGTCCATTTTACCAATTCACTTTGTTTTACTAAGTGTAAGTGAAGATGCATTTTTTCTGGAATTATTGAAGATTCAGTGCATAGAGTAATAAGGATGCTCCTGATCAGGGATCACAAGCCATCTGAATCGTTTTTATTACATTTCAGCCCTTCATGAATAAGGCTGTACATAAAACTTCAATATTTTTAAGTTGCTAGTGATATTTCTTATCGTTTATGGATTTCTTTTGCTAGCGAATATACACTCACTATGTCAAACAGCTCGATAACAAAGTATAATTTAGCGAGGTTTGCTTTTACTCTAAAACTTAGCAACACTATCCAGCTGTCCGAACCAAAGTTCGGGGAGGAGACGGTATCCGAACTCGTGAACGAATGGTTGAATCACAGAGAGATATTCGCAAGAGTTTATCTCATCACTTTCCTTGTTTGCTCTTTAACACTTTTAATCGCTGTTCCGATCATATCTGTATATTTTCTTCTTAAACAGGTAGAAGGTGTTGATGCCTTAATCTACGTGGGTGATGGTCGCTTTCATCTTGAATCTATTATGATATCTAATCCGTTGTTAGCTGCTTATCGTTATGATCCCTACAATAAGTCATTTACGCGTGAATACTATGATCATAAAGTAATGCGTAAACATAGAAAAAAAGCTGTTGATACCGCAAGAAATGCTGTCAATTTTGGGATAATATTGGGTAAGTAAACTACAACTTATGCCTTTATTATCATCATTCTGGTTATATAAACTTCTGCTGTATTTACTTGATAATTTTCTTTCAAAACTATATTCTGCTCAATCGATCGCTCCAGAGGTAAAGAACCTCGACCTACTGGTTAGACAAAATATACCACGAAACCTGGAGAGCTTACGTTTGATCTCTTATGAAGTGTACGTACATCTCTTGAATATTTATTTTATTAAAGCAACTATCCCGTGTTTACTAGTTCTCATTGTTTCTCTAGTTGGAACTAGACTGTGGAGAAAATTACTCCCAAATCAATCAAACCTTCACCAACCATTTACTCAGAAATTTTTCATAAATACCATTTCCTTCCCAAATAAATTGCTTTTCTCTAACCTCACTAGCATCTAACTGAGAAACTGTTTTCGTACTACTTTTCCTCTTATTGTAATATAGGTACACTCGGAAAACAAGGGTCATCGACCGTTGTGAAACAACTTCAGACAGAATTGGAAAAATCAGGAAAGACTTACATTATACTATTGCTGTCTGAAATAATTCCAAGTAAATTAGCGCTTTTCGATGAACAAGTAGACGTCTGGATTCAGGTATCTTTAATTTTTCGGTTTTAGGCTTCAATTCATATATGCGTATGACAATTTTTAAGTGCCGTAAGCGTTAAAATGACCTGATTTTATGGTTGAAGTACTTTTAATGGGCTTGGAAATTAGAAACGCGATTTACTATAACCACTTAAGATGTACTCCAATAATAAATTGCCTGGTTCGTGCTAAACTTCTTCAGCTTTGTCAATGGGCGACATAATATGTTTGATGTCTTGTAAGCCACTCCATTCGATTATGGACGTTTCGTCATCAGAATTGACTTCGTTATGAACTCGTTATTTCCATCTACAAATACACTTGCTAAAAGAACCTCAACTCAACCACTCAGAATAGTCGAACTAATCCGCCAAAAGACTGCTATAAAGTCAAAAACGTCAGTAAATGACTTAATGGATCGATGTTACAATTAGTCTAGCGCATCCATACGTTATTTAGACCTGCTCCTCTCCTATCCAGCTTAGCACTTCGGTGGCTGGACATACGTAGCAAATGTTGTAAACAGGCAAGTTGGCAAAGATTCACAGTCTGATCAGTCGACTTGCTATTTCGACTTTAAACATTATGCTTACATTCAGTATGTGGTTCTACCACACTCAGACAGTAATTTGAAGAAATACACTTGTCCTCAACCTTCGCTGGCTGTTTTTTACAGACAAGAACATAAAGCCAACTGCTGTGCAGTATAATTCTCGTTTGTTTTTAAAAAACAAACCCACAGGCGCGGGAGGTGGAATATGTTATTCGTTATTCACTACCCTTTCGGGATTTCCAAGGTAAATGAGGGTGTCGTCATGTATCAGTAATTAATTTACTCTGTATGGTCCGAAAATGTATTGATTCAAATCAGTCCTCAAGCAATATTTTGAACATAAAGGAGGATAAATGTATCCCAACCATCCTTCCATCATCACTTAAAGCTTTTAGAAAACTCTGAAATTTTCCAGCACCCTCATCGAATACAACAATGCCATTTGCATACTCCAAGTCAATAAGGTGTAGATTTTACACATCCTTGTTGATCATATAACATTTTACTTTTATTGCATAAATTTGTCGACTCAAAAGAGCTACTTCATCATTCTTTTTTGCTCCAAAGGTTGCATGTCCTCGTCTTAGTATTGACTGGGGTGTTGAGTTTACTAAACCTTTACTCACACCATACGAAGCATTCGTTGCTTTAAATGAGCAAGTTTTTTGGCCTCGAGATTTATCCGAAGCCTATCCCATGGATTATTATGCTAACCAAAGTTTGGGACACTGGACACCAAATCACAGGTTGAATAAATTGAGTGCACCAAAAACCGTTAACTAAAAAGATATCTTACTTGTAAAAATGGCTGCTGTAAATATAACTTACTATTAGAACTAAAGTGTATTTTTTTTAAAGTAATTTTACTTTGATTATTTGAGTTAATCATGTATGTAGTAGTATAAATCAAATGTTTTATATACATTATGGTCAAATAACTTGACCACGTTTATTCACCGTGACTGACAAACGACAAGTTATTCAAGAGATAATATATGTGGTTACCCGATTATTAAAACAACTCAAAACACGATTCGATAAAAGATAACTAACAGCAAACCAACACCCCCCCCACTTGTGTTTGTTGATTCTTCTCTGGTTGACTGGGTTGTCAGTTGTAAACGGGTTTTTTATTAGTCTTGCCAATCATCACCGAGGTTGACCGTTAGAGAGTGGACGTATTGTCAACGTCCGTAAATAAGTTTTCGGAGTCAGTTCATTCACTATTCCTATTATGTTTACATATACAGTGCTCTTACACTTCGTACAAAAATGTACAACTTTAGTGAGTAAAATCAAGCCTTACCAGTCATTTTATAATTATTAAGTTAGAAACAGTTTTTGACCCAACCTTATCAGATGGCTCCATTGTGTCTATATATATCGTCACTCTATCACTGGCTCATTCTAGACAGAATTACAAAGCGATCGTGAGAAATAAAAGCTCCAATGGATAATTGAGAGAATTTATTTAATTATCTAATAGAGCAATGATTAAAAATTATTAGTGATCTTGAAGAAAAAATTTCGAAGTTATTAGTACAGCTTAGATTTTGACATTAAGAAGTAAATCAGATGAAAATATCAAATAATATAGTGGCTACAACGTCTACACCAAACGTCGAGTGTGAATTAACTCCTATATTGAGCTACTTCCAATTATGTCTACTAGTTTACAAGTACATGCCAAAGGACAAAAAGGAGAGTTACTGTTTGCGTCTCCGAATACATTGCATAAAGAGTAGTAGTGCGATCGTTTGCCTAGTGATGACGTTAGCTTCCGGAAATCCTTCGCAATAATAAGCAAGCGATATTGAGTTTACTGTGTCTTTTTGAAGCCATTGTTATCAGAATATCCAAGCTAAACCTACCTACACAAGAGGACAATGTTGTTAATTTTGCTTTGCCTTGGTAACATCAATTGCAAGAGTTAGTTGTGCAACACCTTTCTCCATGCTTTTTAATTATTTCTCGCTTTTTTCCTGAGCTCCACCTAATTAATCAACCCTTTTTGTATTGATTCTTACACAACTTATGACATATATCTCACATTTTAACAGTTGTCTTCATGCTCTTACTTTCTCAGAGAATAATTATAATTAGTCTACAACTAGATACCGGTATGAGCGGATCTTAAACCCATCCACAATTATTGCCTTTTAACTAGTTTATATGCATACCAGCCGCATATTTAGTCAACGATTTCCCGATACTAAGACAGTCATCAATAACATAGAAGCTAGTATAAATGTGCCTGACCATGTTGTCATGCCGTACTAGCACGACGAGATGAAACTAAAAAAGATGGGTGATAAAATGTAGCGGTAGTAGTAGTAACGACAAAAAAATAAAACTAGGGATTGACAATAGGGTTTTGAAGGACATAATGGGGTGTATATGGAGTACTGGAATCCGAAATCTCGAGTACGTAGACATGATTTTTCAATAATTTACCTGATTTGTAAGCAGCGCCTTTAACTGTGTCTGATGCGGAGAACCAGTGTATCAATTTTAATACCATTCTAAACGAAAAGCTAAGTGCAGAGCCAAATATGGCTATTTATGCAGTACAACAAGCTTTGCTGGAATGTAAGAGCACAACGAAATCTCCACTATTTGGAAGTGTTTCTGTACTTTGTGTGCAATTTCATGCGAAGACAATAATCTCCTGAGTAACAAGTAATATTTACCATGGCTTGATTAGAGAATAATTCATCTTAAATCCGTGTCAAATATATTATAGAATATTGATATTGAAGGGTGAAAAAGCTTCAGATATCAAACACGCAGAGATTTTTGACGTAGCGAATATGCAAATATTTATCCTGCATAGAGCAGAGGTTAATGGTCATCTACAAGTGAGATTTTTATTAAGATTATAAACCGAACAATGTTAGATCATTGCAAACCCGGACTTAAATCCAGGACCTTCGGTTTCGCAAGATCGCTTGACTTCTAGGTTTTCATCATAGACCCAACACTGACCGGTTCATGATTTCAATAAAAACTCCACGATCCACACAACTTTATGCTGATAAAGTTTAAATACATGACTGTCAACAGATAAAGAAAATAAACTAAGCCAACAACCAAGTAGCAGCGGGTTATAGACGTATTAATAGCTAAATTTTTCCCATATATACCCACGGCGGAAATGGAGTATGGATTTTTAGACCCCTAATAAGTGTCGCCTCACACTAGGTAATTTCAAGTAGTTAAGCTATCCGACAACCCAACACAAGTAAGGTAATAAACTTTGGGTGTCAAATTGGTCGACTGCCACACCAAATAGAAAATACGAACTAAATAGGATGATAATCGTAAAGAGATCATTACAACATCATACTTGACGGACTTGAATATAAGCATGTGCAGCATCTGGTATTACGTTCTGTAACGTTAACCGAGTGATTATTAACGATGCGCATTTCTCTGTTATTCGTTGTCATTAAATATGTATACAAAGTAATGAATTCGATCACACACTAGGCTAAATAACCTCAGTTAGTCAGCTACAACGTAGGACCAGGCACATATGTGCATCGGTCCGAGTTGCCATACCTCATTAACACAACAAGATGGACACCGGACTCATAGAAGTAGTTAATTCAGAGCTGGTAATATATAAAAGAAAGATTGCATATAAGGACATAGTACATGAAGAAAGAATTAGTTGGTAGAAAGATGTGAAGCAAGGGAGTTCTGGATTAATGCGCTAGATAACGGAAACTCAGTGGATGTTGTCTACATAGATTTCGGTAAAGCTTTTGATAAGGTGCCAACTAATAGACTGCTATTGAAGTTGGAAAACCTTGGTATTGCCGGACCTCTTAAAATGGATTAATGATTTTCTAGTAGATCGTAGACAAAAAGTGAGAATAAATTCAAAGTGCTCCATCTGGAGACCAGTACTTAGTGGAGTACCCCAAGGTTCCGTCCTAGATCCTTTACTTTTTATAATGTACGCTAATGATCTTACAAGTATAGTACAGTCTCCAATGTTATTATACGCTGACGATGTAAAAATTTGGCGAGTAATAACTGGAGACAAAGACGCATTTGCTCTTCAGGCACACTTAAATAAAATGATAAACTGGTCTAAAGAGTGGTTGATGCCTATCAACGCGGAAAAGTGTGTTTACATGCACTTGGGGGATTCAAAGTTTAATACATACAACATAGGGGATGTGTCATTACCCGTAGTCCGGTTTCATAAGGATCTAAGGGTGACAGTGAGTAATGATCTTAAGACGACGGCCCATTGCAGGGAGGTCGCAGCCAAGGGGTTTCGAACCCTCTGGGCTCTAAAAAGGACATTCACTAAGTTAGATACTACCATGTTCACCACAGTATACACATCCTTAGTGAGAACTAAGCTAGAGAACTGTGTTCAGGCTGCAAGCCTCTGCTTAAAAGGTGACTCGGACATACTGGAAGAAGTACAGAGGGCAGCTACCCGTGCAATTCCGGAACTCCGGGGTTTATCATACAAAGAGTGGCTTGAAAAACCGGACCTCTTTACTCTGTTCTATCGCAGACTAAGGGGAGATATAATTTTGGTGTACAGAATACTGAGAAATGATTTCGGACCTAACTTATTCTCTCTTTTTCTTCCCACTAGATTGGGACATCTCAGAGGATATAGCAGGCGAGTAGAAAAGCCAAGAACGAGTAAAATACCCGTGGCATACAGGTTTTCACACTGAGTCATCAGTAATTGGAACCTGCTGCCTGAAGCTGTGGTGTCCGCACCTTCAACTGACTCTTTCAAGAGAAGACTGGACACTCAGAAACATACTAGAAAAGGAATAACATAGGCCGTAGGCCTTCTGTCCTTACTACACAAATCTGACTTTAATCTCATAGCTTAAGGAAAGACAAAAAGTATACACTGACGCCATTGTAATATATTCTGAGCCATGTCACCAAGAGTCTCCAAACATTGGTTACGATAGTCACGCGGACCCCAACCGAGTAGTCTGCATCTACCAACATGGCTCAGACTAGAAGTTAGTGACTTCAGGCACTGATGCCACGTTTTGGTTTGGCCGCCCCTAACTTTTTTCCAACCTCACGTACAAATTAACGGTGAAGACTTAGTGAACTAAATATGGGTTGCTGTTATGAGCGTAACAGTATTTGTATTAGCTTATAATTACTGGTGAAAGTACAAATGCATACAAAGAATACGTTTTCTACTTGGGTTCTATGTGAGTAAGATGAGGAACTGCTGCTGAAAATCCGGCCAAGCCAGAACCACCACCTGCAGCCCTAGGGCCAAGCATCATTGCACGCTGTTGTACTGCCTCTTGCTCTTCAGTTTGAACTCGTTCTAGCTCCAGAATAAGTGGGAGGAAACATACAGTAGCTGTGCTCACCAAAAACCAAGTCACCGATCTGCTGAGAGAATAACCCGATACAACGCCTTCTGAAGCTGCACTGTAGGCGAAAGAAACACCGCGACGTACTGGCTCTGGAAACATTTCTAATAGACCAATTAAGCGTTCTATGATGCTTTCATCTTCGATATCAAAATCTTCGTCATCACAACCATTCTTCTCCCCCATATCTTTGGAACAGCCGTCGGTTTCAGCAAGTGCCTTTGAAGTGCTTTTATTCTTTTCTCTGGAAAGGTGTCGAACAGCAGCTGGTGATATGGGTTTTGTGTCTGTATCACTATTAGTCAAGTCAATAACTTCGGTCGGATAACTGGAAGATGAAATCATGAAGTCTTCAAATGCGTCCTAAGAAAGTATAATTATACTTTCTATTTCAAAAGGAACTACTTAAGTATCCCTTTAAGTATTACCTGAATATCCATTGCATGTGATCAGAAGTAGCGCACGAAAGTAATCTGAGCGGTTAAACTTCAAACCTTACAGGCCACAAATTGCCAACGTTTCATTCCTTGGACTGTGTCTGAATTATAAGAGAGAGATCTTGGTTAAATAGGTATCTACCTTTTACTCTTTCTTATGGATCTGGAGGGCAGGTGGATCAGTTAATAATGCGAAAAATGATTGAAGAATAACGTTGTAGCGGTAAATAAATCCCTAATATAAATAGCTCTGTA